ATCCGGGCCACCCACGCAAGCGGAGAGGGCGCTTGGGCTCCTCAGGTCATCTTTTGCCCTGAGTGTCCCCGCCCATCGCGGGAGCCCCGCAGACCCTGCTGGGGGCCTGTCCCCTCTGGGCCAGCAGTGTAAGATGCCTGGAGCCTGGTTCTCTGAAGATAGGTTAGTCCTGAGGACCCCAGAAAGCTCTTCTGTTTTATGGGCTAGCTGACCCAGGGGACCCCAAAGTGAAGTGCAGTTGCATCACTGTCTACACCCTAAGTAATATGGCACAATTGCATGTCGGGGTGCGGGGATATCCCCAGAACAGGTCCCTGCCCTAAGTTAGCACAGTACCCGGTGCCCAACACAGAGTGGGCAAGGGGAGCGGTCACTGATCCAAAACCTTTGCCCTGAGCTCTATCCTCAGCCCTCTCTTGCAGAAGGTGGGTGATTGGGGTTCAGCAGAGCCTTCCCAGCCGCTCCCCTCTGACCTCCTGCAAGGATTTGGTATGTAGTCACTGCTGATCTCTGAGGGTCCTGCTCTAAATCAAACCCCCTAAATGAAGCTGCGGCTCTGAGACCAGGTCTCCCGGAATCTCCAGGTTCACTGGGGCCTTGAGATTCTTTGGCTTTATCTGTGTCCTTGCTGCCAGTTCCCAGGATGTGCTGGCAAAGGGTAAGTCCCCTGATATGATGCCACCTGTCAGGATCTCTGCCTTTTGCAGGGGTGAGAAGTGAAAGAAAGAGAAAGGAAGGAAGGAGGAAAGGAAGGATAGTAAATGCACCTCCGACATTTGCTGAAATGAAAGGAGAACCAAGATGGCAGCCAGTGGCACAAGAGGAAATAAGGCTTTCTGGTTTTACTGACTCCCTAGAGCACAGTAACAAGCCCCAAACTTGACCTCAGTGGCCTCTGTCTGACGTCCCCTGGGAGATGCAGCTAACCGAGGGCTCCCCCAGGGTCAGTCTGCAAGGGAGAAAGAAGACTTGCTACAGAATGGAAGTCAGTGCAGTGTTGGAAGCTGAGGTAGGAGGATCACAAATTCAAGCCCAGATGAGCACCTTAGTGACTTAGTAAGATTGTCTCAAAATTTCAAAAAAAAAAAAAAAATTAAAGGGCTGGGAACCTAACTCAGAGTGTAAGTCTTGGGTTTAATACTCCCACTACTAGACAAACAGACAGACAGACAGAAAGAAACAAAGACAGAGAGAGAAAGAATTTTTCAGTGGCAGCTGATGCATGGGTCAGACTTTATGCTTTTTAAGTTTTTTTCCTTGTACTGGGGATTGAAAACAGGCATCCACACAGAGCCACATCCCCAGACCTTTTTTATTTTTTCTTTTGAGTCAGGGTCTTACTAAGTGGTCCAGGCTGGGCTCTAACCTGCAATCTCTCTGCCTCAGCCTCCCAGGGCTCTGGGATTACAGGTGTGCACCAACACACCTGGCTGACCTTCCTCTTTGGTTACAGGGGACCTAGTGATCTCTAGTCACACCGCGCAGCTCTCAACGCCACATGTCTGTCATTGTAGATGCACTGGGTGTCCCTGCTGTCTGTTCAGATGGAGTCCTGGGAGACCCCTGAGCCTACCACGTTTATTTTGACCCTCAGAGCCCTCTGTGTGAGAATGAGGACATTGGTTGGGCCACCTTGAACAATGTCATCCTGTCCTGTCTGGTGCTGCTGCTCACCCTGCTGCTGCTGCTCAGCCTGGTGGTCAACAGCCTGGTGCTGTGGCACTGGTGATGTACAAGGGCCTTCAGTCATTCACCACATTCTTCCTCCTTAACCTGTGCGTGTCGGACCTGGTGTCCTCGTTCCTGCTGCTGCTGTGGGTGTCTATAGAGCACTGGAGCTTGGTCCTGTGCAAGGCAGTCAGAATGACCTTCTCCATCAGATACTACAGCAACATCTTCATCCTCACCATCATGATGGTGCACCAGTACCTGTCAGTGGTGAGACCCCAGTGCATGTCATATGTCTGCACTCTGAGCTGCCGTGTGCTGGTGGTTGCAGCTATGTGGGTGGCCAGTGTCCTGTCTTCCATCCCCATCTTCTATGAGGTGATTGATGATCAGTGAACATACTCAGGAACACTTGGCCTGCAAGTCTCTGTCTACGTGTTCAACTTCATGTTCCTGCTGTCTTCTTCTGCTACGGCCATACTCTCAGGAGCTGTTGCACTCCAGGTCCAGGTGGCAGCACTGGCTCTTCCTCACCATCATGGTGGCCTATGTCCTCAGCTGGGCCCCCTACAACTTCCTCCTGTTCCTGCAGATATTGGTGAATATTGGGGTCATCCAGAGCTTCAAGACCAGGCTGCAGCTGGGCCGGGCCTTGTTTTTTATTCCATCACCTGTCCTTCGCACAGGGCTACCTTCACCCACTGTTCTATGGCCACTTTATCGAGTTCCGCACATACCTCAGAAGTCTCCTCCAGTGTTTGTGCAGTGCTGTAAACTGCAGACACTCAGCCCTGCTGTGCTGCCTGGTCTCCAATCAGCTTCACCAATGAGTGTCCTTCCTAGGACTTCGGAGAGTGACAGCACATGTACAGCTGGACAGGGCACCCAGAGGGGAGCAGGGGGATGTGAACCAGAAAGTAACAGTGCAGCAGAGATGGCTCCACTCACTGAGGGGGTGAAAGAAGGATGTGTGACCTGAGGTCTTCGGGGCCCCTCAGAGGGAAAGGGGCCCCCACATGGGATTGATCCTGCCACACGGGACAACACTCTTCACACACATTCACTCTGACTCATATTGCTCATCCCTGCTAGGGCTGAGCACCTAAAACACAAAGGGCTCCCAGATAAGGGGCCTCTTTCTAGCCTTTGTGGGGGTTGGCGCTCTGCTGCTCCGTGGGTGTGATCAGGTTACAATGCAGGCAGCTTTCCCAACAGCCTCCCCTCTCTGGCCACACTGTCCCCCAGCTCATCTGTCCCCTTTCGGAGGGGACTCAGTGACTGCTGGGGAGGCTGCACAAAAGGCAAGAGTGACCAGCTCCTCCAAAAAACACAGCAAACCCTGACTTCCAAGCCTCTAACTAAACTGAAGGTGGCTCTACGACCTGGCTCCAGATGGTGCCATGGGCACTGCTCTCACCCTCTGCAGCTCATGAGATTCCACTGCAAATGTAAGCACTGAGGGTGCTGACTTTCGCACTGAGTCTCTTTGGAGGACCCAGAGACTATCAGACTGTGGTTCTCACCTCCAGGTGGGATCAGCACACCCTGGAGGTCCCTGAAGCTTCTCCTGCAATGTGCAGTCCCTTGCAGACGCAGGGACTGGTGTTGCGGGAAATTTCCCAAGTCAGCCAAACCAAAAGAAGAATTTTTGCACCAAGGAGATAGGAAGGCAATTTAATCTTTATACAAGCAGACTGCGGGAGTTCACCCCAGTGGACCATTTCAGGGATAATTCCTCCCTAGCAATCCTGAATCAGGAAGGAGTTTTGTTTATATAGAATTAGAAGTGAGAGGTACAAAGCAAGTGATCAAACGTCACTTGATTGGTCACCTACCTTGAATCATATATTGACAGGCAGGTAGGTCTTGAAACAATAGAAACACTCCAGGAACCAGGGGAGGAGGCTCTTACCAATGAGCACAGTTAAAGGGGAAAGAAAGGTGGAGAGAAGGTCTTTATTAAATAGGCATGAATCAGCCCATGGTGCCTTAAGATATGGATGGCTACTCTGACTCAGTGCTCATGTGCAGCTGGGCTGTGCACACTGTCAGAGTCCACTGAATTCAGAAGAAACAGCAGAGCAGCAGCTTGGACAGAGGCCTCTAAGTGATCATGAAATACCTGTAAGTTTACTGTCTCATGAATGTGTCTCTGCATTATAACTGTGCCCCAGCACAGGCCCAATCTTTTATCTTCTGCTAATTTCACTCCTCAGGATCCAGGGGAAGAGGCACAAAGACAGCTGTGAATTGGAAAAGAAAAGGGTCCCAGCAGAGGCGGGACACGGATGCAGGGACCCTGGCACAGCCCTCCACTGGCCTGGCCTCCCTGCTTCCTCTGCCTGCTGAAACCCTGGTCCACCTCAGTACCTCAGCCTCACAAACTGCTCCTCCCTGCGGCACCCTGGGCCCAAAGCTGCAGACCACTGGCCACACCTGGACCCTGGAAATGCCTCAGTAGTGCCTGAGGAAGCTCCTCTCCCCACACTTCCTCCTCCAGGCTCCCCCAGAAGGATCAGAAGAGCAGAGCCTGTGGCCAAGCCTAGGGTATCCAAATAGACATCCCTGGAGACCATACACCAGTTTTCAGAAACTCCCTGGGGCGCTATGCTCATCACTAGTTAAATCCTGAGAGCTGTTGCAGCCTAATTACTGGGAACTAGGGCCAAGAGCCCTGGTTGTAGCTCCGCGTGCTATCCCTCGCCTCTACACAGTGCCCTGAAACCACTGTGCTCATTGCGCCCACCTGCAGTCAGCAGTCCAGAATGGCTGGAGCTGTAGGGTGGTTCATTAATGAACACAGTTTCAATACGGATTTTTAAGCCCCTGATTTAACGTGGGGGACTAAAAGTTAGGCTACAAAGTCCATCAATATAAAGCGTATTTTAGCCTAATATATAAAACAAGGTACCAATATGGAAGAAAATAAAAGTATCAGCGAGCTGTTTTACTTTTTTTTTTTTTTTTTTTTTTTGGTCTTGAGATCCCGGTGTGTTTTCCAAAGGCACACAGCTCTTCCCTCGGGGCCCCAAACCTGATATTCAGGCGCGACCGCCCTCCACAATTGCAAAGTGCTTGGCAGGCACGTGGGTACGGGTTGGGGAGTAGGAACATTGGAGCAGATATGCCAGGAGTAGCAGTCAGCACCTTAGGAGGTCTATCGGAGTTGTAGGCGGAGCGCCCGCGCAACATACCGAGAATCGGCAGTGAGCCTGCGCCCGCGCCCGGGAGCGCGCATCACTGCTGCTTGCGCTGCGCGCAAGTACTCTTCCGCCCCACCCTAGAAAGTTTCGGTTCTGCCAGACTGGGGACCCAAGAGTGGGTAAGTGCCGCCGGCGACCTAAGGGGCTCTGGGGGATCCGGTGCCGCTTCCCCTAAGCAGAGAGTGCACTTGAGCACCATCGGTCACCTGTTGCCCTGGCCCCCCACCGCCCATCCCTGGAGCCCTGCGAACCCTGCCCTGGGGCCCTGTCCCAACTGGGCCGGGAGAGTACCGGGCCCTGGGCAAATGACCTGGGGGTCAGGTAGGCCTGGGAACCCCAGACAGCACCAATGTTTTGTGGGCTGGCAGGCACAGGGGACTCCAAAGTGAAGTGCAATTGCATCACTGTCTACACCCTAAAAAATGTGGCACAACTTGATGTGGTGGGGGGGGGGTCCCCGAAAGCAGGTCCCTGCCTGAAGTTAGTACGGTGCCTGGTGCCCAACACAGAGTGGGCAAAGGGAGCGGTCACTGATCCAAAACCTTTGTCCTGAGTTCTGTCCTCAGCCCTTTCTTGCAGGTGGGTGATTGGGGTTCAGCAGAGCCTTCCCAGCCGCTCCCCTCTGACCTCCTGCAAGGATTTGGTATGTAGTCACTGCTGATCTCTGAGGGTCCTGCTCTAAATCAAACCCCCTAAATGAAGCTGCGGCTCTGAGACCAGGTCTCCCGGAATCTCCAGGTTCACTGGGGCCTTGAGATTCTTTGGCTTTGTCTGTGTCCTTGCTGCCAGTTCCCAGGATGTGCTGGCACAGGGTAAGTCCCCTGATATGATGCCACCTGTCAGGATCTCTGCCTTTTGCAGGGGTGAGAAGTGAAAGAAAGAGAGAAAGGAAGAAAGGAGGAAGGGAAGGATAGTAAATGCACCTCCGACATTTGCTGAAATGAAAGGAGAACCAAGATGGCAGCCAGTGGCACAAGAGGAAATAAGGCATTCTGGTTTTACTGACTCCCTAGAGCACAGTAACAAGCCCCAAACTTGACCTCAGTGGCCTCTGTCTGACGTCCCCTGGGAGATGCAGCTAACCCAGGGCTCCCCCAGGGTCAGTCTGCAAGGGAGAAAGAAGACTTGCTACAGAATGGAAGTCAGTGCACTGTTAGAAGCTGAGGTAGGAGGATCACAAATTCAAGCCCAGATGAGCACCTTAGTGACTTAGTAAGATTGTCTCAAAATTTCAAAAAAAAAAATTAAAGGGCTGGGAACCTAACTCAGAGTGTAGGTCTTGGGTTTAATAGTCCCACTACTAGACAGACAGACAGACAGACAGACAGACAAAAAGAAAGAAAGAAAAAAGAAAGAAAGAAAGAAAGAAAAACAGGCATCCACACAGAGCCACATCCCCAGCCCTTTTTTATTTTTTCTTTTGAGTCAGGGTCTTACTAAGTGGTCCGGGCTGGACTCTAACCTGCAATCTCCCTGCCTCAGCCTCCCAGGGCTCTGGGATTACAGGTGTGCACCAACACACCTGGCTGACCTTCCTCTTTGGTGACAGGGGTCCTAGTGATCTGTAGCCACACTGCGCAGCTCTCAACGCCACACGTCTGTCATTGCAGATGCACTGAGTATCCCTGCTGTCTGTTCAGATGGAGTACTGGAAGACCCCTGAGCCTACCACCTTTGTTGATTATGACCCTCAGAGCCCTCTGTGTGAGAATGAGTACATTGATTTGCGCAACTTGGACAATGTCCTGCCCTTGGTAATACTGTTGCTCACCCTGCTGCTCAACCTGGTGGTCAACAGCCTGGTGCTGCGAGCACTGGTGATGTACAATGGCCTTCAGTCATTCACCACATTCTTCTTCTTTAACCTGTGCGTGTCGGACCTGGTGTCCTCGTTCCTGCTGCTGCTGTGGGTGTTTAGAGAGCACTGGAGCTTGGTCCTGTGCAAGGCAGTCAGAATGACCTTCTCTCTCGGACTCTACAGCAACATGTTCGTCCCCACCATCATGACGCTTTACCTGTCAGTGGTGAGACCCCAGTGCATGCCACTTGACCTCAACCTGCGCTGCCGCGTGCTGCTGGCTGCAGCCATGTGGGTGGCCAGTGTCCTATCTTCCATCCCCGATGCCATCTTCTTTGAAGTAATTGATGATCAGTGTACATACTCAGGAACCCTGGGCCTGCAGGTCTCTGTGTACGTGCACAACTTCATGTTCCTGCTGTCCATGGTGACCATCTTCTTCTGCTACAGGCAGACCCGCAGGACCCTTTTTACTTCCATGTCCAGGGGTCAGCGCCAGCTCATCTTGGCCATCATGGTGGTCTTTGTCCTCATCTGGGCCCCCTACAACCTCATCCTGTTCCTGCAGATATTGGTGAACATTGGGGTCATCCAGAGCTGCAAGACCAGGCTGCTGCTGGACTGGGCCTTGACTTTTTTCGAGACCCTCCCCTTCCTACAGCTGTTTCTTCACCTACTGCTCTACTGCCACTTTGTCAAGTTCCACACAGACTTCAGAAATCTCTGCCAGCGTTGTGTGTGCAGTTGTGTAAACTACAGGTGCCCAGCCCTGCCATGCTGCCCCAGTCTCCGGTCACCTTCACCTATGAGAGTCCCTCCTAGTACTTAGGAGAGTGACAGCACATGTGCAGCTGGACAGGGCACCCACAGAGGGACAGGGGGATGTGAACCAGGAAGGAACAGTGCAGCAGAGATGGCACCACTCACTGAGGGGATAGAAGAAGGACGTGGGACCTGAGGGCCCCTCCGAGGGAAAGTTGCACCCACCTGGGATTGATCCTGCCACACGGGACAACACTCTTCAGGCACAGTCATTCGGTCACATAGTATTCATCCTTGCTGGGGCTGCAGCTCTCCAAAGAAAAATGGCTCACAGATAAAGGGCCTCTTTCCAGCCTTAATGGGGTTAAGGGTCTGCCGCACCGGGGGTGTGATCAGGGTACAATTCAGGGAGCTTCCCTGACAGCCTTCCCTCCCTGGTCTCACTGGGCCCAGCTCATCTATCCCCTTCAGAGGGGACTCAGTGACTGCTGTGGAGGCTGCCCAAAAGGCAAGAGTGACCACCTCCTCCAAGAAGTACAGCAAACCCTGACCCTGAAGCCTCTAACAAGACTGAAGCTGATTCTGTGACCTGGCTCCAGAAGGTGCCATGGACACTGGCCTCACCTCTGCAGCTTGTGAGATTCCACTGCAGGGGTAAGCACCATTGGTGCTGCCTTTCGCACTGAGTCTATTTGGAGGATCCAGAGACAATCAGGATTCGGTTCTCACTCCGAATGCCAACAGCACAGCCTGGAGGTCTGGGAGGTTTCTCCTGCAATGTGCCATCCCTTGCAGATGCAGATTCGCTGACTTGGTCACTTTCCCTTGTCATGGTTTATGTTGTGTCCCCCAGGCCTCATGAGTTTGCATTGTTCATTTGTGATGGTTCATTGTATAGTGCTTGGATTGATGGTGTCAGTGCTCCACCCACATAGGGGTGGAGCCAGGATGTGATGTAATGGCAGGAAGAAGGTATGTCTTTCTCTTTGCTGTTTCCAGCTCGCTGTGGGCAGCCACCATGAACTGCGGTCCAGCCATGCCCGCCTGTCTTGGAGCCAACTGAGTGTGGACTGAAACCTCCAAAAACTGTAAGAGATAAACCTTTCCTTTCCCAATTTGGGCATCAGGTATTTTGTCTCAGCGATGACCATAAAGTAACTAAGACACCCCTAGGTGCCCCACTCTGGCAGGACTGAAGGGTCCAGGCTTCCTCATCCCCACACATCTCTCGGAACCCGCACCTCCCTTCCTTCACCTGCACCCCATGCCTGGTCTCATGCTGCTTCTCCAGCACCTCCCTGGAACCTCTGACCCCTGCCAGACAGCTGAAACCTGAAGTCCCCTGGGTTTCCCTGCATCTTCCTGCCTCTCCCATCCTCCACAGCCAGGCTTTCTAAGGATCTTTTAAAACCCTTCTCAGCTCCCACTTGTTTCCAAATAAAGTGCAAACTCCTGAGCAAGCTTCTCCTGGGCTCCACCAGCTGGCACCAACCAACTTTTCCACCTATCCCACTCGGAGCCCCTGGCTCAGAGCTTCAGATCCAACAAGAGACCCTTTCTCCCCAGTCCCCGGTCACGCTGTCACCTGAGCCTGGGTCTCTGCTCCTTCTCCTCCCGGGCTCTCAGCTCCACCTCTGCAGAAAGCCTCCGCATTCTACAAGTCCAAAGGGTGCACTAGGGGTTGCTGTCCCTCTTGGCAGTATTTGTCACACTCTGGCTCTGGCTGTCTCCCTGTCTCACACCTGGTGGGAAGGAGTCTGTCCTCAAGCCCTGGGGTGCTGTGCACAGAGAATAACAGCTGTCTCTGTCCTTGTACTCTGTGGGGGCCGTGCCACAGGGCACACTGGACCTTCCTTGCCCCAGATTGCTTTTGTAGAAACATTGACCTTCTTTCCTTGTCCACACCTTCAGAGCAAATTGCTGACTCCTCTCGGTGCCCATGGCTCTGCTATCCCTCGCCTCCCTTTGTGGGACTCTTTTCCTCTTCCAGGGACCCACAGCTTCCTCTAATCTCCATGCCACCAAGATCCGGGCCTAGTTTGTAAGCCTGATTTGGCTCAGGGCTGAGAGACTGGTGCCCAGCATGATTGCTCCACCCCGTTAGGAACATGGGGCTGCATTTGTGGGGCCCCAGAGACTCCAGATCCCGAGCTGTCCCTGCAGCTGGACCTTGCAAGCAGAAGCCATGAATGTGACCTCACTGAGTGAAGTGGCATCTCAAAGCCCTGAGCCAGGTCCTGGAGAGCTGGCAGAGCATTCTCCCCTTCAGTACCAGCTGCAGCCCCATCCACTGACTTGTCACGGGGTGGGGACCTGTCAGGGAAGAACACTGGTCTCTTAGCACAATAGCCAAGAGCGCCTGCTGGAGAGGTAGCAACAGCATAAGACCCCATGGGCTGGCTACCCCACTCAGCACTCTGTTGTGGGGGAGGGTTTGTGCTTGGTTTGTGAGCCCTTCTGCCCTAGGTGAACATGAATTACTACACAACCATTTCATAAAGAACAAGGAGCGGTCTGGGTCCATGCACGAGTCAAAGATCTGTTCTCACTTCTCCTTGTCTCTGTCTGGGCCACTGTGACTGGACCCCACTCAGTCCACAGCCCGGACACTGTCTCCCTTTTTCTCCCCAAGAACAAGAAGGTTCCTAAAAGGTCCCTGCCTCAGAGGGTCTTGGTCAGGACCTGGACTAGAGAATGAAAGGCACAATGCAGCCCCTGTGGCCAGGCAGGGGGTCAGGGGCTGCACTTAGGCCTTTGATGTCTTTCAAAACTGTGGCCCCACTTCCTGTCCTTATCTCTCTCTTGATTGACACTCAATTCTTCTGACTCCAAGACCAAGGAATGGATTTCTTCTCTGAAAAAGGACCTTTCAGGAATGTCCCTATAATGAGAAGAAATGATTAATTCCTGTTGGGAATTTAATGTCCTGCAAACCAGGTGGATAATGTTTTGGGGCTTGCAGAGAATTTCGGTAGGGGAAGAGAGGCTCTCGTAAGTCTTCAGTGAGTTATCTGGGTACAGAGCTTTGCTCTCCACAGGGGCCACCCCAGATCTTAAACTGTGGGGATTTTGCAGCCTCTCTCCCTTCCCCATGCACCCCTCCACAAAGGGAAGAGTGGCCAGGAGGACGGAGGGAGTTCCTTGGCTTGGCCATTCCAGGATACTGATAGAACTGTGGGGGACCCGTGATGGCTGAAAAGATAAGAAGTATGAAATATAAATGACCTTTATTTTGAGAATGCAGGGAGAGACACCCCAATCCCCTGGGGTGTGGCATCTTCCCCCAGGGTCGCAGATCTCTCCATGGAACATGTGGATTGGAGGCATACATGTAGCTTAGGTTGGGGGTGGTGCCTGAGGGGCATTAGGGATGCACAGGTAGCCCATTGGTATTCTTTTGGCACCATAGGTAAATTCCTAGGGGTGAGTAAGATAGAGCCACAGGTAAATTCCTAGGGATGGGGAAGATAGGAACTCCTGGGTTCCACCTGAGGCTTTACCGGCTACAGTGTCCTGTCTGGGCCAAAACTCTTTCAGAAATCAGCCTTGAGTATCACTTGACCTTGCAGGAAAGGTGTATGTGCTAACCGTGGGTTCTCTGAAAAATGACTTAATTTGGAAATAAGATCATTGTGGATGCCATTGAGCTGAGACCAGAGGAGTAAGAAGAGACTTGAATACAATTTGCCTGGAGTTCTTAAAAGAGGGCGAGGTTGGGGCCAGGACACAGGTAAGGGGAGAAGCCCACAGGAGGACTGCTGTTGCACAGTCTGCTCCGAAATGCTACAGACTGCCACCAGATGCTGGGAAACACACACAGAGCTGTCTGTCACTCAGAGGCCCTGGAGGAGCCAACCCCAGCAGCACCGTGTTCTCAGCCTCCAGGTTCCCAGCCTCAGAACTCTGAGACCTAAATCAGCAGGCAACTTTTCAACTATCCAGGCGGATCCCTAGTGTGCTAACACAGGGTACATGCTTCAGTGGGCTGGAGGGGAATCTCAGGGCACCTCCAAACCACCCATGGAGCTCCAGTATAGACCCTAAATACCCTGAAATCCCCACCTAAAAAGGACACCCACATGACTACAGAAGCTAAGTTCCTTGGGGCTCAATATGCAGAGGTCACAGGCATCAGGCCTGCTTTTCCTTCCCCCATTTTGGCCAATGGGGACATCATGGACCATAGACGTAACACTTCAACATCCCATGCTGTGCTAGGTCCTGTGGGACACTTGAAAAGATACCAACACCTGCTCTTTCACCCCGCAATCCTGTAGTAATTGGTCTGCACATAAGAGATTGGGGGGGAATGCTTTAGGTCTAAATTTGTCTGCAAGTTAGTGCAGAAATTTATGGAAAGAGTCCCTCACATTTCCATCTCCAGTGCATGGTTGAGAGTTCTCCGTCCAGTGATCAGCAAAGCATCACAGACCACAGTGTCACCACGATGCTGTCAAGTCCTCTCGTTCCACACACAGTCGAGTCTCTGCCTTTAGACACCAAGCACTTAACCCATTTCTGAGGTCCTCTGCAGTGCCCATCTCCAAACATCAGTATCCTGAGCAGCGTTTGCCACTTGTGCCACCATGGCCAGCTATTTCCGAACAGCTGTGTGATCCTCTTTCTCTCATCTCTTAGCCACAGGGATACAGAGTCTCTTTGACTTTCCCAACAATCCTCCCATCACAGAGTACGAAACAAGAAACAAAGAAAGAGAGAGATTTGGGGGAGGCCCAAGAGCTTGAGGTCAACCTTAGTTCTTTTCTTTGGCTCATAGTTTATGAGCAATTCCTGAGCAAAGTTTTCAGCTATGCCTTAGGATTCAATCGCTTCTCACTCTACTCCTTCTGCTACCACCTTGATCACTTCTTCTCTGGTCCCTATAGTTTCTTCTCCTGAACCACTGCCCTACTTATGGCTCCCACACACATGGGGCGCCATCTTGATTCAGAGCTTTTGCCCAAGTCATTCCTCCAGATGTGCACAGGGCTCCACCTCAGCATGGGGTCTTCCTCATGGCCTGCCAGCTTCCAGGTTGTCAGATTTCTCACATTAAAGTTCAGAGCTCCAACTGCATAACATCTGGTGGAAGCACATGCTGTCCCTTCTGCCTTTCACTGTTGATGGAAGCAAAACACCAGCTACCCAGACCCAAAGACAGAAATTGGACTCCCTTCTTCATACAGAATCACAAGGTGACATTGTAGGACACACAGAATTACAAATGTTACTGTGACCGACTTTGGAAAATATGGTTCTCACTGAGTTAGTCAGTTTTTTGTCACTGTTACACTATGCTGAAGAAAAACAATTTAGAGGAAAACATTTATTCCAGCTCTTGGTTGGTTACCTTCATTTCTGTTAGCACTTTGACAAGGCTGAAGGGTGCAGTGGCAGACTGGAACCAGATAAAAGGGAGCTGGGGACCAGGTAGAGTTTTCAAGGTCACAGTCCAGTTATCCACCCCCTCAACAGGGCTCCACCTGCTGTTCCTATCAGCCCCTAGTCATGGCAGTGAAGTGTAATGTCTGGCTAGTTAATTCGGAGGATGAAGTGAGAACCTGGGATTGCCCCTCTCCATCCTAAAGCCCATCCTCTGGGCACATGAGCTTCCGGGGGCACATTTCATACCCAAGCCACAGTGCTAACACAGGTCCCTTCTCCCACCTCACTTTGTAGGGAGCTGCTGAAGCTGGACATTGATCACCTGTGTGGGGCTAGAGCAAGGCCAGCCCTGAAAACACAGAGAGCTCAAAACAAGCGATGTAAACAAGCTGTTCTGGCTCCAAGAAGGCCAGGGCCCAGGCCAGCCAGGCACACAAGTTGCTAGGCAGTGGATTGACATGGACGTCCTCCTGCTGAGTGTATAAATAAACCTGGTGCAGTGGCTGAGCAGCTCCTTCTCTCCCATCAGGAGAGTAAGGGCTTCACCTGACCCTAGCTTTTGTCTTTTATTTTCTCATCCTCTGGTGCTACTTCACCCCAATAAGCTCAAAACACACATGGCTCACGGCATCACTTGAGCACCCAAATTTCTGCCTCACAAACTTGAATCCACTCATGGCTTTGTGGATGAGAAATACAGGAAGGGCTCAGCAGGAGGTTTCTCACCTTGAGTGGCGGGACCAGGAAGATGCTTAAGGTCACAGTGTAATTGCGTGCCTGGCAGACAAGGTTGGTACCAACTAAGCACCACTGGGATGCAGATGTGGCCACTGCAGCACGCAGTTCTGGACACAGAGTTCTAGCAGCTGGCTCCTGCAGGGAACAATTCCAGGGAACCAGTGGTGACTGCACTGTCCACTCCTATCCAGCCTCTGACACCACCTTTGACACCCATTGGAGGTCAGAAGCAATTCACAAAGCTCAGCCTGGATTCAAAGGCCAAAGGCACAGATGTCCCTCTCTGTCTCTCTGAATGAGGCTGTGGACAAGTTTAAAATAGCACCAAGCTTCCATCTCACTCCAGGCAGAATGGCTATGATCAAGAATATAAAGAATAGGGCTGAAATTTTAGCACAGCAGTTCAAGCACTTTCCTGGTAAATGCGAGGTCCTCAGTTCTATCTCCAGCACACACACAAAAATAATAATATTAAAAACAACAGCTGCTGGTGAGGATGGAGACTGGGGAGAACCATTGTACACTGCTGGTAGGGATGTCAATTAATATAGCCACTTTGAATACAGAGTTTTCAAAAGAAAAAAGAAAGACCATATGACCCTGGCCTATTCTCTTTAGTATGTTCCTAAAAAAATACTGTAGAGATACTCGCATGTCCACATTGATTCCAGCACAATTCACAACAACCAAGGTATGGAAGCAGCCTAATTGCCGGTCATCAACAGGTGATTGGATGCAGAAGTGTACAGATACACAACCAAGTATTATGCGATCATAAAGATGGAAACCGTGGCATTTACAGGAAAACCGATGGACCCAGAGACCATCAGAGTAAGTGCAGGGACCCAGACTCAGAAGTCACAAGTGGACTCTGGAAATAAACAAAGTGACATGAAAGTAGGTGTGGTATTAAACTAGAGAAGGAGGATTACAGGGAGGGAAATGGTGAAGGTAAGGAAAGATAGGAGGAGGTGGATCAAAGCTAACCTGCACACTAGACCACATTTAAATTTGTTCTGAGAAAAAATATTCCTGGTGGGAGGACAGGGCTGTCCTGGGTAAACAAGGGAACAGTGGCCACTCTTTTCTCTAGGGGATGCTGTTTTCTCTGATTAAAACCCAAAGTGCGGGAGAGGGGGAGAAGCCTGAATCTGTATTATGAAGAGCTTAGATTACAATTTGAAGAGTGCTTAGTTGGTGCTTTTGAAACATCTGTATCAGTCATTAAGGCTTAGATCTAAAATTCCTCCCCACCCCAAAGTCTCCTGTGTATGGAAGGTGACTGGGTCCTGGAGCTCTGTGCTCAGCACTAGTTAAGCCTAGAGCTGTTACACCTTATTACGCTAACCAGGGCCAAGAGCCTTGGCTGAAGCACCGCGTGCCCTGCTACATCCCTCTACTGTGCCCTGGCAGACACTGTGCCCTGAATGCACTGTGCTCATTGTGTCCAGACTGGCTGGGGCTCTAAGGTGTTTCATTAAAGAACACAGTTTTGGGGCTGGGGGTTTAGCTCAGCGGCATAAGCACCTGCCTTGAAAGCAGGCAGTCGTGAGTTTGATCCCCGGTACCTATAAGAAGGAATAAGACAAAAAAAAAAAGAAAAAAACAACACAGTTATAATATGCATTTTTAAGTCCCAGAGTTAATGCAGGGGACCCAAAGGTCGAATATGCAGTCCAGTAATATCAAATGTGTTTCATTTAGCACAAGATATCAAACATAGTGCCTATATGAACATGAAAATATCAGTGAGCTATTACTTTTTCTTTTTCTTTTTCTTTTTTTTTTTTTGACTAAGGCTTTTGGGTCATGTGTTTTCAATCAAGTGTTCAACAGGCACACAGAGCGCTTCCCCCAGGTTCCTAGACCTGCTATTCTGGTACCATCGCCCTCCACAACTGCAAAGTGATTGGCACGCACTTAGGTGGGGGCTGGGAGCAGGGTCGAGGGGCAGAGCACCCCTCATCTCGGGTCCACACCTGCAGTCCCGCTGGGTCCGATGGGAGTTTTAGGCTGCGGCCACGCACAGCATGCCGGGAATCGTAGTGCGCCTCAGCCCTCTACAAGGCGCTCCTGGCACACCATCCTCCATATGCTCGTAAGTACTCTTCTGCCCCATCCAATAAAGTTTCCGTTCTGGCCGACCGGGGACCCACCGCGAGTATGTGCTCCCAGCAACCTGCAGGGCTCTTTGGGATCCGGAGCCGTCCCCCATGCAAGCCCTGAGTTTCTTGGGCACTTCAGGTCTCCTTTTGCCTTGAGAGTCCCCGCCCATGGGAGCCTGTCCCCCATAGGCCGGCAGTGTAAGATGCCTGGAGTCCGGTGCTCTGGAGATAGGTTAGTTCTGAGTATTCCAGAAAGCGCTTCTCTTTTGTGGGCTGGCTGGCGCAGGGACCCCAAAGTGAAGTGCAGTTGCATCACTGTCTACACCCTAAATAATGTGGCACAATTGCTTGTCGGGGTGCAGGGATATCCCCAGAACAGGTCCCTGCCCTAAGTTAGCACAGTGCCTGTTTCCCAACAGAGAGTGGGCAAAGAGAGTGGTCACTGATCCAAAATCTTTGCCCTAAGCTCCATTCACAGCCCTGTCTTGCAGAAGGTGGGTGACTGGGGTTCAGCAGAGCCTTCCCAGCCGCTCCCCTCTGACCTCCTGCAAGGATTTGGTATGTAGTTACTGCTGATCTCTGAGGGCCCTGCTCTAAATCAAACCCTCTAAATGAAGCTGCGGCTCTGAGATCAGGTCTCCCGGAATCTCCAGGTTCACTGGGGCCTTGAGATTCTTTGGCTTTGTCTGTGTCCTTGCCACCAATCCCCAGGATGTGCTGGCACAGGGTAAGTCCCCTGATAAGATGCCACCTGTCAGGATCTCTGCCTTTTGCAGGGGTGAGAAGTGAAAGAAAGAGAGAAAGGAAGGAAGGAGGAAGGGAAGGATAGTAAATTCACCTCCGACATTTGCTGAAATGAAAGAACTAACATGGCAGCCAGTGGCACAAGAGGAAATAAGGCTTTCTGGTTTTATTGACTCCCTAGAGCACAATAATAGGCCCCAAATCTGACCTCCGTGGGCTCTGTCTAACGTCCCCTGGGAGATGCAGCTAACGGAGGGCTCCCCCAAGGTCAGTCTGCAAGGGAGAAAGAAGACTTGCTACAGAATGGAAGTCAGTGCAGTGTTGGAAGCTGAGGCAGGAGGATCACAAATTCAAGCCAGATGAGCACGTTAGTGACTTAGTAAGATTGTCTCAAAATTTCAAAAAAAAAAAAAAAATTAAAGAGCTGGGAAACTAAGAGTGTAAGTTATGAGTCTTGGGTTTAATAGTCCCAGTACTAGAATGAAAGAGAAAAAAAGAAAGAAACAAAGACAGAGAGAGAAAGAATTTTTCAGTGGCAGCTGATGCATGGGTCAGACTTTATGCTTTTTAAGTTTTTTTTTCCTTGTACTGGGGATTGAAAACAGGCATCCACACAGAGCCACATCCCCAGCCCTTTTTTATTTTTTCTTTTGAGTCAGGGTCTTACTAAGTGGTCCAGGCTGGGCTCTAACCTGCAATCTCCCTGCCTCAGCCTCCCAGGGCTCTGGGATTACAGGCATGCACCAACACACCTGGCTGACCTTCCTCTTTGGTGACAGGGGACCTAGTGATCTCTAGCCACACCGCGCAGCTCTCAACGCCACACGTCTGTCATTGCAGATGCACTGAGTATCCCTGCTGTCTGTTCAGATGGAGTACTGGGAGACCCCTGAGCCTACCACCTTTGTTGATTATGACCCTCAGAGCCCTCTGTGTGAGAATGAGGACATTGATTTGCGCAACTTGGACAATGTCCTCCTTCCCTGGGTAATACTGTCGCTCAGCCTGCTGCTGCTGCTCAGCCTGGTGGTCAACAGCCTGGTGCTGTGGCATTGGTGATGTACAAGCGCCTTCAGTCATTCACCACATTCTTCCTCCTTAACCTGTGCGTGTGGGACCTGGTGTCCTCGTTCCTGCTGCTGCTGTGGGTGTCTATAGAGCACTGGAGCTTGGTCCTGTGCAAGGCAGTCAGAATGACCTTCTCTGTCGGACTCTACAGCAGCATCTTCGTCCTCACCATCGTGAAGGGGCACCAGTACCTGTCAGTGGTGAGACCCCAGTGTATGCCACATGTCTGCACCCTGAGTTGCCGTGTGCTGGTGGTTGCAGCCATGTGGGTGGCCAGTGTCCTATCTTCCATCCCCGATGCCATCTTCTCTGAGGTGATTGATGATCAGTGTACATACTCAGGAACACTTGGCCTGCACGTCTCTGTCTATGTGCTCAACTTCGTGTTCCTGCTGTCCATGGTGACCATCTTTTTCTGCTACAAGCAGACTCTTAGGACCCTGTTCCACTCCAGGTCCAGGTGGCAGCACAGGCTCTTCCTCACCATCATGGCCCATGTCCTCAGCTGGGCCCTCTACAACCTCATCCTGTTCCTGCAGACATTGGTAAATATTGGGGTCATCCAGAGCTTCAAGACCAGGCCGCAGCTGGGCCGGGCCTTGTTTTTTATTCCATCCCCTGTCCTTCGCAAAGGGCTACCTTTGCCCACAGTTCTATGGCCACTTTGTCAAGTTCCGCACATACCTCAGAAGTCTCCTCCAGCATTTGTGCAGTGCTGTAAACTGCAGACACTCAGCCCTGCTGTGCTGCCTGGTCTCCAATCAGCTTCACCAATGAGTGTCCTTCCTAGGACTTCGGAGAGTGACAGCACATGTGCACCTGGACAGGGCACCCAGAGGGGAACAAGGAGAGGTGAACCAGAAAGGAACAGAGCAGCAGAGATGGCACCACTCACTGAGGGGGTGAAAGAAGGATGTGGGACCTGAGGTCTTCGGGGCCCCTCAGAGGGAAAGGGGCCCCACATGGGATTGATCCTGCCACACGGGACAACACTCTTCACACACAGTCACTCTGACTCATATTGCTCATCCCTGCTAGGGCTGCAGCACCTAAAACACAAAGGGCTCCCAGATAAGGGGCCTCTTTCTAGCCTTTGTGGGGGTCGGGGCTCTGCTGCTCCGTGGGTGTGATCAGGTTACAATGCAGGCAGCTTTCCCAACAGCCTCCCCTCCCTGGCTGCACTGTCCCCCAGCATAGCAAACCCTGACTTCCAAGCCTCTAAACTGAAGCTGGCTCTAAGACCTGGCTCCAGACAGTGCCATGGACACTGTCCTCACCTCTGCAGCTCGTGAGATTCCACTGAAGATGTAAGCACTGAGGGTGCTGACTTTTGCACTGAGTCTCTTTGGAGGACCCAGAGATGATGAGGCTGTGGTTCTCACCTCCAAGTGGGATCAGCACAGCCTGGAGTTCCGGGAGGCTTCTCCTACAATGTGCAGTCCCTTGCAGATGACTTGGTCACTTTCCCCTAGATGTCCCACTCTGGCAAGACTAAAGGGTCCAGCTTTCCCCATCCCCACACACCTCCCTTCTTTCACCCCTGCCCCATGTCAGTTCCCACATTTTCTTAAATGCTTCCCTTAAATTTCTGGACCATGCCTGACAGCTGAAGTCTGAAATCCCCTGTTTGGGGAAACATGCAGACTCTCATTGACTCTTCTTGAACTGAGGAGCACCTATGTCCACCTTGGATAAACCTGGCCCTGTCCATGTATTGAAATGTAGGGAACTGGCCAGGCTATTTTTATGTCCCTTCTATTGGCTTTAAATAATGTAAACTTGGATGGCTGAGGAGCTGAGGTGTCACCCCTGAAGCCAGGGGACAGGTCAGTGTTACCCTGCCCAGTGACTTCTCAAATACACAGTTGAGACAGGCAGGATGGAGAGCCGTGCTCCAGTTGTCTGTTAGGCCCAAACCTTGAGAGAGAGGCTGTGACTTCCTGGGGCAAAGAGGACTGCCCATCAGAGCCGAAGCACCAACCCCAGATTATCAGCTGTGTTATGGGATTGCTCCCTCTGTGTATCATAGGACTGATCTCAGCCTCCCACCTAGCCCATGGTAGTCATGGCAGTCATATATTTCCCACCACTCTCACTGTCACTCATCTCTGAGCCACTCCCCTCATGGAGAATCAATAAAACCTGGGAAGGGCACTGGATCAGGCCATTTTTCCAGTCAATACCATGTTGGCTGTACTCAGGACTCCTTTGCTCCCCACAACTGTACATATGTCTTAGCATCTTTCTTCTCGCCTTGGGTTGCACTGCAAGTGGCAGACTGGAAATAACTCACTGGAATTCCAATAAAGTCTCCATGGGATTATAAATATGAACCTCCAGGACCTTAACAACGATGGGAAGGGGTTCTCTGTACTCTGGATTGCCCTGCATCTTACCACGGCTCCCCTCCACAGCCAGGCTCTCCGAGGATCTTCAAAACTCTTCTCAGCCCCAGTAGCTTCCAAAAAAGTGCAAACCCTCATCCCACTTGGAGCTCTTGGCTCAAGGAGCTTCAGATCCAACCAGAGACCTCTCTCCTCAGTCTCCTGCCTCTGCATGTCTGTCACATTCTCACCTGAACCTGGACTTCCAGTCCTTCTCCTCCTGGGCTCCCAGCTCCAGCTGAGAGACCAGGTCCTGCAGGAAGCCTCCCCATTCTACAAGTCTGAGGGGTGTGCTTTGGGCCGCTGTCCCTCTTGGCAGTATTTGTCAGGCTCTGGCTCTCAAGCTGTCTCACACCTGGTTGGAAAGAGGCTGGCCTCGAGCCCTGGGGTGCTAATGCTGAGAGCAGAGAATAACAGCTGTCTCCTTCCTTGCGCTCTGTTGGGGCCATGCCACAGGGCACACTGGACCTTCTTTGCCCCAAATTGCTCTTGTAGAAACATTGAACTTTCCTTGTCTACACCCTCAGAGCACACTGCTGACCCCTCTCAATGCCCGTAGCTCTGCTGTCCCTTGCCTCCTTTTGTGTTCCACAGGGCTACCTTTTCCAGGAACCCACAGCTTCCCAGCAAGAGCATGGACACAAGTCACCCTCTTAATCTCCATGCCACCAAGGCCCAGGTCCGAGATGTGAGCCTGACTCTACTCAGGGCTGAGAGTCTAGAAACTGCCCAGCAGGATTCCGACTTGTGCCCCCCACCCCGTTAGGAACATGGGGCTGCACGTGGGGAACTTCGGAGACTCCTGATCCCGTGCTGTTCCTGCAGCAGGACCTTGCATGCGGAAGCCATGAATATGCCCTCACTGAATGAACTGGCTTCTCAAAGCTGTGAGCCAGGGCCCGGAGAGCTGGCAGAGCATTCTCCCCTTCAGTCCCAGCTGCAGCCCCAGCCACTGACTTGTCACAGGGTGGGGACCTGTCCAGGGAAGAACATGGGTCTATCTTAGCACAAAAGCCAAGGGAGCCTTCTGGAGAGGCCCAGGTGGTACCACAGCGACAGGATAAGACCCCATGGATTCGCTACCCTCACTCAGAGGCACACAGGTCACTGCAGAAGTAAGGGATAATGAGGTGGTTTGTGAGATGAGACCCAGGCCCAGAGACCCTCATCAGGTTAACCTGCAAGCACCCTTTAAACCTGATCATTAAAGATTTCTTCTGCTTTATTTAGAGGCCAGGTGTCCCACAGAGCAGAGGGCAAAGGAGCCATGGCACACAGGCTGGGTAGCAGGCCACTTTGGTGTCGCCCATCATTCAATAGCGTCCCTTTGAGGGGCTCACTCTGCCCTCTCCCCGTCTCAGCCTAACCTTTTCACACCAGGATGCTTCTGTAAAGATTTCTTGAACACCTCTCCCTGGGCTCCTTTCTTAGAAGCCATCATGGCTGTTTGGTGGCACTATCATGAAGCCCTGGCATCCCTGACAGAGTTCCTGGTCTTGCGGGAAATTCCCCAAGCCAGCCCAACCAAACCTAACCAAAAGAAGACTTTGCAGCAAGGAGTTAGGAAGGCAATTTAATCTTTATACCATTGACTGCTGGAGTTCACCCCAATGGACTATTGCAGGGATAATTCCTCCCTAGCAACCCTGAATCAGGAAGGAGTTTAGTCTATATAGAATTAGAAGTGAGAAGTACAAAGCAAGTAATCAAACATCACATGATTTGTTACCTACGTTGAATCATATATTGACAGGCAGGCAGGTCTTGAAAAAATAGAAACACTCCAGGAACCAGGGGAGGAGGCTCTCACCAATGAGCACAGTTAAAGGGGAAAGAAAGGTGGAGAGAAGATATTTACTGAATGGGCAAGAATCAGCCCAGGGTGCCTTAAGATATGGACAGCTACTCTGACTCAGTGCTTTTGTGCAGCTGGGCTGTGGACACCGTCAGAGTCCACTGAATTCAGCAGAAACAGCAGAGCAGCAGCTTGGACAGAGGCCTCTAAGTGATCATGAAATACCTGTAAGTTTACCGTCTCATGAATGTGTTTCTGCATTATAACTGTGCCCCAGCACAGGCCCAATCTTTTATCTTCTGCTAATTTTACTCCTCAGGATCCAGGGGAAGAGGCACAAAGACAGCTGTGAATTGGAAAAGAAAAGGGTCCCAGCAGAGGCGGGACACGGATGCAGGGATCCTGGCACAGCCCTCCACTGGCCTGGCCTCCCTGCTTCCTCTGCCTGCTGAAACCCTGGTCCACCTCAGTACCTCAGCCTCACAAACTGCTCCTCCCTGCGGCACCCTGGGCCCAAAGCTGCAAACCACTGGCCACACCTGGACCCTGGAAATACCACAGTAGTGCCTGAGGAAGCTCCTCTCCCCACACTTCCTCCTCCAGGCTCCCCCAGAAGGACCAGAAGAGCAGAGCCTGTGGTCAAGCCTAGGGCAGCCAAATAGACTCCCTGGAGGCCACACACCAGTTTTCAGAAACTTCCTGGGGCGCTCTGCTCTGCACTAGTTAAATCCTGAGAGCCGTTGTAGTCTAATTACTGGGAACTGGGGCCAAGAGCCCTGGCTGTAGCTCTGCGTGCTATCCCTTGCCTCTACCAGGTGCCCTGAACTCACTGTGCTCATGGTGCCCAGCTGCAGATTCACCAGCCCAGACTGGCTGGAACTGTAGGGTAGTTCATTAATGAACACGGTTTCAATACGAATTTTTAAGCCCCTGATTTAACGTGGGGGACTAAAAGTTAGGATACAAGGTCCAGCAATATAAAATGTTTTTTAGCCCAATCACAAACAAGGTACCAATATGGAAGAAAATAAAAGTATCAGTGAGTTGTTTTACATCTTTTTCTTTTTTTGGTCTTAGAATCCCGGTGTGTTTTCTATCAAGTGTTCAATAGGCGCTTCCTTCGGGGCCCCAAACCTGATTTTCAGGTGCCACCGACCTCCACAATTGCAAAGGGCTTGGCAGGCACGTGTGTGAGGGTTGGGGAGCAGGGACGTTGGAGCGGAGCATGCCGGGAGTAGTAGTCCGCACCTGCCTACCCCGCGAGGTCTATGGGAGTTGTAGGCCGTGGCGCCCGGGCAACATGCCGGGAATCGTAGTCCGCCTCCGCCCGCGCCCGGGCGCGCGCGTCACAGCTGCCTGTGCCGCGCTCAAGTACTCTTCCGCCCCACCCGAGAAAGTTTCGGTTCTGCCAGACTGGGGACTCACTAGCGAGTAAGTGCCGCCGGAGACCTGCGGGGCTCTGGGGGATCCGGGGCCGCCTCCCCCGAAGCGGAGAGTGCGCCGGGGCACCGCGGGTCACCTGTTGCCTGGAGCGCCCCCGCCCTTCCCGGGAGCCCTGCGAACCCTGCCCTGGGGCCCTGTCCCCTCTGGGCAGACAGAGTACGGGGCCCGGGGCCGATGCCCTGGGAGTCAGTTAGGCCTGGGGACCCCAGACAGCACTAATGTTTTATGGGCAGAAGGGCGCATGGGACCCCGGTTGGGGATCTCGGTGCCGGCGCGGGGCCCAGGCCGTCGGTTTCGCTGGTACCGCCCTCAGGAACCACCGATTCCGGCTCATCGGGGCTGGCGAGCCCTGACCCTCGCAGCGCGGGACCCTCATAACTTGGTCCCCCTCCCGGGAGGGAACGCTGAGCTTTCAGGCCCCGCAGCCGGCTTTGCCACTGCGTTCTGCGCCCGGCAGCAAGATCTAGCGGTGGCCCAATGCCACCGCCTCGGAACCCACTCTGCTGAGCCTGCCCTGGCCGGCAGAGTCCACTCTGTTGACACCTAGGCTGGCTGTGTAAGAAAACACTGAATTTCACCTTTATATAAGAAAAGCACATGCGGTTGACACTCTACCCACGTGGCTTCCCGTTGATACACATGTGTCCTGTGATGCCCTTGTCACTGTGTCACTGTCCCCATGGCCTCCCCCTCCAGAAAGAAACAGAGCTCTTGTTGACACCGTCAGAGCTAGCCTTACCACAGCAGTTTCCATTTCCGGCAGAGAAATGGGTCAGGGGCTTTTTAGGGGCAGAGGATCAGGGCTTAATCTGCGCTGTGGGTCCTGCGGTCTCCTGCGGAAGCTTAATTCCCTGCCCTCTGTCTAATGCTGCTGCACCTGCGCTGTAGGTGTTGGGACCCCGGCTGTGCATTTCTGCAGTTCAGTGTCCCCCCTATCTCCTGAAGGGGCCCGAGAAGGGTGGGTGCTATTTAACCCTTTGGTTTTTTGCAGCCACCTTTGGCTTTGTGTCGACCTTGGGTACTGTGTCCCGGAAGGCAGAGTTAATGTCATAGTGCTGGTTGTCTTCTGATTAGAAGGATCTGATAATGATAAAGCTGTTGCTTTAGGAAACGGTTTATCTGCATCCAAGGAAAGTGTCCATCTGTGTGCAAGCACTTCGATTACTTTTCAGTCTTTTAAGAAAATAAGCGTCTAGACTCTCAAAGAATTGTGTGGTGACCTTTCTTCTACTCTTAGTATTTTCCTTTGATTATTTCTACATTTGCTTTAGCAATTAACATTGACTTAGTCAGTGAAACTGTAGCTGTTCCTTTGCCGCCTGGGGCTGGACTTGGGACCCCTGCCTGTTTCAGGAGCCAGGTTTTTAGCCTGGTTCCTCCAGGCAGGCTGGCACCATCTGTAACAGCAAGATCAAAGTGTGTGTTGCCTTTGACTCACACAGGTCACCGAGGCTGGGAGCTGCTGCCTCTGGAACAGAGTAGGTGTTGAAGAAGCGCACCCGCCCAGCCTGGCTTCCCTGTGTGGGAGAGGTTTAGCAGGTGGGCAGCCCGTGTTTTCTGGAGATGCTAAAGATCAGAAGCTGTCACTCCAGACCAGAGTGTCCTTAGCCTGGGAGCAGAGGAAGTGTGCTATCTAGTTGTGGCGTTATGGGAACCATGCTCCTTGCGGACAGCCCAGGAAGCTAGCAGGGGTCCCTCCCTGGGGCTGCAGCCTCAGGAACTTGAGTCTGGTTGTGTTGGCATCTGCCGTGTTCTGGGGAGTGCTCAGAATAAACAGTGTTTGAGCCTCAACTAGAGCAGTGAAATAAGTGAGAAGGATAAGAAATCGGATGCCCATAGAACATTGGCTACTTTTTTGCTATTTTATTTTATTTTATTTTATTTTGTTTTGTTCTTGACTAAAAGTGACTGGGGTCTCTGTACTGTCTGGGCCTTGGGAAGAGACCAGCAGAGGCGATGTGTGGTCAGGCAAAAGGAGTTCTTTCACATCTCTCGTCCCATGTTAGAGCCACTTAGCATCATGGTGCCAGTGACCCCAGTGGTCCTTCCTGTTCTCATGGGCCTCTGTGCCTTTGCAGAGATGAGGATGTATACTTCAGTGTGGCTCTGGGGAAAGGCTCAACGAGAATCTGTGGTTTCATTACAGAACTGTGGCTTTGAGGTTGGCTTCAGGGCCCAAAGGCTGGGCTGGTCAACACCCAGGGAGCAAGCGGAAGAAAAATCTGGACCAAACTCAGCTTTCCAAGCAAGGCCTTGGCATGCAAGGGGGCTAAGCCTCGAGTCGCCAGAGGAGCTCAGCGTGGTGCTGGGCAGCCCAGCAGGGGCACAGGTTACAGAGGAGCTGAAGGGACTTCCTGGCACAGGTTCCGTTTCCAGGATGGCTGTAGACTTGGTCTAGAGCAGGGAGGGGCACTCAAAAGCTATGGCCTTGGAGAATGTCTGTCCTTCCTCTTTCTCATTGCCTCCAGCACAGTGATCCCTAATCTCTCCCTGTGGAGGAAGGTAAGCACCGGATACAAAACAAGTAGGGATTAGCCCTGCGTGGTGACTCACACCTATAATTCCAGCACTCAGTGAGGCTGAGGCAGGAGGAGGCTGGAGAATCATAGCACATTCAAAACTAGCCTGGGCTACAAAGTGAGTTCAAGGCCAGCCTGAACTGCATAGGCAGAAAAAAAACAAGTAGGAAGAGATCAAGGGATCAGATAACTTGCCCAGCACAGACAGGTGGTCTGGAATTACGTAGCTGGTGAGCTAAATAGATCCTGGGCCTCACCCAGCCCTGGCTTAGCCTTCACCGTGCTGCTCGTTACATAGTAGAGATGGAAGGTCACGGAACAGGTTTGACTCACAGAATCCGATGAGGGTCAGGGTGACAAAGCCGGCTCCCACAATGGTGAGAAGCTTCCGAGCCAGCCTGGTCTCTTTTGCCTCCCTAGACTGGACTGCCCCCTAGACTGGACTGTGTCCTGCTGTAGTCACCACCATAAGCAAGATGCCCCACCTCAGTGGCGACTTCTCTCCTGTGTAGAAGCCGGAAGCCTGAGGTCAGGGTCTTGGCAGGTTGGCCTTCTCCAGTGTCTGCCTGCTGCTGGGTCCTTGCATGGCTTTTTGTCTGTTCTCAGAAAGCCTGGGTTTTCTTTTGTATCCCAGATTCCTCTTGCCATGAGGACACCGGCCAGCCTGGATTGCAGCCGCCTACATGGCCTCTTTAATCTGCTGCACCTCTCTTAAGGCCGGGTCTTCAAAAGCAGCCACACTGCACAGTAGAGGTTAGGGCTTCACATGAAAACAGGAAGAGACAGGGACCCAGTTAAGCCCCTAACAGGTGGGCTGAAGCAGTGGGGACAGTGGTTACATTTTCCTGGATGTAGTAAAGGCTTCTGAGTAAGCTTTCCACTTCCAGTGGTACGTATTTCCTCCCGTCCTGGTTAAAACCAGAAAGTTGTGGGGAGCTGACAGAGGAGGGCTAGGGGCACCAGACAGAGGGCATGGAGCATCAAAATCCCAGAGCATGGCCCTGGCCACTTCCGGGTAGCTCAGGCCAGAGCACAACCAGAGGGAAGGGAGGAGGGGCAGGCCAGGAGGTGGGGACAAGTCTGGCAGCCGTCACCTGCACGCTCTGGACAGGGAGGGGCTGTTCATAAAGAGAGGAGAGGTCTCCCCCAGCCCTCATCTGTTCCTAAAATGCTCAGGAGTTCCAAAGATTTTCACAGTGATGACAATACAGAGTCCACAATTACTATTTGATTCTTAAAAGGCCATGTGAAAGTAACTGATCCTGAACAAAGGAAATTTGAAACTCAGAGCAATGATTTTTAGCAGTGAATCTACCTACATTCCCACCATTGACAGAGTATTGTCATTCACATTTTTGATGTGTTTCTGGGCCTCAAAGTGTGGTTCAGTTTGTAGGGCAAGGATTGGATTTCATCTCATTCCTTCAATTATTCCTTCAGTCATTCATCAAGCTGCTTGTTGGGGGCTCTCTGTGTATCAGAACTGAACCAGCTCTTGGAGTGATGATGAGCACAGAGGGGAGAAGAGTGAAGAAACAAGCTGTCCCTGCGGTGGTGGGGACAGCCCCAGAGCCGGGAAGGAGGCCTGGAGGGAAGCCTGCTGCTGAGGCTGACATCATGGGGCAGTGTGGTTTTATGTCTCATGCATTCATTGTCCTCATCAAAGCACTTGGCCAGCCTTTAGGGACTCTGCTTGTTTGCAGTCCTGTTGGGGTTTATGTCGTCTGGGCCAGCATGGAGCTAAAAGTCTCCTGTGATGGGGGTGGGGGTTGTTGGAAGGTGATTGGGTTGTGGTTCGCTGTACTCATGTCCATTGGTGAGTTCAGAGCTGAACGTGCTGTTAGGAGCTGGAGCCAATCAGAAGAGATGGGTCACTGGGCTTGACCTGGAAGGGCATGTTCTTCTCACTGCCTCCCCTCTGCTCCGTGGCTGCACAGGTGAGCAGCCATGGTTCCTGTCTTGGAACCAGCTGACCACAAACTGAACCCACTGAGCCAGGGACCCTGTCTTCCTTTAAGTTGTGGAGGCAAGTATTCTGTCCGAAAGAGGGGACAGGGACTCAAAGCATTGTCTGTTTCTCCCACTGAGCACAAGTTTCCTAAAGGACCAGCCCTGTACCGTGGGTCTTGTTCACACCTGGACCAGACCTGCCTCTTTGCAGTGGTGCCCACACCACTTCTTTCACCTCACTGGCAGTTTGTTAGCACAGGAAGTCACCTGTGGCTTCCTCAAAGCCATGGTTCGTGACTGTGACATGTTCTATCAGCTGCAGGTCTTAACTCATAGTTGGCTACACGAACCCTCTTGATACAGGAAGGCTCTGGAGCCCTTGATTTTGGAGAGCTGTCGTGTCTCCTTGCCTGGGTGGGACAGCTCTCTGGGGCGGGAGTGGACACTCCACTGAGTGCTCACTTACCTGTGTGTTTGTTCTGCAGACTTCCCAGATCTATCATCCTCACCCTTGTGTCCAGTAGCAGGCCCTTGACCAGCAGCCCTGGGGACAGACATGTGGCCTCTCCCTAGGGCTACTGACCACCTTTCTTGGAGGTAGCCAGCATCTCTGAGGTCCCTGCAGCTCCTCCTGCGCTCAAGTCCTCCTGACTCTACTCTCCTGGGTCCATGGACTGGGTCATGGAGGCTGTGTGTGTGTGTGTGTGTGTGTGTGTGTGTGTGTGTGTGTGTGTGTGTCTGTTTACTGAAATTGAGGGGGCGGTCAAGAGAAGATTTAAGAAGCTATAGTGAAGTGCCCAGGCCTCATTCCTGGGGAGAGAGAAAAGATCACAGGTGAGAAAGGCCTTTGAGGAAGATGCCCCAGCCAACACACAGCTGGTGAGGGCTTTAATCACAGGCCCCAGGGGCTGGGTCACCCAGCAAGCCTTTGTTATCCATGCAGAGGCATCTCCCTCTGCACTGGCCATAGCATACCTGTGTCCTACCCATGCTCCTGGGCTTCCTGCCTGGGTCACTGCCATGCCCCCCTCAGCTTCTGGGCTGGGGACAGCAGTACCTCTGGGCCTTCAAGAACACAGGTACCATGCAGCTGTGCCCTCCGTGTGGGCAGGAGCCAGGTGTACACCGCCGTGGGATGTGCTGGCCAGGCCCCAGCTGTGCACACACTCAGAGGCTCGTCGCTCAGGAACCATCCTTGCTGTGAACATCCCTGCAGCCAGGGTGGGATTCAGGTGCTCTGTCTCATTCGCCTTTGCCCAGCTGGGCCACATCTCCTGGGTTGCTTCTCTCCTGTGTTTGGAGCAAAAGTTTGCAACCACGGCAAGGCTGGCTTCCACATCTCCGCTCCTCCTCCCTCCTGTCCCTTCTTTCCTCGTGTGACTGCTCAGACACAGATTGCTCCTGCCTGGCTAGTTGCTGGACAACTTTTGTGTATTAGTCATTTGCACCATAGTATAAATAAGCATATGTGAGTCAGTGAGTATCTTTGCATCTTAACTGGGGCCTAAGGTGCTGCGTCTGTTGTAGAAGGCATGTAGGACAGCCAGACAGGGGAGGTCAGGGAAGGTCTCCTCTCTAAAACAATGTCTGGCCATGACTGGGAACTCAGACAAGGCCCTAAGTCACCAGTAAGGGTCTTTAAAAACGTGTTTCATCCCTCTTCTTCCTTTTCAAGAGATTGGTTATTTTCAGGGATTTTGGGTTGGCTTAAAAGTAATTTTGAGTTGCCAACAAGAAAATCCATTTATCCTCAAAGGTTTTCTGGGGTGGATTTGTCTGACATTTGAAGGGGCCCGTCAGAGACAGCCAGAAAGGTTGCTCATCCCACTGCAGGACCCTGTGTTCCCACAGGTGATGGCTCAGCCTCCCGGGTGCCAAGCTGGCTGCCTGGGTTAGGAGAGCAGCATGCTGACCGGTGCTGGACATCAGCATGGGGGAGAGGTGCCCAGCATCCTGAGACGGTGACCCCACCTCACGTCTTCCTCAGCAGTGACAACCCAGAGCTGGCAGAGGACGATGAGGGCAGAACCCCGAGGCCCAAGGAAATAGAATTTACTTCCCAGAAGTACCATGGTAAGGAAGCCCCCCGGCGACACACAGGCCTGGCACCCAAGCCAGGCTCTCTGGAAAATCACCTTGTGTAACCACACTGTGACCCAGGAACCTGACTAGACAGGCACGCTGCGAAGCCCAGTCACCCTGACACAGGGCAGCGGCCTTGTCAGGCTGCCTTAAGTCCCCGAGGGGCACCTTTTCAGAAGTGCATAACTGTGATTTCAGCTTTCTGGGAGGCTGGGCTAGGAGGATTCCTAGTTGGCGCCCACCCTAGGTAGGTTAGCAGGATTTTGTCTCAAAAGAGGGAGGAGGATATAGCCCCGAGCAGAGATCCTGCTTTCATTCCCCAGGTCACAAAGCAAGCAAAGAAACAAGCAAAATCCACATTTCCACGGTGTCAGGCTGCTGCCAGGAGCCAGGGTACTGTTCTGATTTGTGCCGCTGGCTGTGGGTGGGATCTGATAGGGCTGTCTCCTCCTCTCCTCTGCCCCTGAGTGTATGAGGAGCACAGAGACTGTGCCTTGTTGGTGGCTCCAGGGCGAGTGCAGTCCTCATCAGGAGCCAGCTCCCATCCTGTTTTCCTTTGCTTCAGGCCCAGCCCAGCCCAACGCTGTCCCAGGGTGCCCACCACCCTCTCCCATCCCAAGCAGGACTCAGAGGTCCTGCACCAGCTCCCCCCACAGTGTTTAAAACTCCGTCACAGCGCTGCTGTGTTATTCTGAGTCACAGTTCGCTTATGAGTCTGACAAGCATTTGTCCAGTATTGATGTAAGGGAATGAAACTCCCAACCTACTATGTTGCGTACGAGCCTGTGTTCTCTAAAATCGAAGAATGAATTTTAGGAACAACAGAGGTTAGGAGCAGAATGAATTTATTGAGAGAAAGAAAGCTTCTGTCTGGGAGAGACAGTAGGGGTCCTAAGTGGGTTGGCAAAGACCCTGTCTTTCCTAGAGATTTTATAGAGCAAAACCACTGGCGGGTCCACTATGGTGAAAAATGAGAAGTCACAAAGTGGACGGGCATGAGGTGGGACAGAACTGTGGTCAACCAATAAGATTAACTGTTAGGTAAAATTGACCACAGATGGGGAAGGGGGAGTCACCTAGCCAGCCAGCATGCATAACGAGCAGTGGCTCGCCCTTTAGGGGTTTGGGATGGTGACTCCTGGCTCCTTCAAGGTGATCCACGTGCCTAGGGTGTGGTTGCATTTATTTTGCCTTTTGTCTTGAGGCCTGGCCCATAGTGGAGGCGTCCATCGCCCCCACTGTTGTAAGTATCTGGGCTTCTGCACTGGCTCCTTTGAGGGCCCAGCCTGTCTGACTTCCTGTGACATTTCTAACCAACTCTCTTGCCTGTAACAGCGTGTTGTCGTAGAACCACCTCCACAATGCAGGCACAGACAGCGCCCCGAGTCCTCCCAAGGCCTGTGCAGTGCCCACTCCCTTCTCCCGGCTCAGCTGGCCTGGGTTCTCCCCAGTGTCTCCACTGACTGCAGCATAACAAGGGCTGGGGCCTGGGACTTCCCGGTGCTTCTCGGAGTCAGCACCAGATCCACCCAGGCCTGTGTGTCTGGTGTCCACTCCCCTGCACAGCAGAGAACTTTTACTGAGGCCCACTTCCTTCCTCTCTGTCTGGCAGGGATAGTACTTCTCCAGCGGACTCCTTGGTGGACAGCCAAGCACTGCCAGGCTGGGTGAGGCCTTGTGTGCCTCAATATCCCCAGGAGACTGCGGGACAGCCTAGGGTGGCTGGATAGCCAGCACTGGCAGTGACTCCTTGAGCTCTCCTGCAACCGAGGGTCTGAGCCTCACTCTCCAGGGCCCTGGCTGCCACCGCCTGTTGGTCACTGTACTTGGCAGGCGACCCCCAGGGACAGATGGGAGGACTTCTCCTGACCCCTTCTCCCTCCATGTGGGGTCCCTGGAGCTCTGTGTCATAACCTGGAACTGCGGAACAGGTCTGTCCCGAATGCTTCCTCCCCTGAGGCCACCCAACCTCTCGCTGGGCTTTGTCCACTTGGAGTCACAGCCAAGTGTGGCAGCTAAAAATAGGCCCTGTGCCAGCCTGCCCCTCCCCGTACTGACACCAGGGTGCCTGTGTAAATATTTGGGGCTGCTTGGCCCAGGACCTCTTCCCTTCCAGGTCCCCTCGCCCTGGCTCCCGGGGAAGGGGCACTGGCCACGGGAGAGTGAGCAGTGGCCTGCATTGGACACACTTGGCCCATGCATCATTTACCAGGTGCCGTGGCTCCGGGAGGCTCCGAGGAAGGGGTTGGGTGGCTTCCCCTCTGCTCCGAGCCTCAGGCTGGCTGCTCAAGTCCCTGGGCGTCAGGTTTTCCCATGTAAACAGGGGTGATGGTGGGAACGAACCCGATCACCTGTGTGAATGCAAAGTGGCTGTGCACAGCGGCCTTCCCAGTGTGAGCGGCTCCTGCAGCCCGCCCTGCCCTGCTGTCTGCCTGTGCCAGCAAACGCATGCATCCACCGTGTGGCCTGGGAGCAGCTGGGGGCTGCAGGTGGTAGAAAGAGCTCCCTAATGGCCAGGGGACACAGGCAAGCGAGGAGTTTTTCGTTGATCCTCCACAGAGAGTGGCAGGGGAGCCCCATAGAAGGCACCTTTCAGGGTGAAAAGCTGAGATTCCCGTGTTTGATTTTAAAGTGAAGAAGGATCCAGCAGCGACACCCAGGGCTTCAGTGCCACCCATCCCAGTTCTGAGCACAGCCAGGAGCTGTTTGAGGACTGAGTGGTGCTCTTGTTCAGCAAAGTTCAGCATCGTCCTTGGGAGTGAAATTAACAAAGGGGCAAGGGTTCGGGCGGCGACCAAGGGGCAGGGTGGCATGTGTGTCAGAAGAGGCTCCTGATACCGTCTCGTGGGCTGGGGGAGGAAGGTGTTCGAGCCATGTGAACCACAGGTCCACGGTGTCATGCATAGTTCTGGGGCGCAGCCTTGGGCTGGAAGGTAGCAGAGGACCCCGTGGGGTCTAAGAACATGTCCAGCCCTGACCACCACCGTGACCTTAGCTCGCATTGACAGCTACCTGAGTAGGGGATTCCCCAGCAGGAGAGAGGGGTTACTAACCGAGCCTAAAATAGAGCCACGTCCCTGGATTGGCACACAGGCCCTGGAACAGCCAGCCAGGTGGTGAGTATACTCCAAGCTGAGCCGGATGGTGGGCATCGGGAGGCTGCAATCCCCCTTGACAAGGGAGATACATCCCTGCGTGGCCACCAGGCTGTTCTGTGCAGCAGACCCGAGCACATGCACCCCAGCGCAGGTGCTGGCCTCTCCAGGAAGAGGGGACCATTGGCTGTCCAGGGAGCAGTGCCATCTACACCCAGCTCTCTGGGTCCAGTGTAGGGACAAAGGAGCCCCCAAGGGCTTCTCTGATGACCACAGGGGAGCCCATGCTTCCCAGGGGAAGGGAAGAGGGGCCACAGGAGGAATGGGCTGCTGCTTGGTCAGTCTGGCTCCTTGGAAAGCCACAAGCTGGCTGGCCAGAGATGACAAGCAGGTGCCAGAGACCAAGTGGGACAGGAGCAAGAGCCATGCTGGGGGCCCAGCAGCAGAGTCCCCTAACACCCTTAAACCAGGTCTCTGACTGCTCCCTTCACTACCTCTCTCTCCTGGGCAGGTGCCACCATGGTACATGACAGCCACTGACCGGACGGCCACACAGCTTCTCAGCCCCAGTCTCCACTGACCACGCAGCCACGAGCAGGGACTCACCATGGCCTCTAGTGGTGCCGAGGGCCAGCTGCAGAGAATCATCCGAGACCTGCAAGGTTTGCCTGCTCACTGATACTGAAATGTCAAGCCCCGGGGCCGTGTGTAGGGCTGGGCACACCATCCTGTGCACCTTCCTCAGGCAGGACAACCAGTTTGTAAACAAAGCCAGGTCTGGTTTCAGCATGGGACACTCACCTTGCCTGCAGGCTGTAGGGTCCAAGGTTACCTTCCCCCCTGGTCTCCCTGGGCCAGTGTGATGGCCCGTAGTCTGCCCTGCCGGATCACCATGTGCCTCTGTGCCAACGGGAACATTTTTCCCGATCCACAGGCGGGCAGACCCATGAGCTATTGTTCATACCAAGGCCAGGTAAAGGTCCCTTCTGGGGGCAGAGCATCTCCTCCCCCATGCTCTGGCGGCCACGCCCTACACAGGTTGAGGAGCCCACCTGAGACATGGACCAGGACCCTGTCAGAGTCCTGATGGGTTTTGTTCTGTTTAGTTTTGGAATATTTGCACAGATTTACCAGTTGAGCATTCCTATTCTGAACATCTGAATGCCCAAGTGCTCCCAAATCTGAAACTTTTTGCATGTCCTGTTTCAGGGCTCAGGGTGCTTGCTCTGTAGCGGGCACGAGGTACCATTGTGCACTGTGTCTGGGGGAGACTCAGCACACCTAGGCCAGGCCTTGTCAGGCAGGTGCCACCATTACTCCTCCTGCAATGAGGAAGCAGCACAGAGAGACTGAGGGACTCACGCAATCATGCTGCCTGGGTGCGGCACCCAGGTCTACACACCAGCAGTGTGGCCCCCCTAACTGTGTTGAGGAGCTGCTTACCTCCTATGGGGAAGCATTGGGAGAGACAAGAGGCCTGGGGTCCCCCACTGAGCCACGCCCTCATCCAGCTAGGCTGTACATGGTCCCTGATAGCACTGGGGTCTAGGGAACCAACCCTTAGCAGGAGGTTCTTCAGGGACGCTTATCCAGACACAGCAGCCACGGCCATGTGCAGGTCCCCGGCTCTGGGGTGGATGCACAGGGAAGACCAGGGATGCTCTGACTCATGACCTGGCCTCTGTCCCTGGATGCTTGAGCACCTTCTACGCTGCCTCCCTGCATGCTTCCCTCTCTGCTCACTGCCACCATCTGGTCACCTGTGCCTATCCTGTCCTGAAGATGCTGTGATGGAACTAAGCAGCGAGTTTAAGGAAGTGGGAGAGCCCATCACCGATGACAGCGCCAGCCTGCACAAGTTCTCCTACAAGCTTGAGTACCTCCTGCAGGTAGGCGCCCCCCACATGTTGGCCTGGAGCATTGCCCCATGTCCCTCTTGGGATGTGGTTAGTGGGAGGACAGAGCTGTCCCCAGCAAGAGCTTCCCCTCCAGTGTGTCCTTTGTAGGGGTGGTGGGGCCCTCAGGTGGTTTGGGAATGGAGAGCATCCCTTAGAGTCTGGGTACCCTTCGGCAAATCTCCCACTTTGGGGGCTTCCATGTCCCCATGAGACTTTATTGGAAGCTGGGAGTCTCTCCCCAAGTAGACCAGCGAGGAGATACCCGAGCTGCCACACAGGCAGCTTTGTGGGGTGCTGGGCCCTCGGGGAGCTCAGCCTTTTGAAGGGCACCATCACTATCCCCCAGCCCGAGCCGGCAGACTCCGTCCTACGTTTTGCTGGAAACTCTTTCCACTTCTAGAAGCTCCCAGCCCACTCAGCTGCAGAGCCCCAAGCTAGAGAGCTCTGCAGGGAGGGAAGACTCATCAGCCAAAGTGGGTGGGAAGGAAGTGGGCCTGAGCAGTGGTATCAGGCATCACAGGTTTCCGTTTTGGTTTTTTTCTGTGTTTTTACTTTGTTGTGTCTCCGTTTCCTCATAGTGCATGTATCGCTTGCTTGCTTAATCAGGAGAAAAATGCCATTAAACATAGATCTGTCCTCTCACTTTATAGTATCACCTCCTTCCAGAGCACATAGGAGAAGAGGCCACCAGGGGAAAGGCCAGGTGCGGGAGGGCTCCTGTCCTCAGGCCACCACCTCATCCCTTGTGTGACATTGTAAAATGCCTATCCCCACCCCCTTGTTAAGCCCATTTTGGTTTAGGATTAGAAATGACTCAGCTGACATTCATCGAGTTTGTTACATGGGTGGTAAAGCAGGGTTAGAGCTCCAGAGTTGAGCACTGGGATAAAGTACCATTGTCTCACCTCCCTCCACGGCAGGTTTCCACTCCTCACGCAGATTTAAGACTCCGCTCGGGTGTCTTCTCATGTACTGGATTGAGTCCATTTTGGGTGCATAGAGGTCCCTGCAGGGATGCGTCTTCAGGGTGCATCAACAGGTGGACAGGTCAGGAAATGCAGGAGGGAGCAGTGTTCAGCCAGGAAGAATGCGCCGGTTACAGAGAAAGGGGTGGGCCTTGAAGCATCGCATGGAGTGAAGCAAAACAGACTTGAAAATAGAGTGGAAAATCAAACAGGCAGAAGAGAGGGAAGGAGGGAGGGAGGGAGGGAAGGAGGGAGGGAGGGAGGGACGCTGGGAAGCCAAAAGGCTGATGCTCAGACGCGGGAAAGGGAGAGGGAAGGGAGCGATGGGTCAGGGCTAAACAGGTGTGCTGTATGCAGGTATTGGTGCCCCAAACATCGCAAATGTGCACGGATAAAAAGAAATCCTCTGAGGCAGCTGTTCATCCCAAAGTCTCAGTTATAGGTCTTTGAGCCTGTCTCTCCCAGCCACGGTTTCCTCATCTAAAGGTGGAGAATCAAAACACCCTTGTTCTAGGATTAACATAGCCTGATTGGCCAATAAATAAAGATAATATCTGCAAAGGGCCTCCCAGGGACCAGCACCTACAAAGCTCTTTGGATCTTTTGTTTTGGTCATTTTTTTGAGACAGAGTGTCACTGCGTAGCTCAGATTGGCTTCAAACTGAGGCAATCCTCCTGCCTCAGCCTCCTGAGTGCTAGGGTTACATGTATGCACCACCGTGCCTGGTGTGCCTATCATTTAAATAGTGAGGTGACCAGCAGGACATTATCCTCCTCTCTGCCCTCTCACTGCCAGTTCGACCTGAAAGAGAAGGCCAGCCTACTGGGCACCAAGAAGGACTACTGGGACTACTTCTGCGCCTGCCTGGCCAAGGTGAAGGGCACTAATGACGGCATCCGCTTCGTCAAGTCCATCTCGGAGGTGGGTGGAGTATGGGGCACCTATGTGCCCCCTGTCCAGTGCTGCTGCGGGTTCATGGGTGGGGAGAGGGCAACACGACAGTTGTCAGTTTTGCAAAGAAAGAAAACAAAAAAAATGATTTTCATCTGCTAAGCTACTTTCCCAGCATTATGCCCAAGAGGCTTGGCTTTGAGGGGAGACCAGGGTGGGAACTTGGGGACATTTCCGAACATACTGGGTGCTGATGCCACCTCAGCTGTGAGCCCGGTACACAGCACCCTGGCTTAGCCATTTCACACAGCCTCGGAGCAGTGGGGTGCACCCTTCCTGTGGCCCCCTCATTCCTGTCTACCCCAGTGTGTCTCCCCTGTCTTCAGCCCATCTGTCTGACACGTACTGAGGAGCAAGCAGGCCCTGAGGTTTGGGATGGAAGGGCTACAGGCCAGAGTCTGTGGAAAGGGTAAGGGCCCTTGGAGGGCAGCACCCAGGTTCCTCGGCCAGACTCCGCCAGGGCTCAGCGCAGGCCATGTGGGCATAGCTGCCCCACCATGCCATGGGCCTGAATGCTGCTCTTTATGGAAGGTGACAATGGCTGACTCTGGCATCAAAGGCTGGAATCTCCCACCTGCGGGCCCGCTGGCCCCTAAGACATGGGACTCTGTCATCTGGTCCTGTGAGTGCTGTCATGCCTGTGCGCAGTGGGCCCTTGAGACCTCAAGGCCCTGGGGAGGTCCCCACTGTCAGCCACCCTGTCCACGTGCATGATGCCTGAGGCTGTGTGACCAGCATGGGTCCAGCCCGGAGATAGATTACTCTCCACCCCCATTGCCTAGCGCTGGGAAACACTTGCACAACAGCAAGCCAGTTTCTGGGCCAGTGTCCTCTTCTCATGGAGCAGTCATCCCTCAGACAGTTGGGGGCATAGAAACAGGTTCTTGGGAAGTGCATGTTCCTGTCCACTTTCACAGATGGGTTTTGGTGGCCGGCACAGGCCTGCTCCCCAGCCCATTCCACCGGGCAGGGTGGCTCGGGGTCTCACCAGGCTGGGGACCTGCTGGGGACCTGGCTTCACTTCCTCATCAGGGCATCCATCCAGTCTTCAAGATGGGAACAGTCCGAGGGGGAGGAGCACTTGTAGGACGCCTCCCCACCCCAGCCTGGGTCCTTTGGGGCAGGAGGTGGCCAGGCCTAAATCTGGGAGGGTCCTCACAGGCTGTTGAGGTTCAGGTGGGCCCTTGGGAGACTGTGTCCCCATCAGGATCAGGGTGTAGCTCCCCTTCCCGGCTGCAGCCTGGTTGCCAGGTTGGATACCCCGAGAGCACTTGGTACCCTGCACATGTCCTGTCCCACACTGCTGCTGTGTCTCTGCATGACTCAGCGCACTGCAGCTCACTCGATGCCCGAAGCGTTAAGGGATGAAGGGAGGGAAGTGGACCTGGGGTCCAAAGCGCTAAAACCAGCGAGGCCACGTGGTCCTTGTCATTTCAGTGCTAAAGAACTGTTGCCGACCCTCCCCAAAGGTTGCTAAAGCACACAGTTTATCACGAGTGGCTCCCTGTGTGTGTGAGAGGTTCAGCTGGTAAAATGCATGGTCCCGAATGTTGGTCATTTAAAATGCTTTCCTGTTCTGAGGGCTGCAACACTGATCAGAGAGGCTGCAAATGAGGACAAGGACCTGCACTGGGAGCCAACAGATGGGACTGTGTGGTGGGGTCTTAGTTAATTCTGCAGGGCCTGTGGGCATGGGTAATGTGGCCCTGTGTGAGTGTGTGGGCATATGTGAGACTGCACACATGGATGGGGTGTGAGTCCTGCTCACTGTCTCCCTCCCGCCACCTGAGCCCCCGGCCCTAGCCCTCCCCGCGCTGGCCAGTCGAGTCTGGACACGGGGTGTCACTGAGGGCCCCTGGGCAGTCGTGCAGGTCCCTGTTGGCCCCTGCACTGCCTGGGGATCTGCTGCTGGTCAGTGCATGGGCCTTGGCCCCGCGCTTTGGAGAGTCCTGGTCAGGCAGGAAGCTCCCTGGGAAGAGGCTCCTGGCTGGCTTCAGGGTTTTTATTTCTCAAAATCACTTTACACTGCGGTGCTATGCCCTGGAGTGAGTGAAGGGAAGGGCAGAGCTGAGTGTGATGTCCCATGGGTGTCAAGGCTTGGGGACGCCTATAGCTTGGCTGCACACATGTCTCCTGTCCCCATTCAGGGCCCAGCTGGTCTCCCACCCCTGCATTCCTGGGGGAGCCCCTGTCCCCTTCTCTTGGCTTCTGGGGCTGACATTCAGCTGTGGGCCCAAGGTAGCACATTGCCCTCACGTGTCCCCTGTACCGTGCTGCTTTCCAAACACCCCCAACTGGCAGGGGCCTGTCTGGAGCATCCTGGCAGAGCCTCTGACCAGCTGACCCCATCACCATCATGATGGGCACCCCAAAACCTCCTCCAAAGCCTGGGGCACAGTAGGCAGTGGTTGCAAGACTAGCCTGCCCTGAGCCTGCTGTGCCACCTAACTGGGGACGCCCCCCTCACCCCAGGCACCTGCTGGCTGACACCTGAAGAGAAACCAGGCTACAGGGTGGCATTGCTGGACATGCTCTATGCTGAGGGTTTTATGGAGACCTAGTCAGATGTAAAAGCCCTCCCCACTCCAGGCCCCGCGCTCACCCCATTTCTCCTGTACACTCTGAACACTGCCAAGGTCCCAGGGCCTCGTCCCCATACCTCTTCCCGGCGCCGTGCAAACAGCATTCTCCCAGCTGACCCTCTCCCTTCCTCTGCATCTCACTTCTGGGGTGACTAGAATCTTCCTGGGGGAACGCTGGCTCGAGGGGTTTCGGGGTATACCCCTTTGCACGTCCTCTGGGCTAAAGCTTATTTTCAGGTGAGGGCCCATGGCCCGCAGCCCTCACTCCGGGGCAACACTGTCAACTGTCTGGGGTCCTTGGCTAACATGGGTGGGGCAGAGCCTGTGGTGCAGGGCGGCTGACAGCCTCCCCCATCCTCCACCCCTGGCAGCTCCGGACATCCCTGGGGAAGGGAAGAGCCTTTATCCGCTACTCTCTGGTGCACCAGCGGCTGGCGGATACCTTGCAGCAGTGCTTCATGAACACCAAGGTGACCAGGTAGGTGCAGGCCAGGTTCCTTCTTAACAGAGACAAATGTGCCCTGGCGCTCACCTGCATCGCCTGGGCAGGCACCTTCCGCTTCAGTCCTTTCCTTCACCCTGGCCCCTGCCGCCCTGGAGCATGTGGGGTGGGTGTCCCCAAGGTGGGTATCCCAGGTGTAGAGGGACCACATGCCTGTCCCCTGGCCCACCCAGCGGTGCTGTGAAGCTGAGCCCAGAGCTAGACCTGACCCCAAATCAGGTGGACCTGGACAGACAGACAGCCGTGGGCTCCCAGTGAAACTGCTCTCTGAGTCCAGCCTCAGCTGCTGCCTGTGGCTCTTGCCTGCCTGGATATCTGGGCTCCTGCAGATCGGGGCGCAGCCAGCCTGGGGGCCTACGCTCAGAGCCCAGGCTGTCCCTGTGTCCGTCTCTGTGTTGCTGGCCCTGCTGTGGGCAGAGTAGGACAGGACAGAGGATGAGAAGCGAGGTGGGCATCAGGTGGGCTCCATCTCACCTGTCCTGAGGACAGTCCCAGTTCATCAGAGAAGTCATTTTGTAATTGCAGAACAAAATGAGAGTGAGAGAAGGTTGGGTTTTGCTTTCTCTCCTGTAAGATTAATTGGCCAAAAGATATAGCTGGAGCCTGTGACAGGCACAGGGAAGCCTGTGCCTCATCGGCGCTGTTTATTTGCCACCTTCTGCTCCATGCAGCATGTCTTGGTGGCAGAGGAGGCTTCTGGGTAGAGTTCGTCCCTGGGCTTTCTGGTAGCTGTGTGGGCAGAAGTGAGCAGAGTCCAAGTGTCTCGGGCTGAGTTCTGGGAAAGGAGTGAGAGGCGAGGAGATGGTCGCTCAGAAAGGCAGTGTGCTGACCCCTACAGCTGCCCTTTCTTGGCAAATATGAGAGTGGAGTAGAGGTGGTAGGAATAATAAATGTATCCACATCCAGGTTGTGCCCCAGTTCCCCTGCAGAGGCGCCAGCTCACTGGAGAGTTTCCTGCTTGGGCAGGGAGGATGAACTGGCCATGTCGTGCATCTTCAGTTAACCAAGTGACCCGAGGACTGAGGAGGTTCACTCTTGCCTTACCTTCCTGCCCTCCTAACTCACACTCGTGTCTGCTCCTCCAGTGACTGGTACTATGCGAGAAGCCCCTTTCTGAAGCTCAAGCTGAGCGCCGACATTGTGGGCCAGCTCTACGAGCTGACTGAGGTGCAGTTTGACCTGGCGTCGAGGGGCTATGACCTGGATGCTGCGTGGCCGACGTTCGCCAGGTACCATGAAGCACTGCTTGGTGGCTGTGAGGGTTGGGGAGAGGTATTTGAAGCCCTGATGTCTGAAGCGGTTTTACCCACTCTGTCAATTGCGTCCAGCTCAGCAGCTCTTTGCCTGCTGATTTTGCAGATTCTGCTGAGTCACAGCTGAGACAGCATCTGACCTCCAACCATAGACTGATCAGATGGGAAGATGGGAAGGGTCGGAGGGCAATGGGCATGAGCGTAGGGTTACGAGTACGTGGTCTTTTTTCCACTTGAGTTCTTACATCGTCAGCTTCTAAGCTACAGAATGGGAGTGAAAGCTGCAGCTTGTGCCTGTAAGGCTGGCCGGAAGGGTTGCTGTGTTTTCATTCCTTTTTTTTCTGGACCCCAAGAGTGAACAGACTTAACCAGCCTCACGGCTGGCAGGCCCTGCTCCTGACTCAGCTTTGAAGAGAATCAGTGGTCATCACATGTCACATGGGGTTTTCAGAATTCAGGGCTGGTTATTTTAGGTTGGGAAATACTTTGTATGTGTAGAGAAGAGTCTGGTGACACACAGCAGCCACCAAGATCTCACAGCCAACATTCCCATGTTCGCATGCCCTTGTTTAAACTTTGAGTCATTTCAGAATTAGAAAAGGTTGCGGCAACAGTACAGAGTATTATGTGCCCTTCACCCTGATCCCCCTGATGTTACTGTTTTCCTGCAGCCGCTTTGTGTTTCTTTCTCTTTCTCCGCACGCACAGCTGGTTTTCTAAGCCATCTGAGCCTCGGTTGTAGACTTGATCCCCTGTTCCTGCAACCGCTGTCTCCTGAAAACCAAAGACCTCTTCTGCAACCTCAGGACAGTTAGTAAAATCAGAAAGTTGGCATTGGTATGATGCCGGAGTCTAGCCTTCAGACATTATTCAAATTTTCCGAAGCATCTCAGTGATGTCTTTGCACATCCGGGCCCCCCAGAGTCGCATGGTACAGCTCCGTGTCCTGCCTCCGAGCCCCTTTCACTTGGGACAGTTTCTTGCCCTTTGCCTTTCCCAACATGGGCATTTTTGAAAACTACAGCCCAGTAGTTTTGTAAATTCTTTCAGCTGAGTTTGCCCAGTGTTTCCTTATTGTCAGATTCAGGTTTTATGCAGCAATGCGTCAGGTGCTGTGTCTTCGACTGGAGCCTCTGGGGAGGTGCCCAGCACTCTTGGGTTTCGTGCCCGTTAACCATGAGCCTTTGGCAAGGTGGAGCTGGCCAGGCTGCTCCTAAGGCAGTGACAGCAAACCCATGCACACGTGTTATGGCGGGCTGTTTGTCATCACTCAGAGTTCTGAAAGGTTTGCCACCCCTGTCCTGAGGTTATTGTCTCTCCTTCTGGGACTCACAGGTATCTTCCAGGCAAATACTGTGAGACCACTGTGTGCTCTTTCTCATAAAGCTTTCTGCTCTTGGTTTCAGCATCTGCTGGTGAGTTGTACCTGAAGCAGCCCTAGCACCTCCGTAACCAGTGTGGTTTTCCTCTTTCATTATCGGTGGCATTTGATGCAGGGTGACCTTTACCTTCTCTTCTCTTCTCTATCAGCATGGCAGGGGTCTTACTCCACCCCCACAGGGTTTTATTCTGCCACCATTGTTTATTTTGAAACTTCACTTTGCCCATATTTGGCCGGCAGGAGCCTGTTCCAGCTGGTCCTCGGGGTAGTTTTTTATCTTATGCATGACACTTGTTTTAATGGAGACATAAAGGCTGTGGACCCAGCACCCGGCCCAGCTCGGGCCACCTCCCTCACCCCGCGTCTAGACGCTCACGTTTTTACCGTGTGTGTCCATTCACAGTTTATGATTTCATATAATTTTATTCTGTGTGTGTCTTTAAAATTTGCACATGTTGGGCTCTGAGATAGCTAACTTTTCACAACTTGGCTTTCCACTTGACATTGTTTTGAGATTTTTACCTGCGTGTGTGTGGGGGGGGGGTCCGGGGCTGGCAGACCCTGGCCCGAGAGCCAGTGGAATACTGTCTTGCCTGTCTATCTGTGTGCTGTCCATGTGCAGCTGGTCCTGGCAGAGGGGCATTGGGCTCCCCTGCTGCCTCTGGATGACAGTGCCAGGTCCTGCCCTCTCCATATACCTGGGCTGCTGTCTTCGGGTACAGTCTCATGAGGGAACAGCTGGCAAGAGGTGAACGGTGTAGCAGTTTAGGTCACGGGCTCTGGGTTCTGTTCCCTCCCTGGCCATGTGGTGCTGTGAACCACAGCAGGCCTCCAGCTGTACCAGCTGTGTGCAGTAGAAAGCGGTGTCTCCTTCTGGGACAGGAGTCAGAAGCTCAAGGAAAACTTAAACTACAAAGTAGAGACTATGCTGCTTACTTCTTTTTTGGTGGCAGAGAGAAGCCCGCAGGTTGGACCCATCACACCGAGCCCTCAGCACAGACCTTGACTGTGCTCTTGGACTTCTGGGCTCTTTAGAGGAGGGTTGGGTATTAGCTCTTCCCATGCCATCAGCGGGCACTGTCCCCAGGTCACTGCACTCCAGCGACTACATCGTTCCATCCCAGGTTTCCTTGGCTCACAAGGAAAGAGGCACAGCCCTGCCAGCACCCTCCACCCTGACTTTCTTACTTCCTGAAGGTGGGCAGATGCGGCACAGGGTGCAGGAACAGGAGATCACCTCTCTGGGCTGGGAAGCCTGACAGCCTAGGCCTCCCACACCTGCCAGGGCCACTTCCCTGCAGATCAGGGTTACCCCAGCACCCTCACTCTAGGGCCAAGCTCCCAACATGGGAGCCCTGGCCGGACACACTCATCCACACCCACACTACGGCAGTCCCTGCTGCCCCTGGCTGTTCTATGTGTCTGAGTGTGCAAGTGTCTGTCATGTGCATGCATGTGTGTGCACGCATGCGTTTGCCACTCTGAATGCAAGTGCACCTGGTCTGTGGCCCACAGGAGAACGCTGGCCCCTGGCTCCTCTGCGTACCTGTGGAAGGCCCCCAGCCGGAGCTCCAGCATGAGCAGCCTGGTGAGCAGCTACTTGCAGGTAAGGCCAGCAAGGCTGGGATCTCCTTGCTTACATGTCAGCCAGGTTTTGTCCTGGGCCCTCGCTGCTCCAGAGTGATGGCCACAGAGACCTGTCCCAGACACACAGTGCAGTCCCTCAGATTACATTTCCTAGAATACAGCTTTTTATAGCCAAGTAGAACTTAGGCCATAAAAATTAAATTCTTCTAAAAGATTTTAAAGTCTCTTTAAAAAAGCAGTTTAGAGCCATGGCTAAAAGCCACAAGTCCATCGTGTCACCCACCAGCTGTGCGGCTAAGGAGAATTACTTAAGACCTAGTGACTTCAGCTCTCTGCCCCATGAGACAGGATAATGAAAACCATCATAGCTCGGGAACAACAGCATGTGACGTAAGCACAGATCAAGAAGCATTAGGAGATAAAGTTTGCTGGGTTTTTCAGAAACGTGAATGTATCATAGCTAGATATAACTTTATGAACTGATTATATGTAAAACAAGCATTAAAAATAGAAAATAGACTACTCTTTTACCTCATTTGTGGCATAGTTGTGTCAGAAGTTGTGGGAATGGTACAGTGGGTGAACCGTAGCTTACATCTAAGGGGTGATTGGATATACAGTCACTGTTCACATTTTAGGAATTTACTATTGTAGGAGGCACATTACTGCCCTGGCCCCGTCACTCATCCCCTCACTTCAGATACTCACCCTGTTGTCCTTGGCACTTTCTGAAGCAGCTCCAGAGTCCTCTTTCCTGAGTGGCTCATTGGGTGAGATCACAAACATGGTGGCTGCTGCCATCCACCAGAAGGGCAGCGCATAACAACATGACATTGGGTCCTCATCCACCTTGCTCACAGATCTGGTGCCATGTGACCCCTGGCTCTTCCCCAAAGTCAGAATGACCAGGAGAGGTCAGAATTTTGAATCAGTCCAGGACACTGAGGCAGCCAGGGCAGTGTTAATGTCAAGACACTTGGGAAAGAAGGCTCTAGCTGCTGTGGAAAGCAACAGAAGGATAGGATGGTGTGTCTGAAGCCAAGGGGAAGGTTCTGAGGCAGACTTGTGGCAAAATGTCTCACTGTAATAGTTTTGACAATGTAAACATTTGCCTTATTTTTTAATTTGCTGCTGGTCTCTGCGTGGCAGGTGCTTTGCACAGGGCTTTAGTCCTCTGAACAGCCTTGCAGCCTCCCCTCATGTCAGGTCATTCCTGTATTTTTACTTCTGTTTTTCCTGGGCTCACATCACCACGTAGCCAGTCAGCTTCCCTTGAAACACACTGGTTTTTTGTGTTCCCCTCCACAGACCCAGGAGATGGCCTCCAGCTTCGACCTGAGCAGTCCCCTGAACAACGAGGCACTGGAGGGCTTCGATGAGATGCGTCTAGAGCTGGACCAGCTAGAGGTGCGGGAGAAGCAGCTGCAGGAGCGCGTGCACCAGCTAGACCGGGAGAACCAGGAGTTGCGGGCAGCATTCAGTGCACAGCAGGAGCAGCTGCAGGTGGAGAAGCAGTGGGCACGTGTCACTGCAGAGGATCGCAGCTACCTCACGGGCCTGGTGGCCCAGCTCCAGAAGCAGTGGGTGGTCACCCAGGCCACACAGGATGCCATTAAGGAGCTGCACGTGTGCCTCCAGGCTCTGGAGCAGGATATAGCCAAGGAGGGGGACAGCTCTGTCCTGCAGCGCCTGGAGGCCACACTGCAGCCCCTGGCACAGGAGCTCAAGGCTGCCAGGGACTCCCTGGGCAAGAACCAGGTTCTCGATAGCCTCTCAGACTGGCTAGCCAGGGCTGAGCAAGGAGCAGCCTTGGCCTCAAACACAAAAGGTCAACAAGAGCCCATCCAAGCCGACTTGGGCCTGAAGCTCCAGGAGCTGGAAGAGAAGCTCCAATCCCTGGAAGAGGAGAGCACCAAGGTCCGGGAGCTCAACAGGCAGCAGAGTGCACAGCTGGTGCAGCTGGCCACAGAGCTGCAGCAGAAGGAGGAGGTACGGGCTGGCCTAGAGCACCAGGTGCAGGAGATGGCCCAGCTCCGGCAGCAGCTGCGAGAGTCCCTAGCCCGCACGAGCTCCCTGGAAGAGGAGCTGGCAGGACTGAGGCAGGCGGAACAGCTGCAGCAGGAAGAGAAGGAGATGTTGGCACAGGAGGCCCGGTCCCTGAGCCGGCAACTACAGGTCCTAGAGACCCAGCTGGCACAGGTGAGCCAGCATGTGGGTGACCTGGAGGAGCAGAAGAGGCTGCTCATCCAGGACAAGGACCATCTCAGCCAGAAAGTGGGTACGCTGGAGAGGCTCACCGGGCAGACAGCCCCAGAGCCACCTGCAGCCAGTGATCAAGGTGAGGCCCCCACCTCGTCAGTATCCACCCCGCAGCAGGCCAGTGAGAAGCCAGAAGAGCAGCAAGGGGATGGTGCCAAGATGCCTGCAGGCAAGCAGGAAGACGAGCTGCTCCAGGCCAACCGGGAGCTGCAGAGGGAGCTGCAGAGCATGGTTGGACGTAACCAGCTCCTGGAGGCCAAGCTTCAGGCCCTGCAGGCCGACTACCAGGCGCTGCAGCAGCGGGAGGCATCCATCCAGGGCTCCCTGGCCTCCCTTGAGGCCGAGCAGGCCAGTATCCGGCACCTGGGTGACCAGATGGAGGCGAGTCTGCAGGCGGTGCAGAAAGCCAAGAGGGCCATGAAGGTGCAGGTGGCTGAGAAGGAAGCTGCTCTGCAGAGCAAGGAGGATGAGTGCCAGCAGCTGCGGGAGGAGGCAGCACAATGCCGGCGGCTGGCAGAGTCCCGGGACGCAGATCTTAAAGTCCTCTCCAATGAGTGCCACAACCAGGCCCAGCTGATCGAGGCCCTCAGGGCAGAGAAGGGCCAGCAGGACCTCAGCCAGCCCCAAGATGGGACTGCACAGCTGGCCCTGGCCCAGGCGCAGCTTGAAGTACACCAGGGCGAAGCCCAGCGGCTGCGGGCTGAGCTGGTGGACCTGCAGGCTAAGCTCCAAGCAGCCCTGGGCGACCAGGACAAGGCACAGAGCCAACTACGGGTGACCGTGGAGTTGCTGAGGGAGCAAAGGATGCTGGTGCAGCAGCTGCAGGAGCAGAACGAGGCTCTCAACAGGGCCCATGTCCAGGAGCTGCTACAGTGCTCCGCAGCTCGGGAAGGGCTGCTGCAGGAGGGCAGGGCCAGTGCGGCCCAGCAGCACAAGCAGGAAATGCAGGCCCTGCAGGAGGAGCTGGCTCGGGCTACGCACAGCTCCGAAGAGGCCCGGCTGGAGCACGCCGAGCTGCAGGAGCAGCTGCACCAGGCCAACACAGACACTGCTGAGCTGGGCATCCAGATCTGTAACCTGACCTCGGAAAAGGAGCGTGTGGAGGGGGAGCTGCGCGACTGCCAGGAGGCTGCTTCCCGCGAGCGAGAGCGCCTGGAGCGCCAAGTGGCAGAGCTGCTGCAGGAGACAGCAAGCCTCCAGGAGAAGCTGACAGTGGCCGAGGACACTGCCAGCTCCCTGGCCACCCTGCAGGCCCAGCTGGTGCAGGCAGAGCATCAGGCACAGAGTCTCCAGGAGGCTGCACGCCAGGAGCATGACACCCTCAAGTTCCAGCTGAGTGCTGAGATCATGGACCACCAGAGCAGGCTGAAGGTAACCCTGGCTTCCACCACAGGGGCCTCCCAGGCCCCAGCACCCCTGAGGGGTCCAGGAGAGGTGGCCCCCACAGCCACAAGACAGGGGAAGCCAGAGACAGAATGGGATGCAGGCAGACGTCCACAGTGCCACCTCACTGCCAGAGCTCCCAGCAGCCACTTGCGCTGCAGGAACCCACAAGTGGCAGAGCGTTGGAGAGGTGGTCTTCACCCTGCAATTTAAAAGACCATGGCAGATAAGATCAGCCCACACAGACTTTTCTAAAACTCTTAGCTGTCTGAAGAGCAGGATGTTTTGAGGCTACTTTTGCGATCTTAGCACATCTGTCAGCGGGTACCCACATCCCCGTGTGGGTGCCATCGCAGGAGCTCAGTGTCAGCGTCCACTTCAAAGCAGGGCCCCATCCGCTGGATTTTCCCATGCACTCTTTTGTGCCGAGCCCCCTACAGAGTCCCAGGGATAAGTGACTGCCTGGTGATGGCCCAGTTCTTACAAGGCCCCCAGGCCAGGCAGAGCTCTGAGGTCAGCAGTTTCCGTGCACCCCACTGCTTGTCACTGCTCGTCACTGGTCTGTGTGCATCAAGGTCACTGCATACTTCAGGCACTGCCCACCTCCCTTCTAGGCAGCTGCCCCTGTGTACCCTTGCAAGGCTCCTACCTGCATGCTGGCTGCCCGCTCCATAAGCCTCCCTGAGGCTCATGGCCACTTTTCCCATTACAGAAATTAAATTCTCAATTTGAGGACCGAACTGAGTCTCTCATTAGTGGTCTCCAAAGCATTTCGTTATTTGAGGAGCCTAAAGCCCGTCAAGGAGCCAGTTTAGAAGCAGAGTGGTGGTTTGTTTGTACCCACTGGGGTGATGAGGTGTCAGGAGTTGTAGAGCAAGGACCTCGCTTTGATGTCCCTTCTTGTCCTTTCCAGGCTGCCACCGAAGAGTGCAGGAGCCTCAGGGCCCAGCTCGAGCAGCAAAGCCAGCAGCTGCAGGCTGCCGATGAGGCCGTGGCCAAGCTGAAGGTAGTGCAGCTGGGCTCTGGTTTGGGATCGGTGGGCCATTTAGCAGGGCTCCCTATGGGATTTCCTGACCCCAAGGAGAAGTGGCCAGCGCTTCTGACACCCTGTCATCAGGTGTAGCCTCCCTGACTTTGTGTTCTGACCCCTCGCCCCTGGCTAGAGCTGTCAAGCATAGACAGGAGATAAACCGCTCTCCTTGGCCATCTCTGTGGGCAGTTTTAGTCTGTGGCCAGCTCAGGGGCAGTGCTGACCTTGTCTCTGCCACCCCCACCCTCAGCACAGGGCATTCTAATACTTGAAGCCCCACAGCCACCAGAGCTGCTTGCCCTCAGGGCTTAGAAATGTGTCACACCCCACAGTGCAGAATAGAGGGCCTTGACCTCTTGAAATTAAAAATCTCTGCCTTAAGCCCACTGCCAGCAGCAACCACAGTGCCTTCCCTCAGAAGTGACCCAGGCGGCAGGGACAGAACACGGTGGCCTCTGTGTGGCATCTGGGGTGGGCTCCAGCCAGCTCAGTGCCTTCTCCTGATATCCTGTGCCAGGCCACCCAGGCGGACATGGCAGAGAAGCTGAGCTGCACCAGCAGCCATCTTTCCAAGTGCCAGGAGGCTGCAGCCCAGAAGGACAAGGAGGCAGTGGCCCTGCGGGAGGGTCTAGACCGGTGAGTCACCTTGCCGTGCAGCTCCCAGTGGTCTCTGGGGGTGCTCAGAGCAGTCATTTTGAAACTCAGCCACTCATAGGGCCTGGAAACAGACACAGACACATGCTCCGGGAAGCCAGCGGTCTGCATTTCTGCTTGCTTCTGGCCGCAGGCTCTCACTTGGTTCTTACCTGAGGTGGGATGTGCAGTACTGTGCACTTTGAAAACTCTAGATTGAGCAGAAGTGCGTGATGATCACGCTGGGAGGAGTAGCGGGGTAAGCGTTTTAATCAGTGCACCATATGTGGCCAGCACGATTTTAAATATGTTACACATACAGGTTGGGTATCCTTTTTCCAAAGTGCTCAGGACCCGAGGGATGATTTGGTTTTGGAGTATTTTGAATTCCAGATTTTTGGATTCAGGATGCCCTGCCTCCAGTTACCTATCGAACCCTCCCACCAGGCCATTGGGGAAGGTGCAGTCCATCTATGCTCACCCATGGGAGAGGAATTGGCCCAAAGTCTGGGCTCTACCCATCCCATGTGGATGCCTGTCGGTGTCCCTGTGGCCATCCCAAGGACCCCTGAGCCCCCGAGTTTCAGCCGAGGGGCCCAAGCCTGCTGTCAGCTGATGGGGCCCCACTCCTGCCACCAGGCCTGATTAACACAGCTGAGCCAAGGAGGGGCTCCTGGAACCAGCTTGCCTGGGTGACGCCCGAAGAAGCAGGTGCTCCAGATTGTCCCGGGCTTTGCCATCCCTCCTACCCATCCCTGACACCCACCATCTACCTAGGAAGCCTGGGCCAGGAGTTTGCACCTCTGCCCAGCTGCCCCTCCCAGAGCCAGATCCCTGGGGCTCTAGCTGCTCCCAGCTGGGTCCCACGCACATGATCCAAACAGAGACTCTCGAGTGGGCTGTGTTTCATAAATGCTATGTGGTGGTTCTTGATAAACAGCATTTGGTTTAGCTGCTCAGGGATGCACATACCATCTGCTCAGGGCTGGATTTTATTTAAAGCACTTTTGTGCTTGTTTGGGTGGACAGTGTATAATAGACACCTCTCTGACAACTTAGACAGCTGTGGACAGGCTGGATTAGGGCAGGAGTGTTCCTGTCCCCTGGGCCCTCTGTTTCCTGGAGCTACCATGCTGGGCCTCAGCTGTGGTGGGCAACCTCGGAAGACCCCTGCCTTAGAGGTTGGCTGCCCCAAAGAGCATTCACTGGGCCTTGGGGTACCAGGTGGAAGACCTGCTTGGGCACTGTGCTCTAAGCAGAGCCCCAGAGATTGCAGGGAGCCGAGCACCCTTTGTAGCTGCCTCCGGAAGCGGCGGCTCCCTTCTCTAGACTCTTTTCTTGCTCCTCCTAGTCACTGCCCGGGGACCCTTCCCACAGCCTCAGCCCCTCTGTCCAGGAATCGCAGGCGCAGAGCGCAGTTCACTTGGGGTACACTTAGCAACCTGCCATCCCTCCGCCCTCCCAGAGTGCCACTCTGTGTGGGAGCAGTGAGGAGGATCTCATTCTGGGGTCCTGATGGCCAGTGCACAGATGGTGCCCAGGGCCTGTCTGTGAAGAGGGGGAGGTGGGAGCAGTTGGACCCATCAGCAAGGCCAGGATGGGCCCAGAAACCAGGGCCAGCTGCGCAGTGTGACTCACAGAGAAACCTCCCCGATGCCCAGGACCCAGAAGGAGCTGGAGGTCGCCACCACCAAAGTCCAGGAGTACTGCAGGAGACTCCGCCAGGAGAAGAGCGACCGGGAGCAGAGCGACCAGAAGATGCTGGCGGAGCTGGACGACCTGAACAGAACCAAGAAGTACCTGGAGGAGCGGCTGATAGAGCTGCTCAGGTGAGTACCAGCCATGGGCACTGGGTCCTCTCTGCACCAGACGGGGGACACATCCCTCTGCACAGGACTCTGTCAGGGGCCACATGTCACCTGGTCTGCCTGGGCCATGGCATCCGCTCAAGGCCAGGGCTCCTCCAGGTTCTGGTTTTCATACTCGTGTGGGACAGTTCAAGTCCTTTGTGTCCTTGTCTCCAAGAGAGAGCATGTGTATCACAGATGCTGGAGTCCTAGTCCCCTGCCCTTCACTCATGGGCTTTCCCCTCCCACCATCTGTTCCCCTGGCTCAAGAGGCCCCCGAGGACCCACTGTCCTCCTGTGGCACTGGCCCAAACGAGCCAGCTCCCCGGCTTCTCATGAAGGTGGAGTCCAGCCTTTCCAGGAGCTGCTCTCATTCTGAACGTCAGCCAGCCATCATAGCTTCCTTGACTTCCTAACTTGTTGCCGTCCTCTAAAGTGAGGCCAGTGCTTCCATTGTTCTGGGGTCCCCTCCTCCTAAAGTGATTCTGCCCAGGGACAAGGACGCGCTGTGGCAGAAGTCGGACGCACTGGAGTTCCAGCAGAAGCTCAGCGCCGTGGAGCGGTGGCTCGGGGATGCGGAGGCCACACACTGCCTGGACTGCAAGCGCGAGTTCAGCTGGATGGTGCGGCGGCACCACTGCAGGTCAGCCAGGCCAGGGCCCCGAGGGCCTTGTGGCCTCCCGGCTTAGGGTTGCAGGTGCAGAGGGTGCGTTCCTTCTAGCAGGAGCTTGGGGCTCCTGGAAAGAGAGTGGAGTACAGAGGTGCAGATAGGGCTAAGTGGACCCCAGGGGTATCACCCACAAGCCTATAGGGCACAGGGCACGGAGGAGAAGGCACTCTGGAGCCCAGCGGAGGCAGGTTCTTGGGCTCCTCCGGGGACTCAGGCAGGCAGGGCCTGAAGTGCACCTTGCTTACCACCCCCACCCCCGGGCCCTGAGCACAGGGGTGAAGGCAAAGGGGGTGGGGTACAGTGTGGTCAGCACTGCCCCAGGAGGTCTGAAGCCCACGCTGAGAGCCTGAGCCCCTAGTGCGGAATGCAGCCTGGCCTGGTGTCTGGGGAGGTGGGCTTCCCTCTGCCCCCTGGACCCTGGAAACAAGCTGTCTGCCACCTCATTCCCAGGGTGTGCGGCCACATCTTCTGCTACTACTGCTGCAACAACTATGTCCTGACCCGGCCGGGCGGCCGGAAGGAGCGCTGCTGCCGCGCCTGTTTTCGGAAGTTCAATGAAAGCCCAGGCTCCCCCAGCAGCTCCGAGTCGACCACCAGCCCAGGAGACCCCAGCCCCCGACTGTCCCCGGCCCACGCTGGGACCCAGGCCGCCGGAAGCCAAGGTCAGTTTCCCGCCCAGCCGCCCAGTGTTCTCAGGAGCTCCCCACCTCCCCTTAGCCAGCTACAGCAAGCTGACCACAGTGTTCTCCAAACTTAGATATCAGGGAGGTTGGAAAGTCGCCCCAAAGCTTGCTTTTTGCTGTCACTAGGATCCAGAAGGAACAGCTTCCTCCTGACAGGGTTCAGTGTGCTTTAGCCTGAGGGCCATGTGCCAAGGCCACCAGAGGAGTGTGCCCCACACTTCCACCCTGGTGGCCCTCCTTGTTCCCATGGTAGCCCCAGGCCCAGTCAGCCGTCCAGGTCCTCACGCTCTCTCGGTGGCCAGGAGGACACACAGCTGTTTTCTTGTGTCCCAGCAGGTCAGCGAGGACGTCATCACGGCCTGTGATTTATTGGTGTAAAGGTCTGCCCATTGGCTGGGTGTCATGTGCTTTAGTCTTCAAATATTTTACCCAATTTTTAAAACGATTAAGTTTTTTGAACCCTCTGTGCATCCTGGATACAAGTTTCTTTTAATCAGATATGTGCTTTATACATATTTTCTCTTGGCTTTTTGTCTTAAGCTTTTACACCAAGCTTTGTTTAACCCAAGTATTAAAAAGTCATCCCCGTTTTCTGCCAGTTTTATAGTTTTTGGCTATATTTAGGTCAGTGGCCTGTTTTGAGTCAATTTTTTTGTATTGTACAACGTATGGATAGAGTGTCGGTAGGTTTTTGGTTTGGGGTTTGGTTTTGTAAGTAGTTATCGAGTAGTTGGTAGTCTGTCCTTCTCCTTTAACTGCCTTTAAACTTTTGCCAAAAGTCAGCTGACCCTGTGTTCTGGGTCTCCCTGGCCTCCATCAGCTGCATGCGTGTTTGATCCTGTACCGTACCATTACAGCTGCCATAGATTTATAAAGCATCATAAAATCAAACAGAATGAATCTTCTTTGTCAGAATACTGGCTGTCAGGATTCACTGCTTTTCTACTGAAGTTTGTAGGGTCAGTGTGTCAGTTTCTACTCTCATCCCCCCGAGGTCCTGGTGAGGTATTAATTGGGGTTGCATTGAAACCATGTAGATCAATTTAGGGAGAACTGACATCTCAGTAAAACTGAGTCTTCTAATCCATGAATATGGTAAAGCTTTCTGTGTCCTTAGGCCTCCATTTCTCTCAATTTTGTGTTTTGTTTTTTATTGTTTTTTGGCAATAATAGGGATCAAACCAAGCTCCTTTGCACTGAACTACATCCCCAGCCTCCCACCAGCCTTTTTAAATTTTAAGACAGAGCTCCCTAAGTGGTTCAGATTGGGTGCAAACACATAGTCCTCCTGCCCCGCCTCCTGCAGTGCTGGGATGACACCCCCCGGCCATGGCACCTAGTCCTGGTTTTGATTCCAACATTTTATGTCTGCTCACTTTTTTTACTCTCTTTTTCTTCCTTTCACTTCTAAAGCTCTTCTTTTCTTTTCTTTTTTTGTCTTTTTCATTTTTATCGGTACCAGGGATCGAACTCACGACTGCCTGCTTGTAAGGCAGGCGCTTATGCCACTGAGCTAAACCCCCAGCCCCAGCTCTTCTTTTCTTTTTTCTTCCTGCCTTCTACTTGCCCTCACATTTTTCATAACATACGCTAGTGGGTACTTGTGGGCCTGCTTCAAAGCAAGGCCCGGGGTCACAGAAGTCTGTTTGATCCTTCCTTGCATTTTTCTCTAATTTTTATTTTATTTGTCCGTGTTTATAGTACGCAGCGACCCCATTCATCGTGGGGAGGGGCACAGGGGCCTCACGCAGCTCAGTTCCTTATACCCCTTTTCCCCAACCCCCACCTCTCAGTCCCCTTCCCATTTGCCAAAGCTCTGTCTCCCTGTCTCCTGTGTCTTCTGCTTTGCTCTTCAGTTTGTGTGTCCTTTGCTTTTCTCCTATGAGAGAAACCGTGCGACATTTACCCCTGCGGGTCTCTTCACGTAGCGTTAGTATGTGAGTTTCCTTCCTAATGAAGTTCTGATAGCTTTTTCCTTATAGTAAGGGGTCCAGACAGTGTGGGGGAGGCTGAAGCCTCTCTGAGCCCCTGACTTGGAGGCGTCTCTCAGGCTGTGAATTTGGGTTCAGCCATCGTCCCCTGCCTGTCCGGACTAAGCACCGGCCATCCCACCTCCAAGCCCTGCTCCTGGCCAGTACGGCCCTCTGCACAGTGACGCCTAGCACTGACCCAGCAGCTCGCTGTGGCCTCCCTGCCCCATGGTGACCTTGCACTTCCCTTCCCTCCTGCTCCATCCCCATCCCTCATCCCCAGTAGCTGACTGCAGGCAGCCGGACGACGCTGTGTTCGACATCATCACGGACGAGGAGCTGTGCCAGATCCAGGAGTCTGGCTCTTCCCTGCCAGCAACGCCCACGGAAACTGATTCTCTGGACCCGAACGTGACCGAACAGTGAGTGGTGCCCTCTCTGTGCCCATCGTGCATTACCCTGACAGCAGGAGCAGGGTTGGCTGTCCTGCTGCTAGGACAGTGTCCCTGATCCGCAGCCTGTCCCTCTGGGCTTGTGCAGTCACGTTGGTCAGCTCAGGCGGCCACAGTGAGATGCCTCAGGCTGGCAGCTTAAACCACAACGAGGTGTCCAAGGTGTCTCCCTGAACTCTGCCAGCTGGAAGCCCAGGTCAGGGAGACGGCACAGTCAGCTGCTTCTCTCACTGCCTTGGAGATGGCCCCGCTCTTGCTGCCCCTCGTGTGGTCACCTCTGTGTGCCCGCTCATGCCACCCTGGACCTCCTGGGTTCCTCTTTTCATAAGGACACTGGGCAAGCTGGATTCAGCCCACCCTAAAGGCCTTACTTAATTTAATCTTTGCATTAAAGACCTTATCTGCTAACGCAGTCAGGGTCTCGGTACGGGGACCAGTGAATTTGCAAGGGGACACAGTTTAGGGGTCCTGCTGCCCTTGGCCGTGTTGCTCTTTGGAAGCTTTGCCCTGGGCCCCTGGCAACTCCCAGTCCTGCCCAGCTCACCACCTGTGGCCAGGTGCTGGGAGGTGCAACGTAGAATGACGGACAGTGCCTTGGGCTGTGCCCTTGGGGAGCACCCCGGGAAGGTGGGGCCAGGGCCTGCCTGCGGTTGGTGGCCAGGCTGGCTTTCTGTGTGAACCCAGTGGGGTGAGTTCCAGTCATCTTCAGGAAACACTGGTCAGGTGTGGTGACAGTACTGGGAGAAAGGAAGCTGGGAGCGAATGCAGCTGCCTCGGGCAGGTGTGTGCTCTCTAGGGTGCTTTGGGCCCAGATAAGCCCACCAGCACCCCACAAGCTAACACTGACAAAAACAGAGGCGAGTACATCCCTGCCCTCAGCAGGACCCTGGACCCTGTCCAGCCACCAAGCAGGGCTGGCAAGGGAGGACAGAGCCACGGAGGCTGCTCCAGCACTGTCCTCCCTCTGCCCTCATTTTCCTGGTGTAGCGATTTTCCAACATTAGAAGCATGAAACTGTGCCAGGGACTCCCTCGTTCAAAGGTCCTCCCCTGATCTCTCTCGGCCCCAGCATCAACTCCATGTAGTTTTTGCAGCAAAACTCATAGTTTGGGTGCCCGAGGGACAGTGATTTGGGCTAGGCCCTGGAGGCAGAGCTCAGGCCTGCACGCAATGAGTGGCGGCACAAGGACACCATGATGCTGCCTGCTGAAACAGGCCACAGGGCCGCACTGGCTTCAACAGCCTCCCAGGGACCCCACCCGCCTGTGCCTAGCTCAAATGGGGACTTGAAGCAGGAGCACAAGCCTTCGAGATGCTGACCCTTCAGAAGGCTGTAGATTTGTCTAGACCCCCATCTCCTCAGACACTGGCCCCCCAGCACCTCCACAGCGGGATTCAGCTGGTGTCAGGACAGAGTGGCGGCTGGCACAAGGGCATCAGGAACAGACATGGCCTCCTCGAGGCCTGGGCTCCAGACACAGGTGAGGACCTGGAGCTGTAGCATCGTGTGCCGGACAGGGCCCTGGCAGTGCAGAGACTGGGGCGTCCATGGCTGTTGTTTCCTCGATGCTGACACCGAGTCACCTAGTTGGGGTGACAGCTCACTTGTCCACTCCCTGTGCATTGGGACCCTGTACCTGGAGCCCATAGCCCTGCCCAGTCACCCCGAGGCTCCAGCTGAGCAGAACTCGCCCACACCTCATGGGGCCACAGAGTTTCCTTGCCTTTGATTTCCCAGGGTCAGTGCCGGAGGAGCTGGGGCGGGAGGCCCAGAAACAGCACAAGAACAGGCTGTGACAATCACAGCTAAGGTTCGAAGGCCCCAAGCTTTGCCCTTGGCCAGGTGCTGAGCTGGCAGGCGTGCTGCAGTCTGCCAGTCACTGCACCCAGCGAGGGGAACGTAGCTGTATCCCGCTGCGTGGGCCTGGCAGGATACTGATCCCCAGAGAAGGGGCCACAGTGCCAGGCTCTTTCAGAGAGACGCTGGCCACCCATAAGCTCGGCTTCCACCCTAGAAGCTGAGAGCCTCTCGGAGACCCTGAAGCCATGCTCAGAGCCTGGGTTAAGAAAGGTCCCTGCCCAACTAGTGGTCCCCAGGCCACCCTGCACTCTGGCCTTGCTGGCCTGTGAGTGGAGGGGGCCAAGTGGATTATCTGCCCCAGCAGAGTGGTTCAGGCCCAAGAGGGAGTGGAAGGTCCCACTGCTGGGCCATCCTGGGGACAGGAGGCTGCATCTGAGGGCCTACTCTGTCAGACACAGTGCCCCTTTGGACTTGGCAGACCACAGGGTGGGCACAGCCTGGTGTCCCCACAGTGCCCTGCGGGTGGGAAGCCCTGAGCCCCTACCACTGCTCCCTCAAGGGGCCCTGTGCCATGTCATTGGGCCCTGTCTCCTTTTTCCTTCTTCCTTCTTACATACAGGCTCTGCCCCTTGAGTCGGGCACTGTCTGGGAAGCCAGGGGCTGGCAGCCACTCTGTCATGAGTGTCCCATGTCAAGAGGAATATGTAGAATGGGCTGTGCCACCCCCACCCGAAGCCCGCCAGGAGCGTCAGTGTAGTCCTTTGTTGGAGGAGGTGTGTGGTGACCCTAGGAGCCTGAGCCAGGAAGCTGTCCCCACAGGGCCTGTAGGTTTGTTTCTGCAATAGTCATGTGTTCCCTCATGGCCTGGCCATGCCCAGCTGGCCCGGGCTGCAAGCTGCTGACTGCCCCACATCTCTGGATGACAGGCAGGGTGCCCTGCCCCCCTTACCAACCTCTAGGCTGTATAGACTATTCCCATCCAGCACCATCACCGGGTCTCATAAGAAACGCTAGTTACCACAGGCTGAGTTTGGAGCCCTTTGCTCCACTCTGCAGATCACACTGGGTGCTTTGCCTGCAGCAGTGGGTGTTGCCCACCATAGCCAGAGAGGTGGGCACTGTTATGATCCACGTTTCACCATAAATGGAGGCAGGCGACCCTTAGTTGGTCACCTGTACATCCCCCCCACCCACCGGGCTGTGGCTGCTGCCCCTTGTTGGTGTCTCAGTGGGTGACACGCCTAAGCCCTGCAAGCATCTGAGCCAGCTGAATGACTGTCAGAATAAGAAAGCCTAACATAAAACCTCAGTGTCTTGTGACACCGTCTGGTGACACTGGGGACAGGATAGAAGTCACACAGGCGCACCCCGGAGACCATGGGAAGAACGAGGTTGACCCCTGATGCACTCACGCACCGCCCCAGAGCCTCACTGAGGCTCTCACGCCCTGAGCCCAAAGGTAACCATTTCTCAGACTTCTACCTTAAAATGCTCCACTCCTGAAGGTAAAAGCAGTTTGGAGGCTTTTAAAAAGTAGGTTTATTTCTTAGTCGTGAAGTTCGTGTGCTATTCAGGGTGTGACAGTGTGCATAGGTGTGGGTGTGGGTGTGGGTGTGTGTGTGTGCACACTTATGCGTGTACCATGCAGTAGGGCTGGGTAACTGTATTTTTAAGTGAGCAAAGCCACGAAGAATCCACTCTAGATATGCTGCCTAAACTTGCAGGAGTCTTGAGTGTGTGTTGCACGTTTGCCCCTGGAGTCCTCAGCCAGGTTTAACTGCCTCGGCTCCCTTGGCAGTGCTGCTGCTGCTGCTCCTTCTCGGCATGGCCGTCACACGAGCCTTGGCCTACAGTGAAGGCCAAGCCCAGGGCGCCGGGGCCTCAGACGGTTCCTGTGAGTGCCTGGGGGTGAGGTCTGAACCACAGTGGCCAGAGTGAGGGTTTGCTAGAGGGATGGTTTAATATAATACACGTGCTTCAAAAAGGAGTCACAGGGGAGGCTTGTAGCAGTCACCACAGAAGGGCTGCCTGTGTGTGGGACAGCAGAGGATCCTGGCGGGGCCAAAGGCCTGGCACTCCAAGGGTCCCCCAGGAGCCGAAAGGTCTGCACTGGAATCCTGAAGATGACATCCAGAGGCCAGGGTGAAGATGAGCTCCCCAAGGAGCAGAAGCGAGCCTTCCTCCTCCTTTCCCTTTTCATTCCACCCAGGCCACAAGCCTATTGGTCGGTGCCACCCCACTGGAGCAGGCCCTCCCTCTTCAGGAAGTCAGTCCTCCAGATGTGCCCAGGGCTATGCAAAACCGGTCTGCTGCCGGTTCCTACTGAGGTTGACACTCAGGGAACTATCACATCTGTCAGGGCTGCCTTACTTCCACCTTGACCCATGAGTAGGAGCCGTCTGACCTTGGGAGCCCAGGCTGGCCCCCTCATCTGCAGCCCTGTCCACTGTGCACCCTCTTCAGCCCTCAGCCCCAGTCCCCGCCAAGGAGGGCCTGAGACTCAGGTGTTGCCCAGAAGCCCCTGGGTTTGGGTGCTCTTAGGGACAGAGGAAGGAAAAACTTTAGAAAGCCTACGCTTACCCCCTAGGGCTTTAGGGCAACATGGCCCACATCTGCAATCCCTGAATTCCAGGAGTGTGGCAGGAGGATCACAAGTTCACATCCAGCCTGGTAACTTAGCAATTTAAGAAGACCCCATCTCAAAGGCAGCCGCCTTGGGTGTGGTCACTAGGAAGGAGCAGGCTGTGTTCCTGTCTGAAGAGGAGCGGCCCCAGGGTAACTTCCCCAAGGGAATGCACAGGCTGGGGAAAAGCCTTCCCCGCCGACACCTCCAGGGGGCGCAGCCACCGCCTTTGCAGCTCCCTGCCCCGTGGGCCTACAGCTGGGACATGCTGGTGGACTTGGCATTGTGAGAGGCGGAGCAGCTCCTGGAGTTGTCCTCAGACTTCAGTTCACTGGAGAACCCGACATAAGGGAGGCAGCCAGCATCCTTCAAGAGCTTCCAGAGGTTCCTGCGGAACTTGAGGCCCACGAAGGCGTAGAGCACGGGGTTGAGGCAGACGCGCAGGTAGGAAATGGCCTCGGTCACTACGATGGCATAGTGGAAGCTGGTCCTGGTGTAGAACTCCCAGTGGGAGCTGCGGATGATCTTGACCAGGCTGAAGGGTGTCTGGGTCAGCAGGAACACAGCCACCACCAGCATGATGATCTTGAGAGATTTGTGTTTCTGGAAGCCACGGCTGAGCAGGAGGGTCCGGATGATGGCTGGGTAGCAGAACAGCATGGTGAGCAGGGGCAGGAAGAAGCCCAGAGTCATCTGGGTAGCCAGGACCACCCTGAAAGTCTCGTCTCGGTGGTAATTACAGACCAGCCTGTCGTGGTGGTAGACTTGGCTGTAGATGATCTGTGGCAGCGACAGCACCAGGGAGACCACCCAGGTGCCACCCAAGACTCCTTTGCCCCACGCTGTACACATGGGCCCCTGGGTGTAGGCCTTGGTGGCCCGGACCACCACGACGTAGCGGTCCACGGTGATGCAGGTAAGCGTGAGCATGGACACGAAGAAGTTGACAGCGTAGACGCCGTGCAAGACCTTGCACAGAACCCCACCAAAGACCCACTGGTAGGAGCCCGAGTAGGCCCAGAAGGGCAGCGTGCAGACGAACAGCAGGTCGGCCAGGGGCAGGTTCGCCAGGAACAAATCCGTCACGCTTGGCAGCTTCTGATAGAAGACATAGATCACCAGCACCAGCGCATTCCCCAGCAGGCCGAGGACAAACACCACCACGTACACGCAGGGCAGGAAGACCTCACGAAAGTGCAGGAAGCGTGCGTGCGCCTCACTGCTGTGATCCTCATCAGAGCCACTGAGCCCGGGGATTTGGGGGTATTCGTAGTCAGTGGGCTCCACGTCATCCATGCTCACCTGTGAGCAAAGGCCTGGAATTACTTTTGGGCTGAGAGTGGCTATCCCTGCCCCCGCACTGCCCAGCAAGTACAGTGACCTCCTGCATCTACCACGGTCATGCTCAGGCAGGATGAGGCCTGAAACCATTATCCCGAAATTCCCAGGCCCTGACCCTGCTAACTCATGCACATCCTGTAACCCCGTGTACAGTGGCTTTGGAAGCAAACCATGCCACGCATCCCTGGGTGCTGGACAGCAGGGCCTGCTGTGCTGTGTCCAGGCCTCCTGGCAGTGCCTGCCCTCACCACCACTTCTGCCATGAGGTCCCACTGGCTTCCCCCTGGCTGCCCTACCAGGGAGACTCCTGACAGCTGCATGTGCAGGATGACAGGGACTTTGCTGTCAGGTGGACAGTGACCCCAGCTGCTCTTCCCCTCCACGGCACAGATGGAGAGGGCAGCTATGGAAAAACTGTACGCAGAAAAGCATGTAGTGCCCAGGGCTCTGGCCAAGCTGGCTGTATGACCAAACTGTCCCCATCGTCCCCCACCACAGCGCATGATACGCATACCAGACACTTCTCTTCTGAGGACTTCTTCATCTTCAGGCTCCCCAAGAGCTGCTGCAGCTGTGTGGGGCACCCTGCAGGATCTGGGCTGTCTTTTCCTAGAAGAGCCCTGCCCCTGACACCAGGTTGTGGGCGACACTGCATTGGTATGGGAACAGCTGTGGCAGCACCGACCTAGGTGAGCCTGGTTGACCGTGCCCCTGAGAACCCCGCTCCCACCCCAGCAGCACCCCATGAGTATGCTAAGGAGACAGGCAGAAGCCTGGCAGATCAGAAGGGACCAGGCAGGTGCCAGCACATAAAGCATGAGGCCATCCCTGCCTCTGATGTATTCGGGACACTTCCTTCCCCCGAACCAGTGTCTGCCCTGCCATCATTTAAAAGAGGGGCCAGCCTATGGCTCCTCTCACAAGGCCTGTTCAGCTGTCTTTACCACCCGACGTGCCGCCACCCCTCCTCAGCTCTCCTGTGCCCACAGCCTGAGTTCCCTGCTGCACCTGCACCCTGAGCGGGAAACATCACTGTGGCATGGACAGATGGGGCCGGACAGCTGTGTGCAGGCAGGGTGTTCCCGGTCACTTCCCCTTAGCAAAGAAGTTTTCATTTCGTCATCTTCTCTAATCAAAGCCCTCGGTGGACTTCTGAAAATTTGTTCTTAAAAAATAATATGTATAACTTTGGAAATAATGTAACAGTCTGATAATAAGTAAATGATAACTGTAATTCAGACATGAAAGTTATGACCAAAACGTTTAAGAGGCACTTTTGGTCATTTTGGGAAGCAGTACATTTATGTTGCTCAGAAGAGTGAAAACACAAAAATATGCAAAATGCAGGAGATCTATTGCTGTCATCGAGGAATGGATGGGGAACATCCACTGTGATTTCTGTTTGCTATCTGTCCTCTCCCCTGGGCCCTGGGCAGTGAACCAGGGCTTTCACAGTGAGCTGCAACCCAAACCTTTTTTATGCTTCTGATTTCAACACAGAATCTCAGGAAATCTCTCCAAGGTGCCCAGCCTAGATTCAGACCTGCAGTCCTACCTCAGCCTCCCGGATTGCTGAGATTACAGGCATGCACCACCATACCTGGCTTAACTGTTTTAATCATAAACCCCTTGGAGAATCTCTTAGAAATGTGCACACATTTCCTTGGATAGGACCTGAACACATCTATGCTTCTAGGAGCTCAGAAACTCAGTCTCCTGTGGAGGCTTAAGAATCCATGATAAACTTTGTCCTTTAAATATATTTCTAGATCACAGAAAATAACCACACTTCATCAGTGGTTGGCCCCTGGGTGGTGCAATTTGGGGAGATTTATTTCCTCTCTACCTTCATGCTTTTCTGTAGTTTCTACAGTGGCATCTTGATTTATACTGAAAAAAACAATGGAGAGTAATCTGGGACAACGCAGCTTGCTTTAGAAAGCAGGAAGGGAAGACAGATGACTCCGGGACACAAGGAAGGTGACAGACTCCCCTGCCCTCCCAGGCTCCGATGCCAGCCAACACTGCTAGTGCCCTGAGCTTGCAAGCTCTTACTGTGACAGTCTGGTCTCCGGTCTCCGGTCTCTGATGTACCCCTCCTGGCTGCTGCAAACCCAGTGAGCCCCATTGCCCCTTGCTGCAGGCAAGAGTCTGAGCTCCATCTTCTCCAGACCACAGGGAATCGAGAGATAAAGGACTCACCGCGGAAACGCCCTGCCAGCTCCAGATGCCTTGCTCTCCCCGCACTCGGGCTGACCTGCTGCTCTGTGATGTGGTCTGTGTTTCCGTGCAGGATTTAAGAGCCCTGGGCTGCTGATTAGGGACCCACCCCTTCCCCTCCCTACAGGTCACAGCTTTCAGTGTTCATGCAGGGGCCCTGCATCAGGTCGCTTGAGTGCTGGAACCCAGCCTTGACACCTTACACGCCTCTTCCTGGCCAGGCCCTTACTGCTGAGGTAGAGAGGGCTTTGTTTGTAAACTGAAGGGGAACAGGGAGCAGGTTTGGATCCCGGCTGTGCTGTCCCTTGGGCACTGCTCTTGTCCCTTTGGATTATTTCACCCAGCTCTGTGAACAGAGTCTGGCTGGGCTGCGGGGCTCCCAGTGCGTGTGATCCCCCACCTCCTGCAGTTCTCATCCCTGGGTTCTCATTCCGGGTTCACAGAGCGAGCGCTGGGGACTGAAGCTGAAATCACGGCCTCTCGCACACACAGCTGGTGCCTGGTCATGCCAAGGTGCACACATGCTCTCCCTCACCCCCAGGCCAGGGACCAGGTGGCTTGTGGGTGATAGCTTAGCCCCCCAATCCCACATCATTCATTCCCGTGGGCAGGCAGAGCCCACCACCACCACCACCACGCTTACCCTGCAGAAGCTGCTGGCTCCCCTAGATGTGGAGCACCTCGCGCTTAGCACACCCCAGTTGCTCAGTTCTGTCATCCCAAAGTGCAGCACCTTGCGGCCGTCACACCTGGGGGGTCACACCTGGTGGTCAGGGACTGGAGGAAACTCCACTGGGGTCTGGTTCCCCACACGCTCCTGGAGAACAGGGCATTGCAAAATGCTTTGCACTCTGTTCCCACTTTCCATGCCAGCCTTCTGCCTCTGAGCTTCCTGTCCCCACTCAGCCCCCTTCCCCCAGGGCCCCAAAACCAGCCCTGTGTCCCACGCAGGCAGGGCTGTGCTGAGTGGGTCTCTGGCACCTATGTCCTTAGCCCCTTCCGGGTGAGTAAATGGAAGGTGGGGAGAAGCACTCACCTGCCCAGGAGCACACAGCTCCCTGGCGTCCCCCACAGCCCATCTGGCTGCAGACCCCATGCTCAGTCTCTGCTCTTTCTGAGTGGGCATCGCTGCAAGCCCTGGTGGAAGATCCACGCTCCACTGGTGGGTTTGTGGGCTCTGCACACTGCCCTTTCCACTGAGGACAAATAGGTGAGCAGAGTGTTTCCAGGAGGCTGGGGGACGAAAGGAGCAGCACAGACTGAACCCAGGACCCCCTTCCACAGAGACCTCAGGGCAGGGCGGCCCTCAGGGGAGACTGTGGGTTTCTACAGTCAGGAAGCCTCAGGAGTGGACTTTTCCTTGGGGCCAGCAACCCAGGATGCCGCTCCTGGCATGTGTGGCTGTGACCAGCTCCCTGCAGGAACTCAGGCTGCGTGTTGCTCTGTGGCAGAGACGGAGAGAAGCAGGGTTGTGCAGTTGAGAGAGCGCACTCCTGCCCCGGCCGCAGGACCTCCTTAGGAAGCGTTTGCCAGACTGAGCACTTGCAGCTGAATTCAGGGGACCAAGCTGCTCAGTTCGGGGCTAGAATTCTGTTCATACCGCACTGCAGGATGCCATCTGCTGCCGGCCTGGAGTCATTCTGTTTATCCCAAGAGGGTCGCTTTGAAACGAAGCTCTGGGTGAGCACCCGATCATCGGTCCGTGTCTCAGATTCCCCCAGAAATATTCAGATGCTTTCCAGATGCAGTGGGAGGAGGGAGAGTGGGCAGAGGGGCAGCTGCAGAGTTAGTGAGGGTTGGGCTCTGTTCCTCCCCACCTGCCCCAGACACCAGGCATTCCCAAGCCTGCGCTTTCAGGAGGTCGCCTCTGGGTTGTGGGGATGTGATGTTTGCCACTGCTGGGGAAGGAGGGGCTCAGCACGGCTTGGTGGGTGACAGCTGAGATGACTCCATAGCTAAGGCTTCATGGGGAGTGGGCCAACAGGACCACACCATGACAGTGTGGTGGCGCCCCCTGCCCACTGTGAGGATGGGCTGTGGGTTTGTGCGTTTTTCACACCCCAGCCCCACAGCCGGCTTCAGGAGTCAGGAGACAAGTGGTTCTCTTCAGCTGGTTTTTAAGCAAAAAGTAAGCCCTCGACTAAAAGGAGAAACTACTAGGAATTTACTAGCAATCTTACAGTGTGATACAATCATAGAAAAACAGAGAACGCCTCGCTCGTTTGAGCTCTCTGTGCCACACTCTGTGTTCCGTCCTGCCTGGAGAGCATTTGTGACAGGGAGACACTTAGCCTGTGATACAGAATGCTGATGTGGAGCAGAGGTGGGGGCACATGGGTGCCCCGTTACAGTGCCCACGCAGTGCCCCCCCTCCCCAGAGGGGTGAGGCAGGTGGTACATCATATGCGTGCACCAGAGCCCAGCGATGGAAACTCAGCCTGAAATGGTGGCCACAGGAAGCCACTGTGCTTAGCAGTAGGCACAAGAGAGGTCACTGTGGGCACTGAGTTTATCCCACTTCACTTCTGAGACAGGTGTCACTAAAGGAATGAGGAGCCGCCTGTGGCAGGAGAGGGTGCCCTCTAGTGCCTGCGTGTGTCGCCCGCTGTCCTCAAACCTGGCTTCTGATAGTTGTTTCCTGCCGCATCCCACAGAAGTGTGGTTCACCTGGTACCCAGGCGTGCGCGTCTGCACGCAAGGTGGGATAGAGGACAGCGTGTGTTTGGAGTTGAAAAGTTATAACAGTGAAAGACGCATCATCCCGAAGGCCCCTGGACTGCCCTCTTCCACCTCACTCCTCGAGTCGCCCTCGCCACTTTCTGCAGCAGCCCTGGAGTGCTCTTTCCTGAGGGTCCTTCACTAGGCTGTCTTGATGTCCTGAATGCGTTGAAAATGTTGGCCTCTCAGGGTCCTTGTGACTTCAGGGAGGAGCCGGAAGTCGCATGGTGCCAGAAGCAGGGAATGAGGTGCACAAGGACAGGGCGGTGTTTTTATGAGCTGGTCTTTCCATCAATGGCGCTGGGTGGCAGTGGTCACTGTATTTATTCTTCTTCGTAAAGACACAGGAAAAGGGCTCCAGAGCTGCTTCCGAAAATGGCCAGGACCCCAGGACCAGTGCTAAAGCAGAGAAGAGGGTCCTGGGGGAGGTCCATGTCTGTGTCTTGCTGTAATAATTTTTTGTAATTTAAACTTAGTTCACCATATTTGCCCATCACCCTGTATAGGTAATAGACAAGCACCCCCTGGCACAGTGCTTGTCCTCACGGCCACCCCAATCCTTCCTGCTTAGTTGCTTCATTTTCATGTTGGTCATAACTTCCTAAACTGACCCGAAGTCCCGAGCAGAGCACAGCCTTCAGACTGATGGCAAAGGGAGCTCTGCCTCTAATCGTTACTGTGGGGACTGCATCCCTGCACACCCTGCGCCCCCCTCAAAGGTGACCAGGCCTAAGCAGGTAGAGGGCAGATGCACCAACAGCAGCACGGCTCTGCCCCACCCCCAAGAGCCTTGGGGTCCCCCACTCCGTGCTGATTTTGTCTCATTTTCACCTGGGACAGGGTCAGCAGCCAGGGAGCCCGAAAGGCCTCTGCTCCCCCGCCGTCCAGGGCGGGGAAGCTGGAGTGTTTAAGTCTGGGGCCGACAGCCACAGCCTTGCAGGGAGCAGCAGTGGGCAGGGACAGTCTGGGATGTACTGACCTTACCTTGGGGACATGTGGGTGCCAAGAAGGACTTGTACTCTGGGCAGCTCTCCCCTGGGCCAGGCTCTGCCAGGGAGAGCACTGAACTGGAGTCTGGGCCTCTGCCTCCAGCCCAGCCCTGCCGTAGCTCCAGGTCCCCATGCAAGGTGCAGGGGGCTGCAGTCTGCTGATGCATCCCAAGGTCAGGGGCAGGATCTTCCCTGCAGGCATCAGGAGACATCTTAAGTGCACCAAGACGTCCTCAAGAGGGGACCGCATGTGGCACTCGCCTCCCAAGCAGGTCTCATGGAGCACACCCTCCTGGGATGTAGGACAGCTGCCCCCTCTGCCCATACCTGTGTCACTGCTTCCTGCCCCTTGGCCCTGGCCCCCGCTCCTGTGTCCCAGCGGCCTCCCTGCCAGGTAGGAGGAAGCAGGCCTGCTGGTCACTGGGCCCACTGCAACAGTCTCCAGCAGGCACTCATCCTCCTCACTGTGCCGGGGCAACGCCAGCGCTGTCCTTCAAGCTGCTGTCCTCTTCCTGTCCTGGCCATGGGGGCTTCAGGGCCCCGAGCCCTGTAAAGCTCTGAGGGTCTGGGACCTCGTGTGCTGGTAGCTAACGGCCACGTTCTCCATGACATTTCAGGGACACCACCTCAAACTCGCTGACCTCCGAGGATGCTGAGGGTATGCCCATGGGGCAGGACACCGAAATCTGCCTGCTGAAGTCCGGGGAGCTGATGTAAGTGGGGGGGCCCCAGAGAGGCACCCCAGAGCTCAGCACCACCGCACACCCACTTCTTTGAGTGTCTTGCTGCAGTTTCTCCTTCCTCTCCTGATGAACGGTTGGTGGTTTCTCCTGTCTTCTTGCAGGTCCTAGGGACGCCCCTCCCCCCCACCAGTTCCTTTCTCTGCGCTCTTCACAGTTCTGTTTTCTCTTGTGGAGTTTTCTAACTGTTATATTTATTCTTCTCTGAGCCCCTCCTCCAGTGATGCATCTGTTTTATTTTCATCTGTCTGCAGTTTCGGGGACTGCACATCAGCCCTCACCCTGAGCTTCATTCCCAGCCCTTTTTAATTTTTTTTTTTAATTTTGAGGTGATCTTGCTAAGTTGCCCGGGCTGGGCTCAAACTTGAGAGCCTCCTGCCCAAGCCTCCCAGAGTGCTGAGATTATAGGTCCGCACCACCTTGCCCAGTATAGTTGTTACACATTTTTCTAGTATTTCTAGGTGTGATTTTTTTTTTTTTTTTCATTTCAAGAACCCTTGAAGTTGTTATTGAGGCATTTCTGTGACGGCTGCTTAGAAAGCCTTGTCAGATGGTTCTTGCATCAGATTGTCATTAGCACTGGTGTCTGCATGTCCTCCTGCGAGTTAGGGTTTTCTGGTCCTCAAGGGGACCCATAGGCGAGGCTCAGAGCTGCTGAGCTGCCATTTCCTGGGCCCTGGGGTCCCTAGCTAGCTCCTTCTTTTCCCTGCACTTCTGGCCCGCGCTCTCCTGCTGGCTTAGGTACAGGGGCTTTAGCCGCACCTAGGAAAATCAAGGGCATGTTTGAAATTACTCATTATCAGACTTGCCAAAACTGTGCCCTCAAATAAAGAGTTAAGAAAGGCGTTGAGATTAAGAAGTGACCAGAATGCACCCAATGGGGCCGATCCTTAAGGAGAATGGGGTGAGGCCAGCACTGCGGAGCGAGGAGCCTTCCCAGCAGCCCAAGGTCAAATGCAAGGAGCACAGGGGAGCTTGGGAGCAGCAACTTCTGCCTCCTCCGAAGAGGACAGCAAACTGAGGTTTGGCCCCTGCACACAGGAAAATTGGGGAATCTGAAAGCACATGAAGGCAGGGCCAGCTCAGAACAGGGGTACAGGTGTCTGTGGCTCTGGTCAGCTAGAATCTCTGGGGTCATGTGGGAGAAATCACCCCTGTGGTGTGAGTCTTGTGGACTATAGTAGATCCATCTCTGTCTCTTGTCTCTGTCCCTCTTTTCCTGAGGACTGAACCCAGGGCCTTCACACTGATCTACATCCCTAAGCACCTCTGTGCTTTTTATTTTGAACTAGGGTCTGGCCCATTTTCCCAAGCTTGAGCCAGGCTCGACATCCTCCTGTCTCAGCTTCCCAGAGTGCCAGGGTCACGGGTGTGTGCTGCCACATGCAGCCCAGCAGGGGCTTCTCTTATCATGATACTCAGGCAAAGCTGGCAGCACCTTTCACTGGGCCTCCTCTGGAGAGCCCAGGTTGTCCTGGCAGACACCTGGCAGACATTGGCACCCAGAGAAGCCCGGAGCCCCAGATTGAAAAGCACCCCTGCACGGGGTGGGGGGAGGGGAGGACCATGACTTTACACAGCAGTGCAGTCAGAGGTCCATCTCTTTCCCAGAGCAGAACCCCCCTTCCTGCCTGCCCGATTCCTGGAAATCAGAAATATTGGGCAAGCACTTCTAACTGGGAAGCAGCGTCCACTGAGCCTTCATTCCCTTCCTCACTGAAAGGGGATAGAAAGGCAGCTCAGCGCATGGCAGGTGTGGATCTGGGTCAGACCTGTGCAGACCAGGGCCACAGCTCTCCCTCTGTCTGAGCCAGGCTTCCCGGGGGTCAGTTTTTCTGCAGGAGGCCTGTCCCCGTGAGCATGAGCCAGAACAGGGCACAGTGCAGGGAGCCCACCCCATGCCCGGTCAGTCCGCTGCCTCTGTGTCAGAAGAGGCCAGGGGACTTCAGTGGTGTAGAGCCAGCCAGCAGACACAGACCCAGGGCGCCGGTGGTCAGGTCCCTATGTGTGTCTCTACTAGGATCAAGTTACCTCTAACTGTGGAGGAGATTGCCAGCTTCGGCGAGGGCAGCAGGGAACTGTTTGTGAGGTCCAGCACCTACAGCCTGATCCCCATCACCGTGGCTGAGGCGGGCCTCACCATCAGCTGGGTCTTCTCCTCTGACCCCAAGAGCATCTCCTTCAGCGTGGTCTTCCGGGAGGCTGAGGACACGCCCCTGGACCAGTGCAAGGTAGGCGGACCCCCTCCATGGCCTGGATGGTGTCACATAGGGTGGGCAGAGCACCTGGGGCTTGTCCCACTCATCTTGCAGCTCAAGACAGCTGTCTCCAAGTGCCAGAAGTCCGTCCTGTGCTGGGCAGGTTGAGTCTGACCTTGGGAGAGCACAAGGTGAATCCTAGAGGCTTCCAGGCGCAGGGGTTGGGGTAAGGATGATTTTCTCATGAAGGGGTCACTTCACTGGGTGTGACCGCTGCTCTGGATGCAAAGGTGGCAGCAAAACAAGCCCAGAATCACTCGGGTGGAGAGATTGAGGTATTGGAGTCAGATCCCAGCGCTGAGACATCTCGGCCCTCAGCCACACTGCCTGCCCTGCTGCTCGCCAAGCCCAGCCTGTCCTTTTGCATGAGCACTTGCATACCACGTCCCACAAGCCTGGAGCTTGGGCCCCAGGCCCTGCCGCGCGGCAGCTCTGGCTTTGGGTCCCCTCCCGGGTGATGAGCACCGTCCTTCTCCACAATGGACAGTAGGGGGCAGAAGGAGCCCACACCCTGGGTGCCCAGATGCCTTCTGTCTTCACAGCTCCTCCTCGGCCAGGCATGGGGTGCGGGGCAGCTGGTACCTCAGCCTGTCTCCAGGTTCCAGTGCTCAGCATCCGTCCCCCTGTCCCCCACTAACCTGAAACACACAGGACACAGGCAAGCACAGGGTGATGACAGCCATGCTTAGATTCCTTGGTGACAAGAGGTCTCAGCACAGGAGCCGTGCGGGTCCTCATGCGAGTTACTAAGCATCTGCCATGCCCGGGGTGGAGGGGTCATGATGCAGGTGATCACCCCTGAAGAGGACAGGGTCATCAGAGAACAGAAAGCCAGCATCAGCAGAAGGGAAGGACTAACGGAGAGCGGAGCAGAGATCAGTGAACCAGAGAATCAAAGAATGACGCCGAGGGCTGATAAAACAGTCAAATAAATAAAATGAGAGATTAAAAGGGGACATTAGACCAGTGAGCCCTGGAATCCATACTATCATCTGTGATCACTTGTGCCGGTTGGAAAACCTCAGAGGAATTTCCAGCCATGAATGGTAACCAAAATTGAAGGAGGAGGATATAGAAAACTTCACTAGCTGAGTGAGAAGCAATTAGATTAAAGTGATAATAAAAACAGAGAAAAGTCCAGAACCAGAGAGGGTCACTGGTGAATTTGACCAGAAGAACTAACACCAGCGCTCCTCAGACGATTCCATGAAGCAGAAAGAGAAAGCTTCTTTCCAGCCTTACCCTACAAGCCACCGAAACTGGAGAGGATCCGAGAAAAGCAAAACGATAGACCAGGGTCCCTGCTGGACACAGCTGTGCACCAGCTCAGTGAAACACCAGCAAATCCAGTTCAGCAGTGCAGTCAAAAGCTTGTAAATCACAGTGGGTTTAATTCAGGATGCAAAGGTGTCTCGATGCACACAAATCTGTAAATGAGTGCAGCACAGAAAGAACCAAGGCTGAGAACCCATGGTGAAGCCGGGGGCTGGGGCTAGTCAGGGATCTGCAGGGGACCAACACGCACGGCGCCACAGGCGTTGCCCAGCCCAGTGTGTGCACCGCTCTTCAGCTGTGATGTGACCTGCGGGAAGGGCCCTGCCTCTGAGGCCCTTCTCCCCTCCACTCCCCAGGTCCTCATCCCCACCACCCGGTGCCACTCCCACAAGGAGAGTATCCGCGGCCAGCTGAAGGTGCGCTCACCCGGCATCTACATGCTCATCTTCGACAACACTTTCTCCAGGTAGGCAGTGGGGGTGCACCTGGAACCCGCATGCATCGTGGCCAGTTCCTGGTTGGTGGTATCCTGGAGTTTACTGTGGATTTGTAAGGCAGGGTGATGGCACCAGGGTTCTACCCTGCACCAGAGCTCACCAGGCCAGCAGTGCAGCCCAGAGAGGGAGAGCAGAGCAGAGGAGGGAGGATGGTAGGGGAGAGGAGGGGAAGAGAGGTCAGGGGAGGGGAAGGGGGAAGGGAAGGGGGAAGAGTGACCCGGAGTCCCAGCCCAAGGGGCAGGCTAGGCCAGCATCTCAGGAAGCCCTCTGACCCTCTGACAGTGGGCTGTAGCTGGGGCTCAAGTTGTCCTGCATGGAGGTGTGATCAGGAGGGTGGGAGTGGAGAAGTGTTTGGAGGGTGACACTCCTACCTGACCTCAATACTGTGATGTGACCCGAATGCTCTGCCCTAGGACCTTGGCACAGGACATACCTGGGCGCTGCCCTGGGAGCCCTAGTAGTAGGCAGGAGCCCCAGCTCCCCCAGCAGCCAGATGGGCATTGGCTGCACAGTGGCCTGGGGCCAGCATGGCTCTGCCCCACTCAGGGCCTGACTGACCACTGTGCATCAGCAAGCGAGGCCAGCCTGGCCATGCTGAAGGGGCTGCGGTGCTGCGGCCCCTGCGGTCATCTCTTGGGCTGTTTGAGATGTTCAAATCTAATCTGATTTAGAGCCAAGGGAGCAGGAAACCTGGGCATACGCACCTCCTGGCTGCTCCTGGGCAGCTCCCCAAATATCAGGTGGTTCACAGCAGTGTCTCCAGGTCCTGTTGCTCTGCAGGAGCCCACACCTACTGTGAGGTACCATTGCCCAGGGTCTGGCACCATGGCCTCAGCTGCAGGCAACTCCCTCTCTCTGGTCTCCCCTTCCTCAGGTTTATCTCCAAGAAAGTGTTTTACCACCTGACAGTGGACCGGCCTGTGATCTACGACGGCAGTGACTTCCTGTAGCACCAGGCACCTGGACTCCACGCTGTCAGCTGGTCCACTGGAAACACTACTCGTCCCCCACACCCCATCACCTGAATTCAGCACAAGAGAAAGACAAGGAGAAGCAGAGCAAGGCCACTAGCCCATGGCTGTGCCCTCAGCCCCGACCCTGCAGCTCTAAGGGCTCAGCGACATTTCCCCTGCTAGCCCCCACTGTCCTCACAACCCAGGGACCCTGCCAGAGCATCCGCCTATCCTGGGCACAGCTGGTCGCAGCCAAGCTCGACCTCAGTGGGCTCCCCGGTGACCTGCATCCCGGTGACCCATGCATCCCAGGATGGCCACAGGACCAGGGCGCTGGGCAGGGGTCCTCCCCCTACCTCTTCCAGTCACTCACTGTCACATTTGGGGCTGCACCAGCGTGCAGTGATTTCGAGGGCACTGCTGAGCCATGCTGACCTCGAGGCCTTTCCTGGGTGACTGTCCGTGGGCAAAGCCCACACTCAGCCAGGCCTCCCAGAGGTCAGCTCAGCCCAGAGCCCAGCATGCCAAAGACCTTCAGGGCTGGGAGCTCCTGCTCCCAGCCTGGCTGGTTATGCATGGGACACATGTGTCCTAGCAAGCACAGCCAGGCAACAGCTGCTTTCCAGCACCTGCTGAACAGGTCTTGGATGACTAGGAAGCCAGTGGCAGAGGAAAAGGCCATAACTTACACTTGTCTCCACCAGCCCTGCAAGCGCCCCAACCCCCAGGCCCACTTCCTCCCTTAACAGGAAGCAGATGCCCTGCCCGGTCCCCTGGGTCCTTTCCTTCACCACCCCCACCCCAACGGAGCTCCCGCTTCATGGCTTCTGTCTCCCAGCAGCTGGCCACCAGCAGTCCAGCCCCTGGGGTGGCCACAGGTATGCAGTGTGTGGCACAGAAGCCCACTGCAGCCAGGCGCGAGGTCAAAGCCCTGCCAGGCCAGCCAGCCATCCCCGCACAGCCCCCTGTCCACCAAAGCCGGGACCTTTAGGGAGGCCCGGTCAGGTCCAGCCCAGACCTCAGTCAGCACCAGCAAAGACGAGTCAGTGATTTCGTGTACTTGGAGTCATTCGAGAGAGGTACTCAAGAGCCGGGGCCCTTGCGGCCTCTGTCCTCCAAGCGGCCTCTGTGTGCCCAGGTGCCCGCCATGCTCTGTCAGAGCCCTGGCTGCCCAGCACAGCACAGAGGACTTCCCAGCCTCAGTGTCCCCATGGCCCAAGGTATCTCTGGAGCAGTCCGTCCCTCCTGCACAAGTCACTGGAAGTTGACGACTGCCCACAAAAACAGCAGGGCACCCAGCACAGCCCAGGATCCTCCTGTCAGCCCTGGCTCTCCCTGAGTGCTGGGGCTCTGATCGCTTTGTCACCCAAGGCAGCAGGAAGCACCTTCCCCTGTGGAGCTGCTGGGTCTGCCAGGCAGGGCCTGGAGCATCTGTCTGAGGTCCCTCTGGACACCCATCACTCATACCAGCAGGGATTGACTGCAGGTTCAGAGACCGCTGGCTGTCTGAAGCCACCCAGAACCACCCTGGAGGGCAGTGGGGCTTCTGGTGGGTGTCCCTCACTCTGGGCCTGGGTCGCCCCCTACTGGCTCTGGCATGCTTGTCTCTTGTGGAGACGAGTGTGATACTAGCTCTCTGCCCAGCACCAGTTTGCAGCGCATGCTGTAGCCAAAGCCTGCACTGGCCCGTGTGCAGCCGACTCACAGCTGTGTTCTTTCTCTGAACTGTTCGCCGCTGTACAGAGGCCCAGAGCTGGTGTCACTTTTTAAATGCAAGTGACAGTTAGATCCCTGCTGATGGCTGTAGCCCTGGCTTGACACAGCTAGCAGAAGTCACAGCTGCCATCCGAGCCCTGAGTCCCTACTGCCTGCCAGCCTCGCTCTGCAATGTGGTGACCTGCCAAACACACGTCTACTACCAAGGCAGCGTGGTCCCTGCAGAGCACCCAGCCCAGGGACAGGGCTGTAGATGGGCGTGGCCAGAGCAGGGAGATTCTACAGCAGGATCCGGAGCTGCAGGACCTCACGGGCTCAGCAAATAGTGACCAGAGCCACCTCACATCACTCAGAAAGGAAGGGCCGTGTTTCCCAGCATTCAGTCGTCACCTACAGCAGGTAGCCGTTGCAGGGAGCTGTTCCAGGCCCAGACATTCACAGAAGGGTGGGTCCCAAGCCTAGCAGACATGCTAGGATAGAATTTCACGGGAGTTTGATTTTTTACAGTCCACCCAGAATCCTTTAGACCACAAAGCCAGCCTTGGTTCAGGCTTGGGGACTGAGCAAAGAGAAGCTGTCTGAGGTACTCAGAACCAAGGACCTCCTGGCACCCTGAGTCCTCTGAGACTGCTGCTCCTGTCTGCAAAGATCTGTGCTGCTTAGTGGACTCTAGTGAGCTTCTCTCCTTACTGCAGTTCCTCCAAGGAAGCAGGGAGGATGGGGTTAATGATTCCCTCTTCCCTCATAAGCACTTTTCCTAATAGAGTAGATCTCTAGGTTTCTGTTGACAGGCCAAAGCAAAGCAAAAAAAAAAAAAAAAAAAAAAAACACGGGCTTCCTTAGAGTCCTGGGGTGTGCGTTACCCAGAAACACTGCCCCAGGCCTGAGGGACACCACGCCTGGGGCAGAGGCTCCAAAATCAGAATGCACTTTAAAGCTCTCACATTGTGGCCTTCCTGATGCAGGGTGTGGCATCCGCGTCACCCTTACATGCCAAAGAATCACCCAGCAGCACATCAGACACCAGCACCCCACCCCACGGTGGGGCTGAGACACTTGTACCACAAAACGTTCCTTCACGGACGTCTGCTGAGCCATTTGGAAATATGTTTCACCTCAGGATTTAAATGAACACTATGACATGGGAGTAGTGGAGTCTGTCGTTCTGTCAGTGGAAACGCGTGGTGGGAGGAGTGGTAGGGTCACCAGGCCTGCATCGGGGCACAGAGCCCCCTGTGTCTGGATGTGGTACAGGCAGAGGACTCGGACGACATCCCGATGCCACCTGCCCTGTTCTTGCCCAGACTCAGGTACCCACCCGGGGCCGGAAGGGACAGACACACAGCCTTTGCTCCCAGCCTGAGCTTGGCCAGCCTGCCCACTCTGGCCTCTCACCCCAGAGTGCGGGGGCCACTGTGTGAGTACCCCCCAGATCACTGCCCAGCGCCCCAACCTCCCTTCCTGTTCCTATTGGGCCCCCCAGCCCAACCCCGGATTCTCATGGCATCTTGTTCAGCTGCATTGCGATAGAGCTCTGGGTGTCCCTCCTGGGCAGGGGTCGGGCCCCGTCCGCCTTCACCGCCTCAGCACCCACAGCAGGAAACAGGGAGGGGTTAGGGGCAGAGTCGGGACCAGTAGGTGCCAGTGCTCGGGTCCACTCGGGCCAACTCTGCCTGGCAGGAACACAGCTACTGAAGGGCCGAGCAGGTCTGCAAGAGTGGAGACAGGGCCAGGACCAGGTCACCTCATCCTGAGGAGTATGGTAGGACAGGGGGCCGCCAGATGAGCCCCCATTCACTTCACCCCAGCCTTAAGCCACTGAGAGACCCTGCCAAAGGGTCACCAAGCCCATGTCCGAGTCCCCCCAGGACTCTGCCTGCCAGGTCACCCAGGTCCGCAGCCGCTAAGGACCCAGCGCCTCCCTGGGGGACTTGGCTCTCACTGCAAGGCCGGCCCTCTTGGTTTGAAGATGCATGGGAAAATCTCTCGCTGCCCACATGCTCCTGAAAGGCGGGTTGATGACACCTGTCACCCCAAATGAGAAAGTGGGCTTTTTTTTGAGACCACAGTTGAAGCTGAAGCTTTCAAAAGCTAGGGTGAAAGCTGTGATAGGAGAGGCTCTCAAGAGTGGGTTAGGGCTGGGAGGAAGGGCAGCCTTTGACTCCCCACACCGCAGGCTGCTGAAGCAGTGCGCTGGCGACCTCTGGTGTTTGATGTGGCCTCACACCCCTCCCCCAGGCCGTGCCGAGGACAGGCTGCCTGCTGGCGTCTGCACACCTCAGGCAGCGTCTGCACACCCCTGGCATGCCCACACTTGGTTACTGCGGAGCTCACCTGGAGCCTGAAGCCTCTCAACTACGCAAGGCATGTGGGGACCGGGGTGTGTGTGTCCTTCCCCCGAGGCAGGCCCTCTTTGCAGACTAGCCAGCTCCCTGAGTCAAGAGTGAAAGATCTGGGCTCCTCCAGGCCTGTCGAGGGAGAGGAAGCCATTCCCGAAAGGCTTAGACACCCACCTTCAGGTCAGCAGGACTGGTACATCCAGGAGAGGCTGGGACAGGAAGGGCTTTTTCCTGAGACTCGGAAGGCCAGGCTGCCTTCTAGGTTAGCAGAAGCTGCCGTTGTTGGAGGAAGAGAACAGAGGAAACGGCAGTGTGGGGTGGCTGAAGCCCAGGGCCACATCTGATGGCCATGAGCAAGACTGGACCCTCAACAGCATCAACAAAAAGCCAGTTACATTGTCCAGCCACGGGCAAGGGCAGCAGCATCTACCCTAGCAGGCCTCTGCCCGTGAATGGAGTCTATGTGACACCAAAGGTCTTCGTAACAACTGCTTGTCCACACGTGAGGTTCATCACAGAACTGCTGGGCATGCTCAGAAAGGGGCCACACATGGCTCTGGGGACCCCATGGAAGAACCATGGCAAAATTACCAATCCTGGATGGGCTCTTGGGTTCTCAAACATCTGGGGACAGTTTCGTGGCAGGGAAACTAAGCCACTGAGAGACTCAAGGCCACCAGAGTCCCTGCCAAAGGGTCACCAAGCCCACGTCTGAGTCCCCCCAGGACTCAGCCTGCCAGGTCACTAGGGAGCCCAAGACCCACCCAGGGTTTTGCTGCTCCTCTGTACAGAGACACAGCAGGAGCTCAGCTGGCAATCTGCAAGCACAGGGGGATGCCCGTCACCCTCAGCTGTGGCTCCTCAGGTCTGGTCACTCACCAGTCCCCCGGGGGGAAGTGTCAGGGACCCCACGAAGGTCCTTGTTGCACAGCCGCATCTCTATGGACTTGGGTGGAACCTGAGGACTGACAGATCTGTCTCCCATTTACAGCACCCTTGAGTGCCAGGCGGGGACTCCTTCCTCCCTGCACTGGCCCGGCCCAGGGAGCAGCAGGCAGACAGACTTCACTGCTGCTGGGACAGTGCTAAGTGGATTCCCTGCTATGAAACTATTCTGTGGGTGGAAGCCTTAGAGCACAGTTTTTACGCTTGTGTTTTTATTCAAGGGGCCTGTTGGGAACTAGTAGAGCCCTCATCAATGAAGACACAGTTCCTTCCTTTAAATCTTTTCCCGGTGTGACTATTAGAATAAATGGATTCATTTAAAGTTACAGAATACAAAAATCAACATATAAAAATCAGTAGCATTTCTAGATGCCCACAGCAAACTATCTGGAAAAGAAATTGTAGTCAGAGGTTGTCCAGAGTTAACACAAGAAGGTACAGGAAATCTGTCCATGCCCTAAAGACTCAGAAAATGCAGTCAATTGCTGGATCCCACAGCAATGTGGGATCCCACAGATGAAAACCTAGAGCCTATGGCAAGGACTCACCCCAGCTGGATCCAAGCTGGGAAGGCCCAAAGGTCAACGGTGGCAGCTAGAAAGTCTATGCCAGCGGAGTGAAGGAGCTGTGTTGGTACGTTGAGGGTTCTATGCTGGAGCTGAGAAGTCACGTTCATAATAAGAACCAGGGCTGCCCTGAAAAGCACCACAGCCATCCTAAGCGTCAAGGAGGTTCCAAACTCCTCTGACGATAAGCACACTCAAGTACATGCCAGAAAGCCAGCGTGACAAGCTTCTCCTGGAGATTAAACAGCACAGGTCTTCCCTTCCAGAGTCGGGAAGCGATGCTCCATGTAAGGACCGGAGCTCCCCCAAAGTGAACCACAGCCACTCTCACCATCAAGGTCCCGAGCTTCTCCAATGACAATGGTCAAACTCACACTGGGGAAACCAGTCATGACGAGCTCCTCCAGGAGAACCAACAGCTCAAACAGCAACACTTAGAGAAACCCACAACGCCCAGCTTCTTCTCCATGTCTTTATTTATGCTGGCAACTTTCATCAGGTGGAGCATCTACACTCAGCATCATGCTGATTTAATCTAGCTGGGGTTAAGTTAACCACCAGTTTTTAAACCATAACAGAAATCAAGAAAGCAGCCCCATTTATGATAGCTATTTTTAAGTCTAAGAAAAAAGTTAACCAAAGAGATGAAAGATCTCCCAATGAAAACTATAAAAAAAAAAATCAATGAAAGAAATCAAAGAGCACATGAGGACATGGAAGAGACCACCCATGTATTGTGAGTTGGAGCAGTTAGGACTGCTGAGACACCCGGTACAACCTACCCAAAGCGTTCAGGACAGCTCCTGTCCAAACACCAGTGGCTTCCTTAGCAGATACAGAAAAATTACCCTAACATTTATGTGGAACCATAAAAGACCTGAATATCCAGCGCAATCTGGAGAAAATGAAACAAAGCTGGAAGCATCATACTACCTGACTTCAAAATATACCGTAAGCAAGGCACAGTGGCACAGAGGACACTCCTGTAGTCCCAGCCACTTGGGAGGCTGAGGCAGGAGGATCACCAGAGTCCAGGAGTTTGGGGATAACTTAGGCAACGTGAATGTAATTCCCTCTCTTAATGAAACAAACAATAACAACATACAAACTACACAGCAATGATAAAACGGCATGGTACTGGTTAAAAGTAGGTACAATGGAAAGAACCATGAACCTGGTGCTGGGGCAACTGGCTGTGTAGATGTGCGGAAATGAAACCAGACCCTCATCTCTCACTGTGGTGGATTAAAACCTGGTGGTGGACTTAAACACCAGCTGAACTGCATCAGCGTGGTGCTGAGCGTGGACGGCCCACTGGAGGGCTGCTGTCAGCATAAAAAGGAGACCTGGAGAGGGAGAGTAGCATTGTGAGTTCTCCTAAGCATAGTTGTTTGGAGCTGTTAGTCCTCCTGGAGGAGCTTGTCATGCTGGGACCTCCCCCCGCCCCATCCCCATGTGAACTCAGCTGTTATCACTGGACGAGCTTGGGACCTTGTCACTGAGAATGGCTGTGGTTCCTTTTGGGGGAGCTCTGGGCCGTACTTTGAGCATCGATTCTTGGCTATGGAGGGGAAGATGTGTGCTGTTCAGGAGAAGCTCCTCACACTGGCTTCCTGAAATGGACCAGGCTGTTACTGTTGGAGGAGCTCAGGACCTCATTGTCACTGAGGATGGCTGTGGTCCTTTTCAGTGGAGCCCTGGTCCTTACTTTGAGTGTCACTTCTTGGCTCCAGTGCAGATCCTTCAGCCTGCTGGCACAGACTTTCTAGCTTCCTCCTTTGGGCTTTCCCTGTGCAGATCCGTGAAACAGATTGCACAAATCACTGTCATGGGCTCTGGGCCTCCAGTTGGGCTCAGGGGAGGCACTGTCATGGGCTCTAGGTCTTAAGCTGGACTCATGCAGGACACTGCTGGGGGATGCAGGCCCACAGCTGGATTCCTTGGGTCTCAGTGTATAAATAGGTTCCCGTACTTCTTGTATTTAACTCTTGGGTGGCTATTAGAAAATAATACTGCAAATCATGTGTCCTGTATTCTCCTTTTCTCCTTGCAAACCTGCTGACTACAACACTCACCACGTACAAAAAGAAGGTTGAAATGGATTAAACGGAAGACACCATTAATGCCCCTCTGCACTAACCAAAGTGTTGCCTCCTTAGCTAGCACAAAACCAGGAAGGGAGACCCAGGAGGAAGCACAGTCTGTCACCTGCTCGGCACCCTGTGGAAGGCCACTTTTTCCTCCAGCTTTGAGCCTGTGTGATGAGAGAGATGCACCCACGCTCTGTGGTGTGACACCCCTGGGACTGAGCACTGAGCTCCAAGTGAGGAGAGATGTACCAAGAATCCAGCAGTTCAGGTCCCAGGATCAGAAAGCCATGCATGCATCCACCTCCTGGTGCCACTAGACAGCTTAGCTTACAAAGTACAGTATTTTCAAGTGTGGCCAATGTCAGCTGTCCACTTCCCATAATAGGTGGAGTCCCCAGCCGCACCCTTCGACTCTCAGCTGGCTGGTGACTCTTCTGACCAATGAAGGAAAGAAGTGACACTGTGGCTTCAGGAGCTTGACCCCTGGTTCTCTTTAGGATTCTTACTCCAGGGTCCAACTGCCAAGGATGTGCCCCTGCAGTAGGAGCTTGGCATGTGCTGGGCACTTCCTGGCAACAGACCGTGACAGGCTGCCCAGAGTCAAGAGAACAGGAGCCCAGCTTTGCTAAGGGACAGCACTCCAGAGCCAGCATGGGGGGAAGAACAGTGGAAGGTTGGAGAAATAAAGGTAAGAGTCAGAACACAGAAAACTAAGGGGGGCCTTCTCACTGGGTGGGGGACAGGAACTGCTCTACCGCTGCAGTGCGATTATTTTTGCACTCAGACATTGATGTCATGTGACACCCACTGCCTAGCAACCTGTGTGCCTGATGGCCTCAGGGCATTTGCATTCTTGGAGCTGGAGCAGCTCCTTCACAGCTCACTTTGGCCACTCTTTATTCTTGAGACCATTGTTCCAGCCCCACACCTGTGCTCCATCTCCAGCTTCAGTTGCTCCCCCCCCCCGGGCTGGGATTTGATCTGGGCTCCCCAGAAAGCTCTGATTCTCATGAGGCAAGCTCAGACCTGGAGACCTGGGTGAACCCTGGTGGAGGCTACACACGCAACTCATCTGCAAGCTTTACTGAAGCAGAGTGGTGGGGGTGTCCAGGGGAGGCCCCTCATGGAACTTTAGGGCATCTTCAGCTGCTGTGTCTTTAAGTCAGCACCACTGCAGAAATGCCACCAACATGCCACATCACCACGGCGGGGGCCACCAAGCTCAGTGAGATCAAAATGACAAGAGCCTGAGGAAGCTCCGGGCTCCTCCTAACACAGCTGTGGGCAGACCAGGAGTTGGGACCACACAGTTCACCCCTGCGTGACTCATGGGCTGCGGGAAGCTGGGCAAGGCACCAATGTCCAGTCCTGTCCCAGCCAATGTCAGAAGGGCTTAGAGGGCAAAGCCAAACTCAGCCATGTTCCCTCTGACTACACGGGGCTCCCTGGGACCCTCCTGTTTCATTCTCCCTAGTTCTGGAAAGGCAGACACTGGGGCTTCTCCTGGAAAAGACAGTCATGGGTGGTCGTAAGTTACCCTCTCCAGGATGACAGAGGTGGTGCCGGGCCCAGGCTGTCCTCTCCTCCCACCTACTGCCCTCATGGCAGCCCCTTGTATTGCCCCCAGGTCCTCCCCAGTCCTGTCCTGTGCCTTAGAGGCAGGCATGGAGAAGTGTCCATGGCTTATGGGTCCCCTCTGGAGAGGGATGGTGTCAGGACTGAGACCCCAGCAACCCTACACACCCTGAGGAAACCGGATGCTTCCACCAAAGAAAGGGGCAACACCAGGGCGCCACGTGCACCGCTCCAGCTCCTGCCTGAAGTCCTGCTGTCTACAGGGAACTCGGGAAGCAAATCTGTCCAGACAAGAAGATGTCTTAAGAACTGTTCAGCCATGCTAGTTTTACTGGAGATTTTATTTCTCTTCCTCTTCCCATTCGTTGTCTATTTATGATCTCTTCATTACACCACTTAAAATATTCAAACAAGATAGACAGGAGCGAGCAATCCACACTTCACATGTATGTTAAAAAGCACTTCTCCAATGTGATGATGGTGTGGTAAATTTGCCAAATAGTAAAAACAAAGACGCAAAGCAGAAATGAGTTATCTTACATACTTTTCCGAGCTAATTTCTAGGGTGAAAAGCTAACAATGCAGGCAGCAGAGCGGAAGAAACAGAGAAGACTCACTCAGCCATGGAAGAGAACAACCGAGCCAGCCCCCGTGCAAGGGCGCAGACGGAGGTCAGCCATTGGGCCACCCCAGCCAGGGCCACCCGGTGACACATGGGCTGCAAGGACCACTGTGTGGCCACGGTGGACAAGCTGAGCCCTCGCCCAGGTCAGCCCGCGGCTCTGAAGCCAGCATGATCCACGGGGCACTGAGACAACCCACAGGCTGCTGCAAACCGGCAGCCTCAGTGCTGGGCAGTGCAAACCTAGGACAGCCTCACCGCCACTCCTTGCGCCCCTCAAAAATGCGGCACTGGGCCCTTGGTGGCTGTGGCAGCAGCTGATGTTGAAAACTCTGGTTTGGCAAATTAAGACTGAATGTGCTAATACTCATCTGATCACCCCTTTCCGCATTTCTCCTCACATTGCCTTTCCATCCCTCGCTTTCCCCTGGTCTCTTCTGTGGGGAGACAGGGCCACCTGTCCCGCTACTTCCAGAAGGACGGACTATGTGTCCTAAGAGAAGACGTCACAGGGACAGTGCACCCGACGTGGTCTCCAGCAGCTCGGACGACAGCTTCAGGCTTCCCTGGCGCCTCATGTAGGAAACCCACTGGGCCCGGCTGATGCACCCCAAGTTCTTCAGGGTTTTCATGAGATCCCGGCGGAAGCGCTCGCCCACAAAAACGTAGAGAACAGGGTTGAGGCAGCTGTGGAGGAAGGCGAGGGTCTGAGTGACTTGGAGAGCGATGTCCACGCTGATGGAGGTGGCACAGCTGGAGATGAGCATGGCGTAGGCATCCACGGCGCGCACCAGCAGTACGCAGCTGTAGGGGAACTGAGACAGGACAAAGACGCTGAGGACGGCGGTGGTCACCCTGAGGGCCTTGTGTTTGGACTTCTTGGTCTGCTTCAGGGTGTGGATAATGATGGCGTAGCAGAAAGCCATGACCAAGAAAGGCAGGAAGAACCCCAGGGTGACCTTCAGGGTCAGGACGGCCGACTTGGCTTTGGTGCTCTGGTCCCTGGAGTACACCATGGTGCAGGACGAGACGCCGGACTCCCTCTTGACCTGGCTGTACAGCATTTCCGGGGTGCAGAGCCCCACAGCCAGTACCCAGATGGCGCAGCACACCAGCTTGCTGTAGGCCAGGCGTTTCCGCCTCCAGCCCTGCGCCTTCATGGCTCGCGCAATGGCGATGTAGCGGTCCACACTGATGCACATGAGCAGCAGCACACAGCTATAGAAGTTCGTCCAGAACAGCCCGGTGACTACCTTGCACGCCAAGGTCTGGAACTTCCACTGGTCCGCAGCCGCCACGGCCCAGAAGGGGAGCGTGGCAAGGAAGAGGAGGTCAGCAACCGCCAGGTTCAGGAGGAAGGTGTCGGTCATGGTCTTCACCCGCGTGCAGTACCAGTAGACGAGAACCACCAGGCTGTTGCCCACCATGCCCACAACGAACGCGAGCCAGTACAGGGGTGGCAGGAAGTGGCTGGCAAACTGCCTGACGTTGGACTTGTTGCAGAAGACGTCCGGGAAGTCCAAGTTCACGTAGTCGTCCATGGACATTGTGGCGTCATAGCCGTAGTCACCAGACATGTTGGGAATAAGGTCCTGCAGGGGCACAAGATGGCATGAGGTCAAGGATGGTCCTGTGGGGTCTTTCTTGTCTGACGGACCCTCTGCAACCACCTATGACAAGGTAAAAAACACATAGCACGGGCAATAGGATCCTAAGGACACCTTTCTGATTGCACTGTGGTTGGGATGTGAGCCAGGAGTGTCCCTCAAAACCGCATGCACCAGAACAGCAGCCCCCAGGGTGGCAGGGCTGGGGCTACCTTCCAGAGCTTAAGCCAGTGGGGCACATTCGGGTCACAGGATGTCACTGTGAAAGGGGTTGGCGGCATTTTCTTGGGACCTCAGGTAGTTCCTGCGACAGCAAACTGTCAAAGGCTGAGCCTCTGCCTGGTCTTTCCTGTGACTGCACAGTCCCTCTCCCACATGTTCCCACCATGTGTCACCTGCCATGCTGTGATGCAGCTAGGAGGTGACCCCAGGGCTGAGCCAATGAGATTGCTCAATTCTGATCATATAGCCTTCAAAACTGAGCTAAAGGAACCTCTCCTCTTTATATGTTATCTAGCATCTGGCATTTGTCATAGCAAAGCAAACAGAGCAATACAGTTGGTAAATAAATATTCCACTGACTTTCATGGAGCACCTATGCGGAGCGGTCACTGGCCTGGGTACGAGGATAGAGTAGTCAATAAGGGAGACATGTTTCTCACTCCCATGGGACTTAGCTCATTCCCAAAAGGGCTGGTTGTTGTCATTGTTGTGGTTGTTGTTTTATTTTATTTTGAGACAAGGTCTCCCTGTGTGGTTCAGGCTATCCTTGGACTCACAGCAGTCCTGCCGCCTCAGCCACTCAAGCTCTGCGACCATAGGTGTGCCCCACCACACCCAGCTCACCCACTTTTCGTAGGTCCCTGGGCCAGAGCCATCCTAGAACCCCTGCTGGGGGCAAAGGAAATAAGGGCTGGGGGTGAGCTGAGCCCTGTGTCCCTGAATCAGCCCTGGCTGAGGCAGTGGCGGAAGCCAGCTGGTGGGCACAGGAGGGTGCCACACACGGACACACCACCTGCACTGTCACCACACGTCCTCAGTTGGTCCGTGGTTTCCAACCCCTTGGAGGACCACCGGCTCTCACTGTCCTGTCTGGGGGATGGCGCACCCTGCCAAACGGCATTTATCTCCCTCGGGCAGGTACAACTGTTGCCCAGTTGTTGGGCTGTCAGGGCTCCAAGACACTGCACAGCCACAGACACTTTTCTGTTTTGTTCTGAATAGCTAGCAAGTATGCAGGGACCAATATTGAGCGTATTCATCTTGAAATCATAAACTAGTCTTTGCCTGCATTAGCCAGATTCCGACTGTCTGCACAGTTTATAATCTCCATGTGTTCCTAAGAGATGCGAGCAGCTGTCCTGAAGCTGCACCAGGCTGCACAGTGGAGAATCTCTGTGGACTCTGAAGCTCGCAGTTCCCCCGTGTGCACAGGAGCCCCTGAGGAAGCCCTGCCAAATCACTTCTGCAGGATTCCAGTTGTGCACAGCACAGCAAAGGTTGCGGAGAGGCCTTGCAGAAGGCACTGCATCCTAACGCTTCCCTAACCTCACTGAACCTGTGTGTGCCTCAGGGTGCACTGAGCCAGCTAACTGTGGGCAGCAAGTGGCAGGAGGCCACTGTCTCCCGAATTCTGAAGCTGGCACCCACAGCCCATCCTATGAGGGTCCCGGCTGGTGGGAAGTAGCAGGAGAATCCCAAGTACCAAGGAAACTGGGCCACACCAGGGAAAACTGGACATTTAGTGGTGGTGCCACCTCTAGTGTGTGGCCAAGAGGAAGTGCTACTGCAGAGAGTGACCCGGAGGAGGGGCCCGTTCTTCAGACAGGGCAGCTGGGAAGTGGCCCAGGACCAGGAGAAGCCAGGGAAATTGTCTCCCCGTTTTGCAAGTGCTGCTGTATTCACCTCCATTCACCCCTGGCACACCGCAGTAACTTGGAACACTCCATGGAGCCCGATGTCCTGGAGGAAGACCTCGCAGGTGACACGTATTTCAGAAGAGGCTGGGAGATGCCTGCCACCCTGGACGCTGGAACCAGCACAGCCAGGCCACTGGGCAGCCAGCCCGAGGCAGTGCACCTGGGGCTGAAGGAAGGACTTTGCAGACAGAGGGAGACTCCTGGGCTGGCTCACTGCCAACACAGCCCCTCCTCCCCCATCACTGTCCCCGAGCCCCTGGCTTCCTGAGAATAGCAGAGTCATGCGTTTTCTCCTTGGCAGTTTTCCACCTAAAGATTCGACTCAGCAGGTTTTGCTAGCTCTTGGTCTCTCAGAGAAACACATACTGTCATGTGCCTTGGGATGGGCTTTGTGGTGTGACAGTGTGCCCGCCATCGGCTTCTAACCCTCACCAGGGGAAGTCTCCCCAGCCGCCTCCTGTCTGAGTTTCAGAACGGACACTAAGAGCAGAACTAAGTCCATACCGGTTAAAGATCACTTAAACCCTCACTGCTAAGGCAGCTGGAATCCCGCCGTCCTGCGTTCCTGGCACAGCCCAACACAGCCCAACACCCGGCTCTGGGCTGCAAAGCCCTCTGTGCTGGCCAGCAAGTGGGCATCAGGCGTTGCTCTGTAAACGACACAGAGAGACCCTTCCCCACCATGGACTCCGTCCAGGCCCCCAGCAGGGCAGAGTAGAGGGCGCACTTTGGGCACCCAGGGGTGCAGCTGTACTCACTGTGAACTCTGTGGGTGTCATGGCCAGTCGGATGCAGTCCCGCTTCTAGAAAGAGAACAAAAACCAAGAAGAGGACTGGCCTGTAAATGCATGGTAGCAGCCAAACACCAAGATGATAAAGCCTGGATATTACACTTCTTTATGCTCATGGGGGGATCCCAAGCCTGAGTCAGAGTGCGTGCTGGGCTCTACCAAGTCAGAGCAAATCTCCTTGGACTGCAGAGGCACCTGGGTTGGTGACCTGGAATGCAAGAAGCCTTTCCTTGAAGTCACATTTACTTCTCTGGCCCTCCTCCTCATCTGCTTCTAGGCTTTGGCTCTTACCTTTTTCCCCAGCCTATCTTTTCCACAGGCTCAACTAATCTCAGTTCAAGTTCTCTGTCAAGTCCTGTATGGATGAATGACTTTGGCTACCACCACCTCTCTTGTCAGCAAGCAACTCACGGAGCTGATGATCAGTGGTGGCTCCAGATGCCGCAGGGGAAAGAGGTGTGAGAAACCCACCCTTCGGTAACCAGAGAAACAGGCTTGGCTTCACCCACAGGCTGGCCTGAACAGGGCTTCACCTTTTAACCCCAGCGAGCACACTTAGGAAAGTCCAAGCTCAGGAAGAAGACACCGTGCTTCATAAATCCAGCCGTCACATGCACCCCACCTTTTGTTCAGTACTGTGGAGACTGTGGTACAACCACTTTGGAAAACAGCGTACGGTTCCTGAATGGTGACCAGCCATCTTTCCTGTGACTTTCCTGTAACCAGCCATCCCCTTCCTGAGCAGCTAACTAAGAAAAATGCAAGCACTGGTCCCCAGAAGGAGTCGTACCTGCAGTAACCGCCACCTGGAATGCCCTAAATGCCCACCGAACAGTGGATAGATAGATAAGCTGCAGGCTGTCCACTGAATGGGGTAAGGAACCAGAGACGTGGACAAATCTCAAAGTAAAGGAATCAGATCCAGAAAGCGTGGGCTGCAAGGTTCCACTTGCAGAGGACTCCAGACACTGCAAGTTCATCTGCAGTGACAGAGAGCAGGGCAGAGATTTCCCAGGGAGCGAGGAGTGGGGGAGGGCCAGGAGGTAGGCAGGGCAGAGCTGGGTAGGAGCTGGGGCTCCAAGGGTGAACACGGCTCCTGAGCGCCCCCCAGAAGCCCTGGGAACACAGCTGTCCCGCAGGGCAGGTGCACATACGAACACAGCCTGAAATCATGTTGCTTGATCAGTTTTGCAAGCCTGCATCTGATAACCTGAGCAGCTATTTTGAAGTGTGAAATATAACAACCATTATTAACTTCCTATCACCTTATTTTGAAATCCTGTATCACTACTTTGTAATTGTTGCTCTCAGTGTTTGGCTTTTGTGGTTGTTTTACTCATTTGCTTTCTAATTTTCTATGCTTTTTTTCCTCTTTAAAATAATAAATACATAAATAATTTTTTAAGAAGCTTTGCAGTGCGTGGCTACCGGCTAGAGGAAAGCTGTCATAGTGAAGAGGTGCACAGATGAAATCACAGCCAGAGGAAGCTGCAAAATCTTTCTGCCAGCAGCGATGTGGCTGAGCCCTGCGGGCCACGGGCTGTGACAGTGGGACTGCAAGGGATTCGGGCACCATGCTTTTCAAATAATAGATGAGATAGGAAGGAAGATGGATGGGTGGGTGATGGATTGATGGATGGATGAATGGATGACAGAAGAGATGGCAGGTAACAGAACGGGTGATACAGACAATAGAATAGCTGAAGAACAGTGGAATAGATAATAGAATAGATGCTGGGTGAGAGGACAGATAATAGATGGCAGATACGTAATAAAAGAAATGGTGGGTAACAGAGCAGATGAACAAAGCCATGTCACACTCATCCTTGAAAGGTAGACTGAAGAGGTCCCCACATTCGTGTCCCTGACAAACATCAACCTAAACCACAAATGAGCAAACACCAGAAAAACCCTAAATGTGAGCTTTCTAAAAGTTGCTGGATGGCAGGGGATTATGGCTCAGCAGCACAAGTGCCTGCCTGGCAAGCCAAGGTCCTGAGTTCGATTCCTGGTACAATAAATAAATAAAAGTCACAGGATTTATTACCCAAAAATACCAAGGTCCAACAACACAAAGAAGGACTAAGCAATCGTCCCAGATTAAAGGAGACCAAAGAATGGACTCTGGGTGAGGAAAATGCAATGATAAGTAACACTACCATATCAGGAAATCAAGGGTATTTCAACACCAAAGTATGAACTAAAACTACTGTGGAGGTATTTTTTAAAATATTATGACAAAAGACACATTCCTCTCAAAACTCTCCCCTTCCCTCCGTGCACACTCATCCCACTGTTCCTGCTGCTTTCTGCAGCAGCTCTGGAGTCCTCTCTCCTGAGTGTCTTTCTCTCTTTCTTTCTTTCTTTCTTTCTTTTTTCTTTTCTTCTTCTTCTTTTTTTTTTTTTTTTTTTTGTACTGGAGCTAAAACTCACAACCAGGCAAACACATATGTTAATTTTCAACTCTAAAATAAATTTTAAATCAGAGCCAAATAAAAGTTATGAAAATTTGTTAAAAGAAAAGAAAAAAGGAAAAAATACCTTGGAAAAGAACCCCCAGGTTCAAGAAAGCCTGGCGCAGGGCTAAGCAAGCTCAATGATCCCTACCTCACACCATAGCCTCGCCCACTCCCTGGGCATAAACCAGACCTCGCTGCAGCCCTCTATGTGCCAGGACCACCTTGGCATTTGTCTCTAAAAATATTACATTTTGTGATAAAAGTAACATTTTTTATAGGAAACAACTAAAAGAAAAATTAAAATCACCCATAATCTTAACACCCCACATAGCTACTTCCAATTTAGGGTTATTTTTTCCCGGTCTGGTTTCCATGCCCATGTGTCCTCCTGCTTTTCCCCTTGTTTATTGTCACAGATCAGATTCCGAGCGCCTTTCCCACCTTGATGGCCACCCTGACCATGTGGCTTTCCACTGAAGCCACCTGCAGGTCACTAGAGCAGTTCCCATTCTGATTGCCATTTAGTCTGTTTTCAGCTTCTTTCCACAATTATTTTCAGAGCTTCCCAGGTGAATGGGGGTTGCGCTGTACCCTGCCCCTTTCTTCCGATGTACCAGCACCTTGTACTCTGCCCACATCATCTTTCGGAATCATTCCGGGGTTTTCAGAGCTTTGGGGTGCTAGTTGCCTGCCAGCATGACTCAGTTCACCACTGAGAAGCCCCAAAAATCTCTGTCTCGTGATAGAAAATCTAATGAGCAAGGAGAAAATCAGTGCATTGAGATTAAGATTGAATTTTTTTCCCAGGGATTTTTCCAGCTGAATTTAGAAGACCTCAACTCGGCCAACTTCACTTCATGGCAGGTCAAGGAGCCTGGTCTTTGAGAGGAGGCTGAAAGTTAATCAGATGACACCTGAGAAAATTTTCCAAACAAAACAGCCACAGAAGGAAGAACGGTTTTAGCTAGTCTGAGGTTCCCTAAGGTCCCGACATGCGACCTGCGCAGAGGGACGTGACACAGAGAGATGTGACCCGGGGGAGGGCGAAGCCTCCCGGCAACACTTGCAAAGCTCAACACCTCTGACTCAGCAATGGTCCCTGGGAATCTGCTTGGTTCTCACAAAAGAGCCTAAAGGCACACGCAGGTCACCGAATGTTTTCTTGCAGAGCAAAAAGGAAATGGAAATAACCAGCAGTTGGTCCATCCATTCAACAAACCGCAGGTAGTGGATAAAAAAGGGAAGACAGACAGGAAGGGAGGGAAAAGAGGTCACCAGAAGAGCCAGATTAAAATGCAAGGTGCAAAAGGCTGTAAAAAGGGCATAATATCTCTCTCTCTCTTTAATACATATGAAAGGGATGCACTTCGCTACTGGTCACTACAGAAGCTTCTCTGGAAGGAGCCTGGAACTTAGGGATTGGCTGGAAAGGAAACTTCTGTCTTTCCTTCAGATTTGACAGACTGCTTAAATATTTCATCGAGGGTGAAATTTTATTTTGAGTTATTATAAAACTAACTTGTCAGGTGAAGGAGGAGGAAGAGAACAATGAACAGGAGAAGGAAGAGAAGAAGGAGAAGAGGAGGAGAGGAAAAAGAAGCCCAGCGTTCTTCCGCTCTGCACACCTGTTTACAAAATTCGTACAAAAGAGGAACTCACAGCGGTCCCTGGGCCTGCGGGCCGTGGGAAGCAGCCAGCACCGAAAGAGCAAAGCTAGTAGTCCAACTCCAGGAAGTCGCTCTGCACCTTCGTCATCCTGGACTAGCTTTGCATGCAGGTTTATTTTCTTTGCAAGGTGAATGTGCTTTGGCTCAGAAAACTTGGAAAGCCAAAGAATAAAATTTTGTCAGAATACTTTCCTAATATTTTATCCCACATGTGCCCATCTCCAAGCTTTGCTTTCATTTTCTTCTAGTCACTGGGGAGGAGGAAAATCCCTCACACAACGAAACCCACTGAGAAAAAGGAACCTCTCGCGGGTTTGCCAGGAGTGAACAGCTCTGGCCCGGCGCTACCCAAAAGCTCCCCTGGCTCTGAGTGTGGCCTGGGCTGGGCCCTTGTGGCACAGTGAATGAGCCTACTGGCTGGTCCATCCTGCTGCCAGTGGGACCCAGGCAGAGGGACAGAGTCCCCGAGCGCTGGCTTCTTCATCTGCACATGGGACGGGGAGGCCCGGGCTACTCCGAGGCAAGAACAGAGCAGAGCACAAAGGGCCATGGGACTCAAGAGCCAGCTGCAGCCCATGGCCTCCTTTATTCCCTGTGCCAGGAGTACCCGGGCAGCCTGGTGGGTCACACTGCAAACCCCAAGGAGAGTCAGTACCAGGAGGGGCTGCAGCTGGGAGGGGCAGGCACAGCTCAGGCACTGGAGAACAAGCAGGCACAGCGTCAGGAGGTGACACTGTGGCTGAGCCTGAAGGCTGAAGAGCAAAGGGACAGGCAAAGAGTAGAGGGAACAGGGTCCCAAGGCAGCAAGAGCCACCTGGGTCCCAGAAGCTGGAAAGCCGGGTATGCAGGGAGCTACTGATCCCCAAGGCAAGAGGCAGCTGGGAAATAAGCCTGGAATAAGCCCCGCCACTGTTCTCAGGTCCTCAGCTGCCAACATGAAGCCCATCCCGGGCCCTGTCAGGGCCACAGCCTCAGCCCTCACTGGCCCCAACCCCAGGCCCCAGGCTAAGGCGAGGCAGGCATGTGGTCCATGCTTTGCTCTGTGTCCAGCTTGCCATGTGCAAACAGAATGTCTCTAGCATTTTCTGTAACTCCCCACTCTCTCTGCCTGAGGCCTGCTGCCAGCAGTCTGCTTGCCCCTCACGGAGTGGGCTTAGGCGCCCACCGTCTGCCCTGGGCTCCAGTGCAAGCTTCAGGGGAGGTGGACAGACACCGGAGAAAAGGGGAAGGAAGGGTTCCTGGGGCCTAGCCAGGGCCGGCTCCCTGGCCTCCAAGGTCCCGCCCCGACTCCAGGCCCAGCAGGCGAATTCAGAACCCAAGAGGGCGGGTAAATTTGAAAAGACAAACAGCAGCCACCCACGAGTCACTGAAAATAGCTTTGCTCTTTCCTGATCCACAAGGAGTATTTTCAAAATATATTTTAAAAAACCCAAACATTTAAACATCCACACCCAGAAGCTAAGAACCTCTCCCAGTTTAGCCACCGTGAACGTTCTGCGATACACTGCCTCTGGGGGCTTCTCTGTACACACGCGCACACGCGTCCACACACACGCGCACACACACGCACACATACTTTGTCAAAGGAGCCCAGGCTACGCATACCGTTTTCTCTTGCTTTGCAGTCCATCGCTCACAGGCCACAGAACTGTGACTGACCAGCGGCCACAGCAAGCTGGACAGGAAAATGAACTGCCACCCCTCAGAGCCAGGGTGGCCTGTTTATAGTCCTTATTGCCACAAAGCCTCCTTTCCCAGGGCTGCGCTGCAGATCTCAGGCCCTCACAGGCTGTCATCTTCCCAGCCCGGGGTTCCCTCCTGTCATCTGTCCCCAGAATCTGCTTCTCCCGCCTTTGAGGTACAGTTTGCAAACTGTGTCAGGCCCACGTTCACATGTGTGGGCGAGAAAGGAGTTTTATTACTCACCTTACAAGCCTGGGCCAGCCAACACAGTCAGTTTTGCCCTCTGGAAGTTTCTAGTGAAGCGCCTGGTGCCTGTGACCCCTGGAGAGCAGATAAGTGTAAGTCTGGGGCTGGAGGCCCCGTGGGAACACACAGCTGAGGACACGGGTACTGTGGGGCAGGGACAAGGAGAGGCAGGGAACAACTCACCGTGAGGGGAAGGAAGGGGAGGCCCTGGCACCTGGAGGAGGAGGGCGGCCCTCAGCCGTGAGCTATGAGCTGTGAGCTGTGTGGTGCAGCTCCCCGATGAAAACCAGAAGGAAGCAGGCCACTCCTGCCTGCACCAGCCCAGGGGGAGCCGGGAGGGAGGGGAGTCACCTGCTGCAGCCTCCTGCAGGCAGCACCCCAGGTCATTCGCAACTGAAGACTCAAAGCTGGGCCGGGCGGGGTGGGGGACCTGTCTTCTGTGAGGTGTCAGAGCAGCGGGATGGAGGAAGCATCTTCTGTGAGGTGTCAGATTGGGCCGCCTCTCCAGCTGGCACCCCGCTTCAGGGAGAGAGGAAAGGGGGGAGTTGTGCAGGGGAGTCACCCTGCCCGCCTGGCCAGGACACGTATGTGTGGGATTCTGGGGTGCAGGCCCCTGTGGGAGATGCCACCCCCAGCACTGCCCACCCAAAGATGCCCTTTGGGGCCTTAAGCAGCAGAACCAAAGAACTGAGCTATCCGACCCCAAGCCACTGGCCAGGCTGCCCAGGGGCTGGCACGGGTAGAGTTTCTATTGCCACCAAGGGCTCCCTTGACACCAGAGCCTCCTGGGATCACCTGTGTGATACATGGCTGGGAACACTGGGTCCCAAGGTCCCTGGGTGTCTTCACATCAGGGGCAAATGCAGAAAGGTCCTCTCGAGCCATACCCCCACACGTGACTGCTGATACCTTTATTTTGTTTATTTTTTTATTTATATATCTATTTGGTGCTGGGGATCAAACTTGGCTTTGGCCCTGGCCCTGATGATATCTTTATTAATCGTAAGTGACTTGATGAAATTCTGGTAAAAGGTGGGACACATCAATGTTACACTTTCGCTGAGGCTCCGGGTGAGGAATCCTGGTCCCATGAGCTCCCTTGCCCAGCCCCGGCCCATTCATCACTCCCAATCTGCACAGACGTGACAGGCACCAAACACGCACTGAGCCCAGTTCTAAAGGGAAAAGGCCAATGAACAGCCCAGGTGACAGGCAGGGACCGAGAGTAAGAACGAAAGCAAGGCCTGATTCATTCAGCGGCCTGCAGGCTCGAGGGTGTGAGCAGCGGAGAAATTCCCTGACCTCCCCCACCCCCAGTCCACAGTGTGGCCCCCGAGCATAACCACGAATCAAATCGGCCAAACACCGAGTAACAGAGAGGAGGGGAGCGGCCGCGGGAAGATGTCTCAGTCCTGGTGTCCCAGCCGTGCTGGGCAGGGTGGTGTGTGGTGTCTGTCCCTGTGTTTGACATCTCACTGGATGCCCCTGGAGAGAGGAACTTACTCTGCTTTCTACCTTTCTGTATACTGCTGCTTCGTCCCCAGGTGAGAGCACTGTGGGGAGACCCGAGGCTCTAGGCACACAACTGGGCAGAGGTGGGGGTGGGGGTGACAGCGGTGGTGACCAGAGGGGAGGAGGAGTCCATGGGCCCACAGCCATGGGCGCCCAGGTTCCCTCTGCTATGTGGGCCCTGAGGGGAGGGGAGATGGGTGGCATAGTTGTCACCCCCATCCCCAAAGTTCCTCTTGCAAGGCTGGGGAGGCAGGAAGCATTGAGGACACCCTTTCAGGTTCTCGGAGGAGCCCCGGCAGAGCCCAAAGCGAACAGCTTTAGTCACTGCTCAGTTGGCAGGAAAGCCCTATCTTGGCTTTCTGGTCTCTCTTGGCAGCCAGAATTCAGAACTGGTGGCGACAGAGGCTGCCAACCCCGTTTTCTGAAGGGGTCTCCCCTGCACTCTTTCTCACTCGCATGTGCTAAGGCAGACAGAGCAGGGAGCCCATCCACTGGGTCCTCAACCAGGCCACACAGGGACAGCAGCTGCAGCCACCACCCCCACCCCCATCCCCGACACCATAGCCAAGACGGGGCCAGGCTGGCTCCACGGAGGCCCAGGGCGGCCTGGTCTGGACCCCTCGTTTGTTCCCAGGTATCAGGCATCTAACACGGGTCCAGAGCAATTGATTTTGCTTCTGTCCCTACTTTCCGGGTTTTCCCTGTTTAAACGTAGGCTCTGACTGGGCTTTGTCCTTCCCTTTGTCCTCGGTGCACGCTGGGAAAGTCCGGTTCGGAAAGCGCCCAGAGCTCCGGAAAAGGAAGGGCTGTCTTTCTCTCCATGCCAAAGCTGGCTCTGCGCCTGACTTGGGAAGCGGAACCTTCATGGGGTGTGCAGGGCAGTTTGGACCTGACAGTCTGATCACAGGCAGCCCAAGGGGTCCCAAGGTCAAGCTTCCAAGGGCTCCTTTCCCCACAGAACCCAGGGCCAGGGTCCAGAAGGACCTTGCCCAAAGGGACAGCCCAAGAGCACATTCTGTGAAACACCTTTTGCATGAATTAACAGAAGACTCCAAGCCTGACAGAAATCCTGAGAGAGGCTGAGAAGGCAGAGTTATCTAATTTCTTCCACTTATACCAAATTTGCAAATGGCTGATATGGTTTGTGGCTTTGCCCGGGCTTGCGCAGGGCTAGAAAGACACACTCTTCCTCAGTTTCCACCCTGAGGGTCCCTGAGGACACTTGCTGTGGCAGCCTGGGGGGGATACAGCCTTCTCCCCTGGGGCAAGGGAGGCATGGAGAGCTGCTACCTCCAGGAAAGATCAAAGCCAGGGCAGCTTAGCTCGGAGGCTGGCTTCTCTAGAGCACTGGGCAGGCTCTTGAATTCCCCATGTTCTGTGGTTAGCAGTAAAAACTAGGACAGCACAAGGAGGAGAAAAGAAGCCTTTTTGTAAGTGGAATAGTCACACACATTGGGAAGGCATGACCATTGTGTGCGGATTGAGATGCTCATTAGGGGGGCACTATCACGGAGAGAGAGACAGACAGACACAGAGATGGACAGAGACAGAGAGAGACAAAGAGACAGAGACAGAAACAGAGACAGGGAGACACACAGAGAGACACACACATAGAGAAAGAGAAATAGAGAGAGACACATACAGAGACAGAGAGACAGAGACAGAAATAAAGAGAGACACACACAGAGACAAAGACACACAGAGAGACAAAGACAGAGAAAGACAAAGACAAAGAGATAAAGAGAGACAGAGACACAGAGATACAAAGAGAAAGAGAGAGACAGAAACAGAGAAAGAGACAGAGAGAGAGAGAGACTGAGAGACACACATAGAGACAGAGACAGATCAAAACGGAGATGAGAGATGGACTCAGAGAGACAGAGACAGAGGCAAGAGAGAGACAGATGAGAGACACACACACAGAGAGAGAAAAGCAGAGAAACAGTGAGAGACAGAGGCAGAGATAGAGACAGACAGAGAGATAGTAAAACAGAAAAAGACTGACAGAGACAGAGAGATAAGAGATAGAGACACAGAGATAGAGAGAGAAATAGAGAAAGACAGAGACAGAGAGACAGAGACAAGTGAGAGAGAGACAGAAAGAGACAAACTCGGTCCTCAGATGCAGCCGCTATAAGGACAGAAGGAATGAGAGGTGCTGGCCCAGTGTCCCCACAACCTGACAAGCAGAGGGAGGATGACGCTTTGGAGGCTCCAAAAGGACGCAGCCGCCCTTGTCAGCAGGGCACCAACCGGGCCGGTTAGAGACCATGCTCCACTGGGCACTGGAAGCAGGGGCGCTGAGTGAGGGCTCTGGTGGCTCCTTAGATGGGGGGATTGAGGGCACAGTCACGGCTGCCAGGCTGTCGCAGAGTTCAAGCTGTTGACAAGAAAATAAGGTCACTCCAGCCCGAGAGCCCTCTTGCAGCACGTGAGTCAGGAGACCGACCAGCTGCTGCAGGACCCCTGTTGTAGTCAGGGTTTGTACACAGAGAACAATTCAGATCAGGACATGGAGTTTATAATATTTTTTATAATGGTCACCGGGAGTTAACACCAGAAAATGCAGGAAATTTATCCACAACACCAAAGACATAGATTATTTAGTCAAGAGTCTAAACCCCACGGCAATGTCCCACATGAGTCCAGATAAAAACCCAGAGATCAGGACAATGCCTCCACGAGTCCAACTGGATGTCCAGAGCCCACAAGAAGGACTCACGCCAGTCTCTTTTACGGATCCTTGCCGGGAAGACCCAAGGATCAGCGGTGGAAGCCAGAAAGTCTATGCCAGCAGAATGAAGGAGCTGTGCTAGTGGGATGAGGGTTCTACGCTGGAGCCGAGAAGTCACACTCACAACAAAGAGCGAGGCTGTCCTGAAAGGAACCACAGCTGTCCTCAGCGACACGGAGACCCCGAGCTACGACGACGACAAGCACAGTCAGGTACGTGCCAAGAAGCAGGGTGACGAGTTCATCCTGGAGACCAAGCAGCACATGTCTTCCCCTCCGGAGCCAGGAAGCAATGCTCGATGTGAAGACCAAAGCTTCTCCAGGAGAACCAACAGCTCAGACAGCAACTCGTAGGAGAACCCACAATGCCTCCTTAACGCCTCAATCCCTCCCAACACCTCCCTTCTTCTCCACCTATTTATCCTGGCAACTCTCCTCAGGTGGAGCATCTTCTCTCAATGCATGCTGATGTAATCTAGCTGGCGTTAAGTTGACCACCAGTTTTCAAACCATAACAACCCCGATGTCACTCACCCCTGGGTGCAGTAAGCGTGGTCCTCTCTGCCCTCACTTGCCGTCTGGGGTCACTCTCCAGCACTGTCCTAAGAGGTGGACATGGCGGGAAGGGGACTGAGAATGGCAACTGCACTGCAGGGAACTAAGCTGGGGTGACAGGGACAGGACCTGTCACCATGGGTGGTCAAGGGAG